AATTCCGCGACAGTTACTCACCTCAGCTATTGATACGTTGCGCAGTTTAAGGGTTAAAGTCTCTAAGACCAATATCCAAGTAGTGCCAGCTCCTTGTGGCATGTCTATTTCTAGGAAAAGAAACCCGAAGACAATGATACTGAATATTTACGGATAAGTACAGAGCTAAAGATAACGGAAATAAAGTTCAAATGAAATCTGTTAAAGCCTGAAAGTATTTATAGCGGCAAATTAGAGTGATTACTATGAAAAATATAAAGGAAAAATGCCAGGAATATCGTTACTAGGTGCAGGTGAGGAGTCACAATAATGTGGCTGAAGAATGTTGACCAGACCACACATTAGAAGGTGAAGGGACGACGACGTTTCGGTCCGTCTTGGACCATTCTCAAGTCGATTGTGACGAAACGTCGTCGTCCCTTCACCTTCTAGTGTGTGGTCTGGTCAACATCCTCACTAGGGGGTTGAAACCCCCAAAACTGGGGGTCAAAATAATGATAGATATACTATTAGCCATGGAGAGCAATGTAAAGCAGATCTGGTACTAATTAAATCTTTAATAATGACAATTGAATAATTTACAACGATGTGCTGTACAAATCTAAGGACTCCATGACGCTGGACGTAGTTCTTGACTACCAACCAGATCAAGATCGCATTCAGTTACACAATTATGATAATTGTCACTGAAGATACCCAGATAGGATAACGGTGGTTCAATATATTTTTAAAGTGAAGCTCTTCTTTATCGAACCAATGGAGTGCCGGAGAAATCTTGCCTGCGCGCGCAAGCACACAGACTCCAACAAGATGACCAAACGACACATCAGAAAGTGAAGCAATAACGACGTTTCGGTCCGTCCTGGACCATTATCAAACCATTTGATAATGGTCCGAAACGTCATGTCATGTCTTCACTTTCTGATGTGTAGTTTGTCATCATACTTTCAGGTCCGTTATATAATTGTGACTTCTGAATACTCCAGTAACAATAGGAAATATACACCCAGGAGCATGACTCTGGTCCCTGCTCCTGTGAAGCCTATTGCTGCACACCAAGTCTTGAATTTGAATTGAATTTGAATTTGAATTGAATTTGAATTCTGAAGCTATAGTCTGCAAGTCTTATGCTGCAGACATAAAGATAAGATCAAGTCTTCTCAAGCTATAGTCTGCAAGTCTTATGCTGCAGACATAAAGATAAGATTAAGTCTTCTCAAGCTATAGTCTGCAAGTCTTGTGCTGCAGACATAGAGATAAGATCAAGCCTGGTCGTTATGTCCTGCCGGTGTTCTCCCTGCGTCACGATAACGAAGGCCTCCCACTACGGACACACCCCAAAAAGTAACACACTTATGGCGCTAAATCTTTGCTTAATTCACTAGTCGGGAGTTTCTCAAACATGTCTCGGTAGACTCGACAATTTAGTTCCTTAGATCAAGTTTACCATTAAAGAGGAAGTAAATGAAGTTTTGCCATTTCTGGATATAAAGATTTATAGAAAAGATAGACCTTTTAAGTTCAATGTTTACATGAAGGCTATTATAATATTTACTCGTTTGTCCATTATTTTATCTTTAGTCATCACTTCAAAGCATTTTCCTCAATGTTTCTGAGACTTGAGAGTATTTATTCCCGAATTTACTGACAAGGAAATGGCCAAGATCTATGAAATCGCGACGAAGTTGCAATATCCTAGATCAGTGAATGGTTTTTAGATAAACGATTTTTATTACGATTTTTAGATAAATATATTTATTGACGTTAATGATCTCGGCGAATAAACCGTTTTCTCTCAATAAGTAAAGAAAATGGACATTGTTTTAGAATGAGTTTCTTGGGTAAACTTTAGCTTTTTCAATAAGCATATTGCACACATTATTTTTTAATAGAGAGCATTGGTGTGAAATTGACGTGACACTAACATGTAGACTTTCACCCCTCGTCTTTAACGTGATGTAAAAGATCGTGATGAACACCTGGAATGACGGATATTTGTGGAACTCCCTTCTATGCACAGTCCCCGTGGTGCAGTGGTAACTCGCCAAGCGTTTCGGAAGCGCTTTGGCCTGGCTTCGTATCCTGCTCTGAGAGGATTGACTGGGCGCCAATCCTTAACTGTAGTCTCTGTTTACCCAGTAGTGATTGGGTGCCTGGTTAAATGATTTGGCGGGTCGTATTCCGAGAAAAATTAGGATTAAATCCTGCCAGTAACGCTATGTGTGTTGGTGGCTTTACAAGAATGTAAGAACTCTTGTATATATATAATAAAATTAGGTAAAAAAAATTAAATACACGTCATTAAAAAGTAGAACAATGAAATACCTAATTTCAGCACCAAGTATTCTGCCCTGGGCCACTAACACATACTTAGTACTTTGCTGTCTAGAAATATAACTACATCAATGTAATTTCTTATAGTCACCACTTTATATTAACATGGTAATTACGTAAACTCAAATTCTGCCATTTACCTATATTTATTTGTTGTTAAAGACTGACGGCTTCATCTTTTGATTTTAAATTCTGTGTTAACTTTAGGATCTCTCCTGAATGTTTATTTTTCTGTTTGTCCAAAGTTGGAGGCCAGACGCTTGGGGCTAGCCTCACCCAAATTTATAGGGAAAATGGTCTATGGTACTGGACGGACACCGGCTGGTTGGGGTAGGCCTAAGTTAAATGATTTAGGAAATATTAGTCAATATTTGCGCCCCCCCCCCCCCCCCCACACACCCCCGTCCGATTCTCGCGGATTCAATTCTGGTCAAGCGTGAAATATTGATCGATATTCTCGAAGAGTTTTTCAGTCATAAAAAAATCCTAAATACAATAGCTTATGATGTATAAGTGTATAATGTACAATGTATTATATATATACATATATTATATATTATATATATATATATATATATATTATATATATATATATATATATATATAACTTTTTCCGGCTTACCAACACAATATATATACCAACCTATTGTATACCTGCTTCATAAAACACACTAGTTTTCAACCTATTATCTTTCTACCTCATAAAACATACCAGTTATACGACCTATTTCCACACAGCCTCGTAATATACACCAATTATTCGAACTCTTACGTTAATGCCTCGTGAAACACTCGTTAAACGGAGGCGAACAACCATTCAAATTAGACTGGCCGAGTGCTGTCGCAGCCTCTCGTGTCTCCTTCTATTGTCGTTTATTGCCAAACTAATACCACCCTCTTGACGGATCGCTTCCGAACACAGATTACTGGAGCGTGGCTGTCGCTACATCATCCGAGCCTCGTAATTAATGGAGGACGGAATAAACGATGGGTTCTGTTGATTATTAAATGATTAATTTGACGTATGATATCCATTACCTGCACCCCCTTCCTCTCCCCTACTACCACCCCATCCTCTTCCCTCATTCCACACCCTGTCTCTCTCCTTACCTTTCTCACTGACATTTCTTCTCCCTCATAATTATCCCCACCCACCATCTGTTTTAACTAAGACTAGAGTTTCCGATAATTGCCAATAAAATTACTGTATACTGTGAACTTCGAGCCGTTTTCATACGTGAGCTTATTTTGATGCTGGCCAAATGAGATACAAAGCTGGGCACCGTAATAGTATATAACAAGGCTCTCAGCCTTGTAAATACACAGAGGAAGTCTTAATTTCGTTTTAAAACTCTGTCAAGGAGGCGACATGCCAAAAAGAAGAAATCTATGTTGGGGAAGATGCTTGAGGGCGACTCCATCATACAATGGCGGTGCAATTCGGGAGGGAAGAGAGCTTTCCCGCTCGAGGAGACCAAGAGCATTGTTGGTACAGTGCCAGGTGCTGCTTGATTGGTCGGTGGCACGGGCCTAGCCAGGTAGACCAATCACGTAGCGACCCGGTTGTGATGTAGCGGGACGTCAGGTCACCCAATTCAAATTCAAATTTGAATTTGATACTGCAATCATTTGCAGTTTAACATAACTAAGTTAAGTCTCAAAAATAATGCTCAAGAGTCATATTCCCGACAGGCTTCGTATTTTGTAAAACTGCAATATGGGCAAAATATGTAAATATAAAAAATCAATACACTCACTTATAATCTTAATTAGCATTGGCTATAATATCGTTGAACTCAAGTTGAAGACTTACTATGTATAGTGGATAATTAGCTAGTTACTTAAGTTTTCCATGAAACGTAATTTAAGGGATGGAAGAAGTTGTGAGGGAGGAGGAGATAAGGCTGTGTGAGTCTGGCCAAGTGGCTGACGTGGGAACCATGCAGGCCCACCTGCTGGGATATTATTGTGATAAATATTCTGTTATCATCATGAATTTCATTATTAATATTATCATCGTTCTCATAATCATTATTATTTTTTTTTACTGGGATTTCCTTGGTTTGTCACATTGCATCTTTTGTTTGGTGGTTTATTTATTTTTGGTATTTTATTTACTTGTTGATAAGCTAAATGGTGGGTTTGCAATACTCTGAAATTGGTAAAATACACACACAGACCATCAGGCATATTTCTTCTATGTTGGAAAGTCTGTAAATGTATGACAATGGAACAACCATATAACTTATTTTTATTAGGCACACAGCCTAGTCTTGAACTTGTCTAGAATTGAAATTGTCTGAACTTGAACACCCTAGTCTCTACTGCAGCCTAGTAGTCTAACTACTATTGACAGAAATCCCAAATATGAGAGATAGAGTGTTTTCCATCCCTTAGTATCTAAATAATTTCTTCGAATTTACCCACTGAGTGATTTTGATTATCTTTTTACTTATGTCATAATAATCTTAACAAGAAAAACACATTTTATTAAGATCCATTTTAATTTCAGCTTCTTGTATATAATTAACTTTTCAACATAATAATATTATTTTAATAAGATGATGCTTGAAATATTTAGTGGCTTAAAGTTTCCCATAATTATCAATGCGAGCGTCGAGTATCATGATAAACTGGAGAGGGCGAAGGTTGGCTGTGACAGTGCCTCCTCGACCGCCGCCGTGAGTACACATCTGCCTCTGTCTTATCCACTTGGGCTGGACGGTAGAGCAAAGGTCTCGCTTCAGCAGGTCGGCGTTCAATCCCCGACCGTCCGAGTGGTTTGGCACCATTCCTTTCCCCCGTCCTCAGTTCATATCATCATAACACTAATTACCATCTAATTCTTAAATTCTGGCGCCAGCAGAACAGGACAGTTTTTGTGTACTGGCCATTAATACACAAGATTTCACATGCTAAATACTTTAAAACATTGTAAACCAATAATTCAACAAGTCGTGATAACGAATGCTGATTTCCGTATGGCGTGATGTTCCAGATGTTGCCAATTTTCCTCCTGGCTCTTGCGGCCTTGTGCTCGGCGGATACTCCAGGGAACTGCATGTTTGAGGACATCGAAGGTACTTGGACCTTCTCGGAGACGGAGCGGACGGGGGACAACACCATCAGCTGTGACGAGCTGGGCCCCATCGTCCACACCAAGACCTTCACCCTCAGCTTCCCCAACACTGTCAACGATGAGCTGGGCAACCACGGAACTTGGACCCTGATCTACAACCAGGGCTTCGAGGTGAGTCCTGTTTTCTTCGCCGAAGTAAAGCATAAAGCCTAATATTTCATGTACACGTATATGGTGTACTGAGCTTGGGAAAATATATATTATTCGAAAGCTGTACAGATAGAAATAAGGGAAGGTAATATAGGTTATAACCTTATACGATATTATATGATCTAAGGGAAATAATGCGATTTCACATTATTTCAGCGTCACAAACTGTTATTTTAGTTTATTTATTATGCACCCCCATACATCCTTTAGACTGTAATGGAAAAGGTTACAGACACACGTATTGAGTTCAGGGACTGACCCCGAAAATTCATGTAGCTAAGCAAGATACAGTCTTGATAAGCTAGTTACAAAATATAATGCATATTGTTAGATCAACAATTATTAGGATAGAGAGCAAGTGTGGTTTTGTGAGAAAAAACGAGCAATTTTTAACCCTTGATTCACTTGTTATTTTTTCGTTATGGGATTAGAATAAATTATTTTGCTTCAATGATTTGAAGTATTTGTTCATATTTTAAAATTTATGCTATGTCAGTCACATCTGCAAATATGTTCCTTAGTTTATGTCAGTGAGAAGTTGAGGCTTCATATAATACCATGTAAGGTCACTTACTCCTCTATAACATATGTTTTACATTTATTAAATAATATTTAACGGGGAAAAATAAATTGCGATACAAAGAGGAACACGAATAAATTCCTCTTGCATGTAATCACGTCCACCAAACTCTTACTCTTTCCTCAGTGAATAATATTTTCCGTCCGCCCTCTTACCCTTGTCTTGCGAACAGGTGAACATCAACGAGCGGTCGTACTTCGCCTTCTCCTACTTCGAGGGTGACTTCTTCTCCGCAACTTCTTACTGCGACCGCACCTTCAATGGCTGGTCGCGCGACCGAACAGTCAGGAACTGGTCGTGCTTCACCGCCCAGAAGAACACACAGGTACATTCACACTAGTGACGATTGTGCAAGTGGTGTACATATAATGGGCTCATTGGTGGGCTACATATTGGTGTCTGTCACTAAGATAGGATCGAATATAGTTCACCGCATGGCCTCGGATTCCATAATGGTGAAGTTTAAAAGGTAGTTATGATTTACAGTATCGAAGGTCTTTCTCAGGTCAATGAAGAGCCCAAATAGGAATTATTATTATTATTAATAGTAGTAGTAGTAGTACAGTAGTAGTATTATACACATTTAAGTTGAAATCTTCCTTTTTACAGCCCCATAACAAAGGGCATCGTTCCTGTTATTTATGAAATTTAAAGCTGTTGCTGTATTGCCAAAAATTTGACAGTGACTCAAGCGAGGCTCCACCTATTGTTCGTCTTGTTCTCCAGGTGGCGCCTCGCGTGAGTCAGAGACCCGTACAGAGAGACCTCGACCATTTCTTCAGCAACGACTACAGCCTCATCGAGCAGATCAACGCCGCCCAGAGCTCGTGGACAGCTAAAGCGTATCCCGAGTTCGAGATGTTAGTAGTGTGCTTGCTTTAAAGTGTCATGTTTATTTCAATATTGTCATATACACTCATGATTATGCACTGAATAGCTACTTGTTTTCCAGCTTAACTTCAAGCATCAGTGACAATTTTAAAAATCTAAACATTTATATAGTTAGATTAGAATCAGAATACTGCTGGTGGCTCCAGGTACACGAGAGAGGAGATGCAGCGGCGGGCCGGTGGGCTGCGATCTCCCGGCTTCGTGAGGCCTCGTCCGGCCCCCGCTACCGCAGAACAGAAGGCTCGGGCTGCTCTTCTCCCGGAGAGCTTCGACTGGCGTGACGTGGATGGTGTGAACTATGTGTCACCCGTGAGGGACCAGGGCGGCTGCGGCTCCTGTTTTGCATTCGCCTCCATGGCCAATCTTGAAGCCCAGTTGAGGATCGCCACCCGCAACGAGCGGCAGGATATCTTCTCCCCTCAGGCAAGACTTGAGCAATAATATTTATAAAATAGAATGTCTGTCAGTTTTTCTGTCCGAAATAGATGAGACGTTTTGGCGCTAGCTTCACCCAACTTTCCAAGATGACACATGAGGGGGTGGGGGAGTACTGAGTGTCATAGGCAAGTTGGGATCGGCCACAGTCCCAGTCTTTAAGAAATATCGGCATCTATAGCGATTTTCATGAAGTCTGAAGTCGTGGATGATCTAGCTTCTCTCACACAGCCTTGATCTAGTTTCTCTTACTTAGTGTTGCCTCTCCTCTCCTCGTGAGGTGACCTGGAGGTGACCTAACCTAACCTTGACCCGGTGTGACCTTCTCCCTCAGGACGTGGTGTCGTGTTCCTACCTGGCTCAAGGATGTGATGGGGGCTTCGACTACCTGATCGCCGGCCGTTATGCCCAGGACCAGGGCGTCGTTGCTGAGGAGTGCAACACCTACGTAGGCGTAGTAAGTATCTGGCCTTCACCTCCCTGTGAACAGGTAATATTATGGAAAGATTACGGGCTATTCATGCCCGTGCCACCTCTTGGGTGGCTTAATCTTCATTAATTTTCAATCGGTAAAGAGAAACGAGAAATCTTGGCATTTTATTATTTACTTGGGTACGTTTCTTTTGATGCCTCTGTTCACCTAGCAGTAAATAGGTAACCGGGAGTTAATCACCTGTTGTGAGGGGCATCTTGGGTCAGCAGTTCGACCTTGAGGAACCTTGATATAGGTCTAAATGCAGGCTTCCTGTCCCAATGGGAAATATATATTTAAATTATATTACGATTTTTAATGCAAAATACAATTACATCTATTTCAATAATTTATATTGACAGTGATTTGTTACAATTAAGAGTTAATTGGGTAGTGTGCATCTGGTGCACTAATAAGAGGCCGTGGGAACACTGACCTCTCCACCTCTTCAGGACAGCCAGTGCTCCACATCCGAGTCCTGCTCTCGTACTTACGTCAGTGAGTATGTACACGTTGGAGGCTACTACGGTGCCTGCAACGAGGAGGTCATGCTGGAGACCCTCGTCAACACTGGACCCATCTCGGTGTCCTTCGAAGTTTACTCTGACTTTAGTTTCTACAGCGGCGGCATCTACCACCACCTCGATCTCAAGAACGACTTCAACCCCTTCGAGGTAGCAGCTCTTGTGCAGGCGATGAGTCACAATAACGTGGCTGAAGTATGTTGACCAGACCACACACTAGAAAGTCAAGGGATGACGACGTTTCGGTCCGTCCTAGATCATTCTGATGGACCATTGGACCATTGAGAATGGTCCAGGACGGACCGAAACGTCGTCGTCCCTTCACCTTCTAGTGTGTGGTCTGGTCAACATTAGCAGCGGTGTTGTGGGAGCCAGTTCTTTGGTCACCCATGTTGGTGTCTCCTAGTTCATGTCTTAGATTTGTATTGTATCACGAGACGAGTAAATATAGTTTAGGCCAAAGGACTTATATGGCGATAATTATTTCTATAGTCATCTTGCTAGTTATAGAGCTTATTATTACTAATATTATTGTACACCCCATTCACCCACTGCTCCACAATTAATGCTCTTAAATAAAATGGTAAAATGAAAGTCAGTACACACAGAAATCACAATAGCGTGAAGCATCAAATGAACAAATCCACGGAATCCTTGGTAGGTCAAGTTGATTTCCCGGTTGCAATTCTTATCACCATGTCGTAGCTCAGACGATTAAAGCGCGTCTGGGATCCTCTTGGACGTAGGTTCGAGAGGGCGGCCCTTGTGGATTTGTTCATGAAAATCAATTATAACGATAATCAAGCATTGTCTAGAACTTTAGTACTCACCTCACCTAATTGTGCTTGCGGGGGTTGAGCTCTTTGGTCCGGCCTCTCAACTGTCAATCAACTGGTGTACAGATTCCTGAGCCTACTGGGCTCTATCATATCTACATTTGATTTAGTGGTTTACCTTGCACGCAGATCACCAACCACGTGGTGCTGGTGGTGGGCTACGGGGTGGAGGAGACCACGGGCGAGAAGTTCTGGACGGTGAAGAACTCTTGGGGCGCTGACTGGGGCGAGGACGGCTTCTTCAGGATCAGGCGAGGCACGGACGAATGTGCCTTGGAGTCCATGGCTGTTCAAGTCACCGTAATACCTTGAGAAGGTGCCCAAGAAAAGAAAGCAACATCGAATATAATAGTATGAGAAGAATACTTAGAACAGTAAAATAAAATATTAAAAGGTGTATTTTTTTTTACCTAATACTTTTTGGGGAATTTGATATATATACCGCTCTCATGAGTCGCTCTTCTGAGAGTCGTACTTAGAGTCGCTCTTCTTCTGAGAGTCGTGAATATTTTCATGTTTTACTTATATAATATTACACCAGGTATGTGATAAAATGAGTACCAAATGTTTAAATATTTAATATACTAAAATAGATGCATGACTAGTTAAGCTCCTTCTTTAGTGCTATCAGCCTGTTTAACTAGTAGTCAGACCTGTATGTATCATTTGGTGATTGACGGAGAGATAGGAGATGGCGAAATTAACCAATCAGAGCAAAGGTAGCAGGAACTAACATGCCGTCATTGGTCGGTGAATCCGTGCACGCTGACAATGCTAACATTACGCCCAGTAACTAGTCAACGATGCCTGTAGTCGACGGCTCTTTCGTTTCAAGCAGTGACTGTGGTGGTGGTGGACTCTAACGAGCTGAGAGGAAAGCAATTGTCTGGTGGGGAAATCAAGTTACTTCCTCGGCGGTCACTTCGGTAAACGCTTTTGCCATCAAGCTGCACTGACACTGCTTTACAGTCAGTAAAGACTGTAGCAGCAGCAGTAGTGGATGAGGATCACTCGAGTTGTAGCATCACCGAGGAGCCAGCCTGGGAGCTACAACTCGACCGACAGTGTGTGGTGGAACTGTGTGCAACGTGTTTGAGTTGTTTCCTGTGTGAGCTGAAGACAGTCGAGACAATGCACGTCATAATTACCGAATCGACAACACTACCTTGCAGCAGAATGATGAAGAAAGTCAGATTCTGAAGCTGACTCTGAAATCAGATTCTGAAAAAGAGATTCTGAAGTCAGAATCCATCATTTATTGACAGTTGCACAATAAGTGGGAGCTGCATTAAAAGGAAACAATCTCCAGGAATAGCCAAAGGAGCCTTTGATTTCAAGAAAGAGGTATAGTTATTCAACTGTACAAATCTCCGGTGCTCCCCTGTTTGAACTACTGTATCTAAGCATGCAAATCTCGTCTTCAGAAGGACATATCTGCTTTGGAGAAAGTTTAACATCGGGCGGCAAAAATTATCATAGGACTAAGTAGATTCTCATACCAGAAACTGTCGAGGGCCACAGGACTAACCGACTGTAAACCAGATATGACAGGACTGGTCTCATCAAGACCTTCAAAATACTAAACAAGTTGGAGGATATTACCAAAGACCACATCTTTAAAAGGTCAAACGTAACGTATACAAGGGTGCAAGAGCTTTATCATTCATAGGTTTATAAAACCCATGGAACCGTCTACTCGCCGAAGCCATAAGTGTCGAGCCGTAAGCAAAGAACCACTAACACTAGTGGCCTCGATGAGGACAGGAAGCCGGCGGCTTGCCGCCTCCAACTTCAGTTATATGGATACCATCTCACATAGGTGTTGTCCAACATGATGATACTGACAGTGTAGCTAAAGCTCATGTGATGAAGCTGAAATTGAGTTAGACCTAGGTATTCCAATCTCTCTTAAAAAAACAATATTTTAGTTTTCTAGGGCTGGCAGAAGAGCAGTCACTGACACTCATAGTGCAGAGAGCCCGTTTATAAAGAGATATGTGTTTAACCCCGCGAACTAAACATACGGACAGCACAAAACATCCACTAGACACTGTTACATTTTAATTGCTAGAATTAAGCTGGGGAATATCTATACTATGGCTGCAGGTAATGCATCCCAATTGTAGTCTATATGAACAAGACCTAGGGTGAATGACTTCAAACCAATTGGTATGAGATACTTTGAGCTCTGTAACTACTTCATACACTCACGAATATTGGAAGAGATCATTCTTATGCTCTACCCAGAGTCTGCTAGTGCAAGCTAATAGAGTACTCTCGTATCTTGTGTTTTCTCATTCCATGTATGACTCTCTGTGGGACGGGGATATTATATAAACTCTTATCTAGTTCTTGATCTGTACCCCTGTACGTCTTGATGTACAATAGGATAGCATCACATTGCTGTGTGTGTCTAAGCGTATTAGCAAAATATTTTGCTTCACTTCAAAATCCATATTTAAAAAATCCACATAAACAATATGAGGACCTTTGACAAGCCGCCGGCTTCCCGTTCCCGTCGAGGCCACAAGAGATAGTGGCCCTCGGGTAAATTCGGGTAAAAAAAGATAAACCAAGATGTACCTAATTAACATCATTATTTTTTATTTTTTATTTATTTTTTATTTATTTATATATAAGAAGGTACATTGGATTTGTGAGGATACATAGCATAGTATTTACAATCTTGTAAAGCCACTAGTACGCGCAGCGTTTCGGGCAGGTCCTTAATCTAACAGATAATTTTAAGTAGGTAAATTCTATCAAAATTAATAAAATTATAAGATATATTGCAAGGGAAAAAAATGAGAGATTAGTTGGTATATTAAAGCACATTGGTATATTAAAGCTCTGATTGATTGCATTGACAGCTTGATTGGTAATTTAAACAAGATTAATAGGCACCATACAGCAAATTGATAGCACATATAAGACAGCAATGATTACAATGGTAAAGTTGTTTGGATTAGGTACATAAAGATTGGGAGATTGGGTAGCAATAGATACAGTGCAATTTTAAAGCAACAAGGTAGGAAACTATGAAGATGAAATTAGATACTTTTTAGTTTTGTTTTTGAATGATGCAAAAGTTGGACAGCTTTTCAATTCATTAGGGAGTGAGTTCCTTTGACTGGGTGACTGGGTCCCTTTATTTGCAGTGTTTGCACAGATTAAGTTTGACTCTGGGGATATCAAAGATATATTTATTTCTGGTGTGGTGATAATGGGTCCTATTACATCTGTCCAGGGAGAGTTTCAGAACATGGTTTGCATTTAAGAACAGGGTTTTGTAAATGTAGTTGACACAAGAGAATTTGTGGAGTGAGATTATGTTTATTAAAGCGTGTTTAGGGAGTTAAACAAGGAGGCTGAGTGTTGTCTGAAATCAGAGTTTGTTATTATTCTGACAGCAGATTTTTGCTGGGTGATGATGGACCTGAGGTGGTTTGCAGTGGTTGAACCCCATGCACAGATACAATCATGTAACAAGCTCAAGTTCAAGTATATTTATTGAGATAAGAAAGAAATACATCTCAAAGGGATAGAGTAGCTTAGGCTGTTTCTACCCCACCAATCATGTAACCAACATCATGTAACAAAATTCCCATTAATTTCCTCACCTTAGATAAGTCAAATTGTGTTTGCGGTTATCGTGAATATTAAGTACTATCCCAATTACAACTAAAGTTTACAACTTGATTCTAATTGGGACGTCACGTGAATCCCATTTATATGACGTCACTGAGCAGTGTGTGACGTAAAGTTATGACGTCACTGAGTGAACCCGACTCAGACACAACGAAAACAACAACAAATACTAGTCCTCTTGTAGTCATATGAGTATCTTTATTTTATCCTAACTTAAATTTGTAAACCTACCAAATGAAAATAACTAATGAAGGTCATAGATTAATTAATTTACGTAAGATATTTTTTCTAGATTTGTTTTAACGATGAGAGTTTTGTGTAAATAATAAGACAGGACTGTAGGTTTTATTAGTAATAATGGCGACATACTTGCACACAGCAGTTTACGTGGTGTCAATAACAGCGTCTTTATGTCGTGTCCCGGAAGGTATGAGTTCCTCGTCATGTTGTATGACATATAAATAATGTTGGTGAATGTGAGTGTGAGCGAGGCAGGGTAATGGAGGCTGCTAGGGAGGAGGAGTTGGGGGAGGCGCCAGGGTGTCTGAGTGGCTGTCACACCTCTTGTGTACCCCTGCTGCCCTGCCCCCTATTACCCTGTCTTTGTTGCCCTGCCCCTGCTGCCCTGTCCTTGCTGCCCTGCTCCTATTACCCTCTTCTTGATGCCCTGCCCCTATTACCCTGTCCTTGGTGCCCTGCCCCTATCACCCTCTTCTTGATGCCCTGCCCCTATTACCCTGTCCTTGCTGCCCTGCCCCTATTACCCTGTCCTTGCTGCCCTGCCCCTATTACCCTGTCCTTGCTGCCCTGCCCCTATTACCCTGTCCTTGCTGCCCTGCCCCTATTACCCTGTCCTTGCTGCCCTGCCCCTACTACCCTGTACTTGGTGCTCTGTCCTATCACCCTGTCCTTGCTGCTCTGCCCCTGCTGTGCTATCCCCTGGCTAATCTGCCTATGCTGACTGCTTGGGCCATGCTACCTTGCCCCCCCCCCTTAGTATCTTGCCCTGTGCATCCCTGTCCCTTCTGTCTTGACATCTACCCTGTCTTTGTTGCTCTGTCCCTACTAGTATGCCCTAGCTACTCTGCCCCTGTTATCCTTCCCCCTGCTGCTCTGCTCCTGCTGTCCTTCCCCCCTGCTGTCCTTACCCCTGCTGCTCTGCCCCTGCTGTCCTTCCCCCTGCTACTCTGCCCCTGCTGTCCTTCCCCCTGCTGTTCTGCCCCTGCTGTTCTTCCCCCCTGCTGTTCTGACCCTGCTGTCCTCCCTGCTGTTCTGCCCCTGCTGTCCTCCCTGCTGTTCTGACCCTGCTGTCCTCCCTGCTGCTCTGCCCCCCTGCTGTCCTTCCCCTTGATGCTCTGCTGCTGTCCTGCTCCCTGCTGTCCTGCATTTGCTGCCCTGCCCCCTGACTACTTTACCCATACTGCCTTGCCCTCTACTACCCTACCATACAGCCTTGCCTCCAGCAATCCCTGACCCTTCTATTCTGCCCCCAATTCCCCTGCCCTCGCTGACCTGTCCCTTACTACCCTGCTCCTACTGTCCTGGCCCATAATACCCCTGATCCTGCTCCACTTTCCCTGTTGCTTTAGCCCCATTCCTCTCCCCCCGTGATGACCTGCTTCTGCTATTCTGCTCCTGCTGCACTGCCATGCCCCTTATGTTGCCATGCTACCCTACCCCTGTTGCCCTGCCCATACTGCCTTACCCCTTACTACACTGCCCATCTATTGTGTCCATCCTCTTTACTCTGTTGCTGCTCTGCTTATTCTGCTCTATACCTGCTGCTTGCCCTTACTTGACACCTCCTTCAGCCCTGCCTTTGTGCCTCTGCTGCCCCTTAGCTACTGCTCTACCCTTTTACTCTACCCCTGCTGTCCTGCCATTGTCACTCTGTCTCTGCCACTGCTGAGCTCTCTACTGCCCTGTCTTACTGTCCTTCGCCTGTCACCCTGTTCCTTACTGCTGTGCCTTGTGCTGGTCTGTCTCTGCTGTCTACCCATTACCCCAGGTGCCCTTCCCTTGCCCTTATTGCCCTAAACCTGCTGTGCTGTCTGTGTTGGCTTGCTCCTATTGCCCTTCATTTGCTGCCCTGTGTTGTGACCTAAAATATTGTAAATTTAGCTAGACATTTTCTTGAGTCCTTCCAGCACATGAGTAAAGGTGAATCAAGCTATGAAGAATGCAAATGATGGTTCAAGAGATTAATGGAGGTTAGGTCCTTTGGGGTGTGAGGATCCAGCCAAGATGTGAATTGACTGCGTCAGGTCAAACCTTGACAGAGAACAGGCGTGACATCTAGTTATAATAAGGAAATTTTGGCTTTAACTGAATACAATGCCTACAGTGGTTCAGGATGTAGCAGAGGCATGGAATGCCCACGTGAGTCATAGCCTGAGGCAGTGGGCAGTTGTCATGTCTTGAGATGTCACAACAGGAATGTGACTAATCATCCAGACCATTCTAGTGAGGACCTCTCGAGTTAGCGATACATGCCAGGACCTTGGAGTTAGTCTCTCTTCAGGGGAGTGGAGGGCCAAAGAACGAGGTTCCCAGAGCCGAGTATGGAGTCTCATTTGACTGTATGTATGGTCGAATTTGTGTAAGTTTGTGTGAGTATGAGGAAGCTAACACTGGAGGGGAATGACTTGAGTAAATTCTGGGTTAGGTTGGTAGGCTAATTAATGTGGATTGGTTAGCATCCTTTGTGTGGACTGGGTAGAGTCCAGGAGTGTGGACTGGTATGGTTCAGGAATTGGCATAATGTACAAAAATTATATTTAAAATACTATATATATATGTAATAAATACCAAATATACTTGAGCTTCAGTATCCTCTCCTTGTAAATTCATGTCATGAGCTGAACAGTTCATCTCGGAGAGATAGGTTGTAGTTTGCTGATTTTTTTTCACATGGGCAATGATTTAATCACATATGACAGATACATGCATTACACTACAATATGTAAGTCTCCATTTTCAACATGGTGTCGCACAGTATGTAAATTCTCATTACATTACCTGTCCCTGTTGCTCTCAACCTACTGCTCTGACTCTTCAACCCTACCACTGTTATGCTATTGTCTTGCCCAAGTAGCTCTACCCTTCTGACTCTCCACTGCTAACCTGCCTTTATCACTGTTCCTGCTGCTCTGTCCCTGTTATTCCTACCTTTCTGCATGGTTTCTGTTGCCCTTCCCCTGTCACTCTGCCCCTGCTGCTCTGTCACTGCTGAGCTGACTTTTTCCATGGTGTACTGCCTCTAATGCCTGCCCTTATTTGGGCTGGATGGTAGAGCAATGGTCTTGCTTCATGCAGGTTGACGTTCAACCCACAACTCTCTAAGTGGTTGGGTACCATTCCTTCTCCCTTTCCATCCTATCCGATCCCAAATCCTGATCCCTTCCAAGTGTAATATACAGTAGTCATAATTGCTTGGCACTTTCTCCTAGTAATTCTCGTCTCTTCCCAGTCTCTGTGTTCCTGCTACTCTGTTCTTTCTGGGCTCCTTTGCTGCTACATACTGTCCTTTCTGCCCTCCTTTGCTGCCTACTCTGGCCTTACCCCGACTACTCTTCACCCATACCTTGCCTCCTAATGCCCTGCCCCTGCATGTTGGTAGTCTAATGAAGGCTAGTGGCCAGATGGGGCATCCAGAATGTTGTAAGGGCACTAATTGGCAATTCTTGGGATGCCAATCTAATAACATATTTGTTTATTTTCCCTTTAGGCATTATGGAAAGTGAAAGTGGCAAAATACAGGAAGATGAGATTTGGACAGGAGGAGGAGAAAATGCATTTGTCAATATTAACAACAAATTTGAAGTAGTGAGGGAGGATTTCAAGAACTATGAAGTGGGCTCAATGACTGACAGTGTCTCTAGTCAAGTCAATATGCAAAATGTTTCACAGGTAAGTAAATATATTTTTATGATCTGCCATTCTGGTTCTCCTATATCCTGAATGTCCTAAGGCATGCCATCTACAGTCTGGCAAGCTGTGTAACGCACCAGTACCATAGAGACTACAGCATCCCTGAAGGGTCATGTATGGTGCTTTGGAAGTCACTGGAGATGTCATCTGGCCAGAATAAACTGATGCTCCGATTGTCTCTTCACAAGCACAAGTTTTCCCAGAACCCTTAGTGATGTTACATTTGAGAATGATAATGGGAATCCTAAACTAACCTAATCCACCATTTACAAACAACCTTTCTCTGCCTTATCATCAAATGGCAGCACCTCCCCCAAATCCAGGGTTCTCTGGTTTATAGCAATAGTTCCTCCTCACATACAATTGACTAAGATCAATCCAAAACTTAGCTTGCTGGTTGTCATGTGGCAACCTATGCCATCTTTTTCTTAGCCAAGAAAGAAGATGGCTGCAGATGAAGGAACCAACTCCAAACATCAAACAAACAAAATCCCTTCTTCCTGAGGAGGGCATAAAGTGCCCCAACCCAATAGCCAGAAGTGAGGGCCAACGAAAAGACCATCTTAAAGAAAAGATCCTAGAAAAGAGAGAGGGACATAGTAAAATGAGAAAAAGAAAGAAAAAGCTCATGATCCAAAGACAAAGCAAGCTTAGCAAGAAAATTAGCCAGCTGGAGGTGGGGGGGGGGGGAAGCTAAGGAACTTGTAAAATGGCAAAGACAAAACGTTGATGCCAAAAGCTAACAAGAGGTTCCACAGAAGCTGACAGGAAGCAATATTAGGCATTAAACAACAGTCAACAAATAGGCAAGAAAGACAGGATCACCAGAACTGACACCGAAGCACCTCAAAAGATGAACTGTCCAGAAACACCTGGAACACCAACTCAACCTTATGCCATTCATGTGTTTGGGTATGACTGAAACTGTGCCAAGCCCCAGAGATAAAAGGGAACCATTTGCAAGCAAAGGTAAAGATGGCACCTTAAACCTCAACTAAGAGAAAGAAACAAACCCAAGCTCAAAAGAGGCAGGAGCCATTAATGAGGTGAGGTTCTAATCTTGCAGAAGGAATCTGCACAAAAAGGATGGATCCCAGAGTCCTACCAGCACTCTGAAATGCACCTGTAGGAGCGACAGAGGAATAGAGCTAAAACTTCAGGGGGGGGATACATAAAATTCTCTGTGCTAAGTGAAAACTCCTCAGAACCAGACAGAAGAGATCATAAAGGGTTGAATGGCATGTACAGATCTACCTTAGGCTTCCCCTAACAACTGCAGATGCCCACCAATTTGTATAGAGGGCCTCAGGGAAGAACTAAGGTTTCCCCATCAAATGCCAAAGATCGACAAGCGTCCCTTTCCCATGGGAGCATCCGAGTCAATAAGGACCCCTCCCCTTTTTCTCCCTTTAGAAGAGAAGGCAAAGAATCTCTGATGTGAAACTCTGGCTCAACTGTCCCCGAACCAAAAGGAGCCAAAAATTCTGAAGGACCCAAATGCTTCAGAGCTTGGACCAGGGGAGAAAGAAAGTGGCTGGGTGCACTACACCAGCATCTCCCAAACTACAGGGCAGCAAGGAGGAGGAGCAAACTTTTGTTTTAACATGTCTGCAATAACTAAATGCTTCATCTTGTCAAAAAGTAGAAGAGGCGCCAACTTCAGCTCACTCAAGTCAGACCATGGCAGCTAAAGGCAAAAACGGGGATGTCTTGGAAAGATTTGGTTGAAACTGAGGAATTAATACAATCATCAACCCAACATATGGAATGATAGACAGAAGGGATAATTATTGACGAAACTGCATTGCACTCGGGAAAATCATGCACAGCAGTGGTTAGCTCAGAGGAAAGGTTCACTCCACTCCTAGAACACATGAAACCTGTGGGGAAAATCATGCACAGCAGTGGTTAGCTCAGAGGAAAGGTTCACTCCACTCCTAGAACACATGAAACCTGTGGGGAAAATCATGCACAGCAGTGGTTAGCTCAGAGGAAAGGTTCACTCCACTCCTAGAACACATGAAACCTGTGGGGAAACTCCAACACTGACTGGAGGTGATTGGCTGGAAGGCCGAGCACGGGGGGTCACAATAACCACATCAAAAGAGGATTTATATTATGTGTGTGTACATATATTTCTAAAGAAAATTACTGCCAAAGAATTTTTTTTAAATGTTCTTAGCATTTAGAAACAATATAAGTCAAGGTACTGTATGTACCAATCTTGTATTTGTAATTAATATGTTTTGTTGTGTACATTTCAGCTGAACAGAGATGAATTGGATTATGTGAATTCTGGTTTGTTGGATTTGTTACAAAATACATCCCCTGGAGTTACTGCAGTAAATGAATCCCCTGGTAATAGTGTGGAAGTCAAACCAGAAGAATTTGATAGATATACAAGAATATCTTGTATCAAATGCAACCAGCCACATTGTTACAGTCTCACCGAATGCCACAATGCAATTATGGTAACTCCTGAGTCTGTATAAATGTAAATATATATTTATGCATAATATATTAAGAAAATATTCACTTTTCTTTGTATACTGTATTAGTAAAAATTTTGACGATTTTCAGATTAATCTAGTGATTACAGAAATTAATACAGTGCAGTATTATTCAGTTTTTTGTATGCTCATTAGCTATGATGTTCCTAAATCACTTGATATGTATATTGTACTCTGTTTTGGTGTCTTTGGATAGTGTTGGAAAGCTCGCACCCGCAATGAAGTTGGTGAAGTACAAGAGGCTCGAGGTTGTATTGCCAACCCTGATCATGTGTCTATGCAATGTGGTATTAAAGAAAATCCTCGTACACCGCTCAAAATTGAATGCTGCCGAACTAGCTACTGTAATAATGGTAGTTTCCCAGTTCTACCATCTACAGATCCAAGTATGTTTAGGGAAATATTTTCAGTGATGCATCAGATGTTAGATAATTTAGTAACAGATTTTGTGTGTAGACATGACTTCTTATGCAGTAGGGTACAAACACCTTTATCTGGTTCCTTAAAAAAGTTATTGCTATTTAAGTAGAATAAATAAATATAAATATTACATTGCATTAGTAACAAAACTTTTGGTATGAATTGAAAAACTGAATGATCTATAAAATTACACCAGATATTAACCAAAATTTATTGTTGGCTGGAATTATGTAAAGTCTCGGACATCTGACCACCTCAGTGCTGACATGGTTTCCCATTGTTTTGGTCGCCGTACTATAGAATGGATATAAATTCACTAGAACGCGTCGAGCGTAGGATGACAAAGTTGATCCCCCAAATTAGAAACCTGTCATATGAAGAAAGATTGACAAAGCTTAAATTACATTCTCTAGAAAGGCAAAGAATTAGGGGGTGACATGATAGAAGTGTACAAGTAGATGAATGGACATAATGAAGTGGATATTAATAGGGGTATTAAAAGTATCAACACAAGACAGAACACAAAACAATGGGTATAAATTGGGTAAGTTTAGATTTAGGAAAGACCTGGGTAAATACTGGTATGGTAACAAGGTTGTTGATTTGGGGAACCAATTATTGCATAACGTAATAGAAATAGGATCCCTTGATTGTTTCAGGTGTAGGTTAGACATATATATATATATATATATATGAATTAGATTGGGTGGTTATAAATAGGAGCTGCCTCGTATGGGCCAATAGGCCTTCTACAGTTACCTTCATTCTTATGTTCATTATTGAGGACAGAATGTCTGTTTGGCTGAACTGCTGCTCTGATAATTAAACTACAGGTAGTTATATTACCCATTTTTAAAAGACGTTTCACCAGTACAGTATACACATGTGTATTATATATATTATACCATTAGATAGGGTACACAGTGGTGCTCAAGTCTTGCTTCTCCCCTTTCCCCTCTTTTTACCCTCAGTGCCCTCTTTCAATCGTTATTTGACCTATATCTTTATAGACATATATTTCCAAAGTTATACATAGTGAATTCCACCATTAACACATCAATACAAAATGCGAGCAGGAAATAAATAAATAAATGAACAAAGTTATTCTCATGTGGCACCACCTCATTACTACTGAAAAAACACAACTTTCCGGTTTACTACAGCTAAACCATGATGGGTAGAGACTTTTTACATGGCTTTTCTTGCTTCCTAGATGCTAATTAATAATGTCAAAGGGAAAAATAAATTCAGAATTGTTCTTGCTCATAACAGTCAATACAGCAATATAGCCTGTGCAGTTTTAAGGGTTAATAGTATAGATTGAATGAGTGGGTCTTGTTGTTACTTGAACTGTAATAAAAAATGCAAAATTAAAAATATAAATATTTAGCTACATTTCAATTTAGTTGGAGCAAAACATTTTGGGCGGGTTCTGATACCGAAGAGTTAAATCAGATAATTATGTTGATGCTTCATAATGTGGTAGTAGCAGTGATTGTCGTTTACCTCTTTCTGTTTATTTGTGGGTGTAGCTTGGTGTTTGTTTAACAGACTGCTCAGTAAATATTGTATTGTACAGTCAAATACAGCAGCATCTACAGCATTACCTCAAGCCAGTAAGTGTGGTTAAAATGTTAACTTCAAGGTGAGAGGCATATATTTTATAGGAAGAATTAGTAGGAAAAAGATATCCTCTTGAAATTTCTTCATCGTGAGTCAGGTCTGCTGACAGTTGAGTACGGTTTTGAATACATTGCTACGGTTGTCGTATCCATTAAAGGCAAGAATTTTTTCTAAGCTGCAATAAATAGAAAAAGGCGAAGTGAATAGAGAATAAGCACTGTATTGTATAAATGTTTGTATATGTGAAAGAAAATGATGGAGAATGAGAGTGCCCCCTTGTGTATTATTCATATTTAAATATAATATTCTATCATATAAACATTTCTTACAAAATTTGTAGAGCTGTATTTTGCAGTATTAGAAAGATATACAGTACAGTACTTAAAGAAAATAAATTTTCTTACAGTGAAAGATAACGAATCGCGAGCATTAAGGATATTTGTGATTCATGTGGTTCCTGTCATGGTAGTTATTGTAATTGCCATTGTTGTAATCCTCCTGCTACGTCGCGCCCATAATCGTAGGATGCGGGAATATGCAGCAGCAGCTGCGGCTTCTGCATTACCACCACATCATGCTCTGTACAGAGATGAACTTAGAGTAACTGCTGCAGGAGATTCAACTTTACGGGTGAGTTATCAACATGACTTCATATCCCCACATTGCCTTGTGTTATACTTGACCAAAATGGATGAAAGGTAATTGTAGGGGGAAAAGGAGGTTAATGATAATATATATATATTCATACATTATTATTAGTCATTACTATGTGGGCTCAGTATTGATACAAAAGGGGAAAATATATTGAAAGAAAATTTTAAATTAATAAATGATAACAAATAATAATAAATGAACATAAATAACATAATAAATAAACTAATTAAAATTGCATGAACTTTAGGAAAAGACTTTGTTATAATATTTGTAAAGTACAGTTCTGTATATGCTTTTCTTATATTTGATGCACAGGAAATCTTCAATGACTCCATCACATCTGGAAGTGGATCGGGTCTGCCTTTACTGATCCAGCGCACCCTTGCCAAGCAGATCTGGCTAGCAGAGGTTATTGGGAAGGTAAACAAATATTTTATAGTATGATTTGATAATGTTCTTGCCTTCCCAGCTACACTTTTCTGACTTGTTGTTTTTGTGCGAGTTTGTCACGTAAGAATTTATAGAATTTGTGTAAGTAAACAAATGTTGATAACTTTAACTGGTTTTTTATATAATACTGTAGCTCCAGCATTTTGCTGAAGGTATAATGTCTTGCATTAAGTAATATGATGTTTGCCAAAGCTGCCAAGTTCAAACTAGTCCAAAAAGAGAGCCATTTAGTGCAGGCGATGAGTCACAATAACGTGGCTGAAGTTGTTTGACCAGACCACACACTAGGTGAAGGGACGACGATGTTTCGGTCCGTCCTGGACATTCTCAAGTCGATTGAAAAAGAGAGGAGAAAATGGGGTAGTGAACAGGAGGAAAAGTGACAAGCACAGTAAACAGCTGCAAAACTACATCTGTCGCTGCAGCAAATTCCCCAAGAAGACCTGCTTGCCTGAAATGACTCTCAGCCACATAGTTTTCACTGTGGAGGGGTGGGGGGATGAATGGAATAGTAAGCTCTGGACACTTAGTATTAATTCATTGTTCTTGACTCACTTGGGGGAGAAATAAATGACAGGCACATTAGGCAACAGGACAGTGGATGGTCAGCCCACTAGTACATTGAATATTATTAACCCACAAAGGAGCCAAAGTTTAAAATTGATTTGTTTATTGAATTGCTTAAATGAGATACCCTGACTATGGTTACCCATTTGAGGCAATAAAATTTACGTGACTAGGACAAGAGAGCAGTATTTACAGCCACAGTGAACACTACTCTGCACGAGGTTCTGATTTTCAACCCTCGCCGACCCATGCAACAACCCCCCAAGCTACACGGTCATCAGTCTGTCGCCCAATCTTTTATACAGCTGTTGCGGGCTGAGTAAAGTCCTGCGGTATCATTTGATCTTGACTGGTAATCTCAAGTGGATTAGTAAAGCTGCAACATATCTGACATCATCATTATTTCCTATGCTTTTGACTTAACCTGACCTGGCAAGGTTGTTAGCACCCATAGGAGGTGTGATTTCTCATTGTCTGCTGATGGACTACTTGTTGCCGCAACCAGATCTGTTCTATTGTTACCCTGTTCTAATGTTCTCATGTTGCAGCCTGTGCTTTCTGGGTGGGGTTTTTTCAGTTTTGGATCTATCTCTGATATCCCTGTTCTCCACATGCCACTTGAAGCACTAAATTTTGGTCAAGGTGAACAAGGAAGCTACTGGGGCCACCCAGAAAGGGACATTCAATGCTGGAGTTTTATAATCCATGTTATATACATGGATTATAATCCACGTACTATATAGTAGGTTATAATTATTGTTTTGTTATCCCAGGGCCGATATGGTGAAGTGTGGTGTGGGGTGTGGCATGGGGAGAAAGTGGCAGTCAAGATATTTTTCTCACGTGATGAAGCATCATGGGCAAGAGAAACGGAAATATATAGGTAAATATTATATATTAGACCTTTTTACATTTTGCAAAATACATTTTTGCTCATCATTTTAGTACCAAGTAATATAAGAGGAAGTTTTTAGAATGCTGACCACCTGTTTAACACCATTTTCAGTTGTTTTGACTGCATTATAATTTATTGGCATTCATGCTGTTGTATTATAGTTATAGATTTATATCATAATTAATTAGTGTGTATTTTCCAGCACTGTGCTTCTGCGACATGAAAACATTCTGGGCTTTTATGGTTCAGATATGACATCTCGTGGATCCTGCACACAGCTCTGGCTAGTCACCCATTATCATCCACATGGCTCTTTGTTTGACTACCTTAATGCTCACACCCTAGATCATACAGCACTTATGACTGCAGTGCTCTCTACCATCAATGGTCTGCTTCATCTACATACTGAAATCTTTGGCACACAAGGAAAGCCTGCCATTGCCCACAGAGATATCAAGTCTAAAAACATTCTTGTTAAGGTAAGAATGGTCTGTAGTTTTGAACAATAATCTGACCTCTTTGCTGCTTCATGTAAAATATCTTCCAATTAAACCGGCTTTTATTATTGTATTTTACTTGTACTGTATTCAAGTTTCAGTGCTGGCCCCCCCCCTATCCCAGTAGCTTCCCAGTGCATTAGACTCTTGCTAGTACCACAGGTACACCCACAACACTTCCAGGCCTCTAGGTTTTTGCAGGTCTGCTAAACACCAAGAACAGAATCTGATGCACTCGTCGAGAAGAGGGAAGCATGTAAATCGGAAATTGATCCAATATTGACCATAAAGTAAAGATGAAGAAAACCGTACCATGAATCTTCATGATAACTAGAGAAAATGAAGAAAACCAAACTGTAGTTTGCAATGGAAAATAACTACTGTGGTAATTACCATGCACACCATCAGGTGGTAGATAGTCACCTGGAGGTCCTGTTGGCCAGCACCTGCTCTCATGCACCTGGGACCACTTTTGATGTTCCAGCCTCGGCCTCAGTGGGGACCTAGACTTCTATTTTCTAGATAAATAAAGTAAGGAAATTATAAGGAGAATGCACTAGGCCAATGTGACTATATAGCACTTGGAAGGGATATGAAGACTGGGAGCTGAGATAGGACAAAAGGAAGGAATGGTGGCCAATCACTTGGACCATCAGGGATTGAATGCCAACGTGCAAGAAACGAGACCTTCACTGTACCAATGAGTCCAAGTGGTTGGGCTCTTTTGTTGGTAGAAGTGATGTAGCATTCTTTGGGATGCTATCCAACAGTCTGCTATTTCAAGAGGGACCACTTGGTGGCTCCCTGTTACTAGTGGCTTTGGTTAGCTCCACACATGTCAAGTCACACAAAGCCCCTGCTAGTTACTAAAAGCCTTACCAGGTCCCTGATCAAAATCTGGTACCCTGTACAAGATGCAGAGAGCCGGGGTTTCTTGATCATCCTCACCGAGAAGTCAGCCACCAGAGCGATAGTGAAACAAAACACAACAGCAAGCAAATCTAAGCTACTATGGAGCTCCATCCTTGACAGAAGTTTATAATATATTTTCATATAATTTGTAGGTTGTGTGGCCTGTTCTTCCCTATTCCACATTCCATTATGCAGGCGATGAGTCACAATAACGTGGCTAAAGTAAGTTGACCAGACCACACACTAGAAGGTGAAGGGACGACGACGTTTCGGTCCGTCCTGGACCATTCTCAAGTCGATTGTGAGAATGGTCCAGGACGGACCGAAACGTCGTTGTCCCTTCACCTTCTAGTGTGTGGTCTGGTCAACTTCCATTATGCAACCCAGCTTCCTGTTTAGATAGTACTTTCTGTAACTATGTCGACCATTGTATATACATAGACATAGTGAACAATAAGATAGAAGAATTTGGTACTATTCACTTTTTAGTTTGAAAAAACTGAAAACAAACTTAAATATTCCTAGACCTAGTATAGCACATATGTCTTATATTAGACCTCAGATAGCATGTCATATGTCTAGGAAGGTTAGGTTAGGTTAAGATATTTTTGCACCATCAGTACAAAAACTTTTTCAGTCAGTTTGTCCAAATTCAATAGTACCGATATCTACTTTTTAATTGCCTTATACGTCAATGTATGTACGATGGTCCTCATTGTTACTACAAGTACTGCCTAAACAGGAGGATGGGGAGCATTATGTGACATCTATTTACAATGAATTCCATCTGCCAGATTTTATACATTAATTTCTACAATTTATACCAGTACTTGTTTAATAATTCAGTTCTTTCTTGCAGTTAAATGGAGCCTGTGTGATTGCTGATTTTGGATTAGCAGTGATGCACACACAAACTACAGGGGAAATTAATATCAGCAATAATCCTCGAGTGGGAACAAAGCGATACATGAGCCCAGAAGTCCTAAACGAGTCGTGAGTTTTCTATTTCTTGTAATTACATATGTGTAATTGTTTATTCTCTGCATAAACCACAATAACATTGCTGCAGATAAATAACCCAATGCACGCTTACGAAGTGAAAATGTTCAGTCCATCTTGGACCCTTATCAGATAAAGGAAGAAACCATTTTAAGGCAAGGGAGATGGTGTATTGTTAAATTAACTTTTATATATAACATACTCAACAGAAACCTTTGTCATTGTTTTGTGGCTGTTGATTCATGCCTTTCTCAGTACATGGCTAAATGGTCTAATCTTTAGAGAATGTGTGATCTGACTTGGTTATCTGCCCCTTTGCACTCATCTTGTATGTCTTCTGTCCTAACCTCTTTGTATCACTATCCTAGCTCTGTTTTATTTCAACTTTTCCTTTATGTTTTGCATTTACTCTCCTTCCCTTCTCTGCTTGCTTTATTTTAGTTTTCCTTTCTTTTCGTAGACAGTTGCCTTTCGCTCAGTATTCATGGCTTGCTTTATCCACTTACACCTCACTTCCTCTCTTGCCTCATAAGTGTGTCTTTGACTGTCTTCTATCAGTTGTGACTTGATAAGTGTCGAGGAGGGACCAAAATGTCCTCGGTTTCATTTTCATGTTAGGTTGGTTTATTTGTAATAACCTACTGTAAGTGTAGCTATATAGGTTTGAAGATTCCAATAGTGTTAGTCCATACTACCCAGTCTTGTAATTTATTCTACCTGTCTTATGAACAATATTACAAAATTTAAACTGGATCATAATATATTCCTCGAAGAGCTTTCTTGTTATCAATCTTTCCAATGCTTTCAGAGACCTGAAAATCTAAACAAGTATAAGTGAATTTGATCTTCTCAACACCTTGCCGAGAGTACAATTATTTAATAGTTAGTGTCTCAATTTGTATGGTTGTGAACTGTGGCACTGCAAGATGCTAATATTGATAGCTAAATTGTGTTATAAGGAAATAGTTTAAACAAGAATTAAGTGTATATCCTCTCACTAGTTGCACCCTGCTGCCTGACCTACCGGTAGGCATGTAGGTCGTGCCTACACTTAAAGAAATAATTCACAAACATATGATAGTCCTTTTATCTGAAGGCAATTTTCCTGCAAACAGCATTTGCTCTCCTGGAAGGGAGAGCTTCCTTTTGTATCTTCATAAGCTTCTTGCCTGAAATCCTCCAAATCTAGGTACCATAGCAGACTATTGAATCACAGGCCGAGGACAAAAATCTGGCCTCCAGAATGAAGGCATAAGGGAGTGGTGATACTAGATCAACCACATTTTCAAAGGGAAACCCACCAGAAAGGTAGAACACGGCAAAAAGAGCAACTACATGGACAACATTTACAACTCTGATTTTAACTTTTTTACACACTCATTGTCAAGGTCCAGTCATTATTAGCTCCACATCCTCACCCTGCCTTCCCCAGATGGCAACCCCAGCATCCCTAGTGTCTGGGGAAGCCACCCCACTTACTCATGCACATGATGTGCTATGGTGCTGTCATTCTTGTGCCTTCTGGCTCTGTGAGTGGTAATCCCCTACTAGAGACTAGAAGCCGAATCTGGTACACTCGGGGGCAAAGGAAGTCTGGGGATACTAGATCAACCCAAGCCAAGGCCCCATTTTCACAGGTTGGGGATTGAAGCAAGTGTAATACATTGAAATATATGGAAAATCAACACGATTATTGATAATTCTAATGAAAATACATTGACTTTTATTATTTGTATTGGAAACTAAATTTTCATATGCTTTAACACGTTCAAATCATTCATAATACTGGCGAGTCAAATTTAAACAAAATGGCAAGTACTGTACCTTATAAAATACTAGAGGAGTACCTGGTGGAGCCCAGAATAGTCTCTATCTCCCCACATTTTTAGATATAAGGTGCAGCAAATTGTGTTTTCCTGGAACTTGGTTTAAAAATATCATTATACCTGTACTGTACATATACTGTGGTGTTGATTGTAGCTTTGAAGATTTACAACAATGTAATTTACTCTGAAAGGCACAGTAATCATATATAACAGTAATTTGTATACATCTTTTCAGAATAAACATGAGTGTTTTTGAATCATTCCGTAAAGTGGACATCTACGCCTTGGGGCTGGTTGTGTGGGAAGTGTGCCGAAGATGTGTTTCAAATGGAATTGTGGATGAATATAAACCTCCTTTTCATGATGTTGTTCCAAATGATCCCAGTTTTGATGACATGAAGAAAGTTGTTTGTGTTGACCAGTATCGCCCCATGATCCCTAACAGGTGGACTAGTGATCCAGTAAGTATGCAAGAGTCTTCATATACAGTAGTTAGTGTTTCTGTAGATATACTACACAGAAATATTGCAGAGGAAAATATAAAATGTTCTGGCACACTTTAGATTTTAACAAGTATAAGGATACATTCATGAAAAACCTTATGCAAAGTGAATGTGCACACAGGCAACTTTTAATACAGGTTATGTATAGAAAAAGTAGGGTTATGTTGAGAGCATGAATAATAACCTACTTATTTGATCAGTCTTGGAAAAGTTTTCTAACAAGGTAAAGAATCCTGGAATAATCACTTGTTTTTCCATCTCAAATGCTGCAAACAGAGGTTTGTAATGTTAATAGTCGAGTCTAGTCTAGATACTGTTCAATGATATTAGAAATGTTTTTATTTTATGCGACAATTTCAGAATTAGAATACTCTGCCATTTGAAGCATCACGTAAGACTTCTCTTTGCTAGTTTATCGGTAACAAACTATCATTCAAAATTAATGCATTATTCACGATGGGTCATACCTGCAGATGAAAAGTATATTAAGCCAAATTAAGGAAGTGTGGTGTTGATGGTGAAAGTTCTCACCCGAGGATAATAAAGAATATAAAATATTGGTAGATAAATGGGCAACTCATAAAGGAATACCTTGTAGTTTTCACCAACATTTTTATTACAAAAGTTTGGCATCTTTGTAATGTCATCAGGTGGGGAAACCTTCCATCATACGAAAACTATTTTTCCTAGAGAAGATTTCATAAAGCTGCACATTGCATTATGCACTGTATTCATTCAAATATGTCGTGGACCAAACTCTCACAAGTCGAGCCTGGCCTCGGGCCGGGCTTGGGGAGTAGAAGAACTCCCAGAACCCCATCAAGCAGGTATGTCGCAATTAATCTTAGACCATCTTGAAGTTATCTTGAGATGATTTCGGGGCTTAGCGTCCCCGTGGCCTGATCCTCGACTAGACCTCCTTTTTGTTACACACCCCTCCTGTCTGTTTTGTTAATTAAAGTTGCATTTGAAGGCTGCATAGAGTACCTTAAAAGGCCACAAGTTCCCCACCTCTGTCTTAAGAGAGCACTTTCATATATTATTTTGAAACTTATAAGGCATATGCATGAATATGCAAGGAGGGTTCCAATTGTTATTTGGCCACGTAGCCCCTTTTGGCAGATTTTAGAACCATTTTTAACCCTTTCACTGTGCAAATCATATACGTATGCTTTTGGCCTAACTCGCTGCACTACGAAAATCATACAGGAATGATTTAGAGTATTGCATAAGATTTCAAACTCCTGCAGGGGCTCACATCGACTTTCTCAGACCTCCAGTAAACAGATGCTATCTTTAAAAAAAAAATCGATAGACACTGTTCCTGGGTGTGAAGGCCTCGGTACTAAGCAGCCAAGGCTGGCGTATGAAGCACAAGTGAACAGCGCTGCTGTTTAGCTTGTGTCCACAGCATCACTTAAAATTTACAGTGTATAAGTAACTGTGATTATTTTGCATTGAAAGTATCATAGAAGATCCTGAGTGTGATAGACTATGTACAATGTTCAGATACAATTGAACACAATGCTGTTTATGATGATCACAGCACGAAGCAGATAGCGACAGGACTATGCCATTGTTTGGTACATTTAAGTATTATGAAATGATAATACATGTTCCTTTAGGAAATAAACTTAATTATGAAAAATGATTCATAATCTCGATTTAGTGAACAGGATTCTGATAATAATAGCAGTATTGTGCTTACAGTTAGCGATAGGTGTATTATACAGTACTACAGTAGAGTTGATAATACATTTTGGTAACATTTAATGTTAATTGAATTTATATACAGTAATCCAATTTTTTTTTTTTTTTTTTAGGTATTAGCAGGAATGTCCAAAATAATTCGAGAATGTTGGCACCAAAACCCTAGTGTGCGCCTGACAGCACTCCGAGTAAAGAAGTCACTGGTGAAGCTGGCACAGGAAGAAACCAAGATCAAGTTGGAGTTTGACTGTTGATAAGGAAAAAAACAAACATACAATTATGCTTACTCGATTTATATTACGTATACTGTATTGTATTATAAGCAGGACTATTTATTTACTGTACATTAGTACAGGGGTGTAAAATGCTGTACTTCCTTGGGAAAGATGAAGTGAAAAGCATCTTCCCATGATTAAGATGAGTAGTGAGGTAGAGTAAGGCTGTTTCAACGAACAAAAATATATTTAAGTTTTTCTTATGTTTTGAAGGCATAAAATACTTTTAAACTAAACAGTTTCAAAGGTTTTATTTCTTTTTCTGGGAGGCCCCTTTGGTAGCACTGTTGCTGGCACTTTGGTGAAGCCAAGCCTTGAGAAGTGTACCAGGACTTCGAGACTCGTATTGACCTACTGGGAGCCAGGACCAGAATCTTGATGCTAGGCAAAACAGCATAAACTACTGCCCCAAGGAAATGTATAAATTCTTAATCACAAGGGGTCAGATTCACAAAGTAGTTACGCAAGTACTTACGAACCTGTACATCTTTTCTTAATCTTTGGCGGCTTTGTTTACAATTATTAAACAGTTAATGAGCTCCAAAGCACCAGGAGGCTGTTTATAACAATAACAGTTGATTGGGAAGTTTTCATGCTTGTAAACTGTTTAATAAATGTAACCATAGCCGTCAAAGATTGAGGAAAGATGTACACATTCGTAAGTACTTGCATAACTGCTACGTGAATCTGGCCCAAGATCGTTGCTGTAGATGAATAGCACCAACCTTGATGTAATATGCTCGACAGTTGCCAAATGGTGGCCCGTGTCATCAGGGGTCCTTATCAGCCACTCACCTTACTCATTCGCCTGATGCAAGTTGAGGATGCATCACTCTGCTCAAATTCTTCAAGCTGCTTTTCTTTCACCTAAATGGTGTTGGCAGTCCCTAGAATAGCGGTTTCATGGAAGCATATTAATTTATTTTTTCTTCCATTAAAATTTCACTATTATGTTTGCTTTCATCTACATTGCATGTTCCCTGCTTTCTATTTCCCCTCTGACTATATAACAGTACTCTCTTAACTGATCTTGAGTTTTTTTCCTGCTGCACAAGAGATACCTGCTCTGAGGAGCTGGCTGCTCTTGAATCTTCTTGCCTCCAGGTAGTGTACGGGACTTGCTTTCCACGTGGAGCAGGGCCAGATTTGTTTATAGGCCCTTGACCAAAACATCTACATGGGCATCACCCCTCTGGTCAGTGTAGCTATTCAAAGACTAAAGATGTACATGTAGACAGCTGGTGGGCCCTATGCCATGGTCAACCTGGCCTATTGGGTTATGCGGTCCTGACATGGAGGCCTGTTTTTTGAGGTGGTGATGGTAGTTAGCTTTGACCTTGTGCATAAATAGTACCTGGTCCTGATTCCTGTGCATTTTAATAATACCTTGTACTTTGGCTTGGTGTTTGCTTGGGTCATGTAGATAATTATTCTTTGGCCATGGCTACATACACCTTGAAAAAGTGTATGAAGCCATGGGTTAGGGCAGGGTTAGGTGTGTGATTATTCTACATGCTTCCCTTGTGCCTGGCATACCTTACTGTTTGTATATTAGTCCTGACAGCCAGTACCCATTACTTCCAAGTTTGCTTACCTTGTGTTCTCAATTGGCAAGGATGTGTAGGTTGTTGTTGCTATGTTGTTTGCAGCTGTACGGGTTGTGATTTAACGTTCTTGGATGCTACAGGTTCTTTCTGAAGCCACTGTCTTTTCACCTGTTGGATTTAGAACTGACTCTTGCCTGTGACTGCTGGCCTATACCTTTCTTGCAAGGGCTATAGGCCTGTGCTCTTGTGTGGTTTAGTACCTGCAGTTCGTCAGTGAAGTATGTGGCTGTCCCGGACCATGAGTGACCTAAGCCACCGTGTCGTGGTCAGGTAATTACTTACGTACATTTAGTTACAGGATGCATCACTGTTAGTGGTGTTCATCCACATGAACAATTGTTTGCTTCAGACTTTATTTATTCCGACAGTACTGTAGTTTGTTTTGTTGGGCCTTTCTTACCAAACTCCCCTTGCCTCATAGTAAGGACCAGATTCTGGTCGTGGCAACCTGTAGGTCAGCTCAGAGGCCTGGGGCATTTCTCAAGGTTTGGCTTCATAGTATAAATCATATGGAGCTACAGAGGGCCCACCAGAGAAAAAGTATGTATTACATTCAATACTTAATTTTTTTTTTTTACTTGATATTTAAAGTTCATTATATTTTTTATTGTGTAAAATATATGTAATTCAATATATAAACCTATTTTATTATATTTTTTGTTACATAAATATTTTTAAACCTTACCAATTATATATTCAAAATTTTGTCTTGTCATTAATTTGTGTATAATATTTGAAAAATACCCTGGTGAGATGTATATATATATATCTTGAAGACTTGATGACACTGGTACAAAATATGCTCTAGACAGACAAAAGGAAAGTTGCATTTATATTTTGTTAATTTGTGCTGGTGTGTGCCCAAGGCATAACAGCAGCCACGTATTGCCAGTGTTGTGTGGGTCATATGACAGGTTTGGTTATGCTGATAACTTTAAAACCAGTCTAGCATATTTTAAGCAACTTGTGTAAGAAGAATTTACAGGCAGGTTCTATTTGGTAATTTTTTCTTGCGTAGTAGACTACTGGGTAATTTACATAGTTATGTATGTGCCAAGAACCCACATTAAGGAACCTACACTGGGGAACGTACACTGAAGAACACTCCTGGAAGCTCACATTACGGAATCTACACTGAAGAACACTACTGGGAGCCCACATTAAGGAACCTACACTGAAGAACACTACTGGGAATCCACGCTGAAGAACACTTAAGAACACACACTGGGGGACACTTTTATCATCACACTTCTTTTGTTATTCTTATACAGTGTGTGTTCTGGATGGGCTTTGTGTGGAAGTGTGAAAAGTTATTTCAACTGTCAAAGAAAAAAAAAATGATTGGGATGCAGCAAGATATTTAGTTTAAATTACAACAAAATTATATCTTGATTCATATTTATTTTTATTTTTTACAAAATATACTTCAGTGTTCTTAGCTGTAATATTAGTTTGTAATTTTGATGCTCTCTTTAAAATAACATGAAATAATGCTTGTCAGTAATATTTTTAATTACATTTTATATTGTATAATATAGTGTGCTTTATCAAACGATGCAAAAGATGTTACTGAGGTACAATAATAACTTTTATACTGATGAATGATACTACTCACTTTGGCATATTGTATAGAAAATGTAATAAAAATGGTTGTGCCATAACCCCTGATAACACTAGTGGCTAAAGATTATGATGTTCGCTTGGCATGAGCATGTCTTAAATTCAACTGTCCTGGGCTGTATATAATGTATGTTCTTCACATACAGACGAGGAGTCACAATAACGTGGCTGAAATATGTTGACCAAACCACACACTAGAAAGTGAAGGGACAATGACGTTTCGGTCCGTCCTGGGCCATTCTCAAGTCGATTCTCACAATCGACTTGAGAATGGTCCCGGACGGACCGAAACGTTGTCGTCCCTTCACTTTGTAGTGTGTGGTTTGGTCAACATATGTTCTTCACTCATACTTTTTATACATTGATATTTTGTTATACTTATTGTGTGATCTCCATAATGCTCTGTAACACAATGTGTCTACAGTGATGCTAGGATTAAGTGAATGTTTAGTGTTGAGTTGTATACATAAGTATTGGTGTATGAGTTGCAAGTGAGCATGGCAGCTGAAACATTTAGGTGATAAGGCAAAATGTACTATTAAAAAGAAACTAGATTGACTGGGAATTTTACTATGGACTTAGAAAGAGGGAAAAACGGGAAGAGTTGTAAAATTTGTAAGGGAATAATTCATTGACTAAGCGGTATATTCAAGATACTCTTGCTTGGTTCATAAATTACTGACCATTACAAAATATCAAGCAATTTGTATACTGTTCTGTAATATAGTTGATACGGATTTTTTTTTCCAAAATGTAGGTATAATTAGACACAAGATTAATTCTTAATGAAATTAGATTTGAAATAAGTGTAGATTGTTGAAAAGCAGAATATAAACACTTTGTTAATTTAATTGACATTGGATATTTTCTTGGCCTCTCTCTTAGCATTGTTAACATGGCAAAGACTTAGACAGGAGATCTCATAGGTACTGTATACAGTTTCTTTTATTGGAAAGACAACTTATCACATTTATCATACCAAATGTTTGCCTTACATTCTCAAGCTCAAAATTGTGCTTTAAAAATATATGCATTATTAATATTTCCCTACTTTTCTGTTTTTCTTATTCCATATTTATACTTTCCCTATTATATACACTAGTATATAACTTTTAAGTATTTTGTGTTAATTGATTTAATCAAAGAACTACAAGCAACAAAGTGACACCTGCGACACTAGCAGACTGACAGCTGTGACGGCTGCGACTGCAGCAGACTGACGGCTGCAACGGCAGCAGACTGGCGGCTGCGACGGCAGCAGACTGACGGCTGCGACGGCAGCAGATTGGCGGCTGCGACGGCAGCAGATTGGCGGCTGCGACGGCAGCAGACTGGCGGCTGCGATGGCAGCAGACTGGTGGCTGCGACGGCAGCAGACTGACAGCTGTGACGACAATAAAGCGATAACTTCAGCATCAACAGTGTGTCAACTGCAGCACCATGAGTGATAATTGCAATACCTTTTAGATCTACAAAGTATGAAAGTCTTTATCAGCCTGCTTGAGTAGGTTTTGTATGAATCATTGAGCTTAGGATATCTAAGATATTGTATATTTTATAGATTATATATGCCTGTTAATAAATGTATTCAAATAGGATATATATTCATTGTAGGCAGTGAAAGGATGTTGAAAGAGGTATGTGTAGATATATGTTTATCCTAAAGAAAAACCAAAGTCTAGGTTGATTGAATGTGAATGCAAGAAACAGTATTAGTTTAATTCTGATGTATGGAGAGGGGTTATAAACCAACTGCTTTAATTCATGGAAACTTGATTTGATAGTTTCTGAAGATGATTATGAAATGTATCACTATGAATGTTAATATTTTTGTTTGTCAATTTGTGCATTTAGATAAAGGTCTGTGCTTGTACATAGATTTAAATAATGGGAGGTGATTTGTATCATGACTTATGAGCTGCTGTAGCTGAAGTAAATGTTGGTGAGAGTAGTCATCACCAGCACCTGTAACATTATGTGATAGATTTTTATGCAAAATATAGTAGTCGGATCAGAAGTTGTAATTGCTGTAATGCAGGTGTGCAGGATGATGCACACAAATATCTGTAAACCAACAAGTTGAATGATAAATAAATATATCAATAGTAATTTTATACTGCATTTCTGTTAAAGTATCATTTGTACACATATATGGTTATTTGTAGGTATGTTTTTTTTTTCCATTTCCTCTTACATTGGTATTGTCTTGTTGTGGCATTGAGGGCTTTTGTGCTGTACTGATCCTAATTCTAAGGACAGTTGAGTGTGACTAGTGAAGATGATCACTAGTCATCTTCTGACTAATGGCTGAGAACTAGACAAAGCACAAACTTGCTGGCTATGGACATCAATAACACAATTAGTAGCGATACTTTAGAACCTCAACCCTGCAAGACATTACTTCAGTTTAAAATTCAGCTGGAAAAAAAACTGGAACAATGTGAAGAGCTTTGACAAGTTGCTGGCTTCCTATCCCTGTCGAGGCCAATAATGATGGTGGCGTCCTTCACATAAAACGTTGCTCCTTATAAAAAAGGAGTAACTGTTTCAAACTGAAGCTACAATGTAGGACTGAAAACAGGAGATGCTTTTTCACCCACAGGGTTATAAACCCACGGAACCGCTTACCCGCCGAAGCTGTAAATGCCAAAACAACTCAAAGTACATCTGAAAAAGATCAAGGCAAAGAGTTGGTGGGGGGGGCTTTGACAAGCCTCTGGCTGCTTGTCCTCGTCAAGGCCAATAGTGTTAATGGCTCTCGGGTAAACTGGTAAACTCTCGTCAACTACCACTCTCAGGATGAGAATGGTGTGCACAATAAGCTACTGCTTGCAGGATAATTTACTGTACTAGAATTTACGCCATTAACACTAGTAGATAAAGACAGGCTATTTAACACAAGGAACACAGGTGGAAACTGAGTGCCCAAATGAGCCACAGAGATATTAGAAAGAATTTTTTTAGTGTCAGAGTGGTTGACAAATGGAATGCATTAGGAAGTGATGTGATGTAGGCTGACTCCATACACAGTTTCAAGTGTAGATATGATAGAGCCCAATAGGCTCAGGAACCTGTACACCAGTTGATTGACAGTTGAGAGGCGGGACCAAAGAGCCAGAGCTCAACCCCCGCAAACACAACTAGGTGAGTACACACACATATACATGTACAGCCACTAGCACGCATGGTTTTGGGCAGGTCCTTAATCCTAATTTTCCCACATACATCCCCAGGAAGCAGCCCGTAGGAGCTGTTTAACTCCCAGGTACCTATTTACAGCTAGGTGAGCAGGAGCATCAGGGTGAAAGAAACTGCCCATTTGTTTCTGCCTCCGCCGGAGATCGAACCCGGACCCGAATCCCTGAGCTCTGTCCACTCAGCCGTCAAGCAGTATGCATCTTATATGGGTATGGACCCATACTCACCGCTACAATAAGTGCACAATAAGTTACCACTCACAGAAGAATTAGGGGAGACAAGATCACCATCTACAAAATTATCAGGAATTGGCAGGGTGGATAAAGACAAACTATTTAGCATAGGCGGAACACGAACAACGAGACACAGGTAGAAACTTGGTACTCAAATGAGCCAGAGACATTAGAGATAATTTTGTCCATTGTCAGGGTAGTTATTAAATAGAATGCATTAGGAAGAGATGTGGTGGAGGCTGACTCTATACACAGTTTCAATTATAGATATGATAGGGCCCAATTGGCCTCTGCGAGGACAGATAGGTGAGTACAGGATGAGTTGATGAGCACAATTAATATAACCGCCCCTGGTGGCAACAGGAAATTGTTTAAGCCACGATATGGATTCCATTTAGGATTTCCTGATAAGTTTATTTTTTTATAGGTATGTGAGAATTGAGTTACAATGGTAAAGAGGATATATATGTGCGTTGATGCTCGGTATTGTAAAGGGGAATGATAAAGGTTTAGGCAGGTGGGGCGAGAGCCGCCATAGGCTCGTGGGTCAAGTCAAACACTCAGGCCCAAGATGGCGCTCATAACAAACGCGTCCACGCCGTTTTCATCCTTATTTTGTCGCTTCCTCTTCCTTAGTTTACTGTATTTTACCCCAGGACTCGCACAAGATGAAGTTCCTGGTATTAGTGAGTTGATCAATACTTGTTATTTTACTGTATATGATTGGTAGAAGAAAATATGTTAACTAACGTTTCGGGCCAGTTTAGGATCTTTGGATTTACCTTAAAAGACCCAACAATTTGCTTAAGGTCCATTGTCTTAAGTGGACTCGATGGGCACAGAAAGTCAGCTAAATTTTAAACTGAAGTATTATCTTGGCAATTATGGCTTCGGTAGGCAAATAGTTTAATTTATTAAACCATGGTTGACAAGGCCTCAACCTGTTTGAACAGGCATCTCCTGTTTTTGTCCTACATTGTAACCTGTTAAACTTGAAGCTGTTTCCTTATTGTATTTGTTACACTGGACATTTGAAAAAAGTAGTTTGGATTAATATCTTTCAATTTCTAGTACAGTTCTCTTCGTTCTTGAGTCGGTTGTAGATGAGGATTTGATTCCCAGGTAGGACAGAAATGATTAGGCACATTTCCTTTTCCCTAATGCTTCTGCTGACCTAGCGGTAAATAGGTACCTTGGATTTATGTTGTAGGGTGGCATCCTCTTGAACATTAGTAGTTCGACCTTCAGGGGACTTTGAAATAAGCTTAGTGTATAAGTAATTACCGAAGTGTAGTTACACCCAGCCATTTTGACTGGATGGTAGAATGACGGTAGTCTTGCTTCGTGAAGGTCGGCGTTCAATCCCCGACCTTCCAAGTGGTTGGGCACCATTCCTTCCTCCAGTTCCATCCCAAATCCTTATCCTAACCCCCGTCCCAGTGCTATAAAGTTGTAATGGCTTGGTGCTTTCCCCCCTGGTAATTAAAAAAAAATTAGATGTAGTTGCAGGATGAGAGCCATGCTCATGGTTTCCCGTCTTTCCCGCACTTTGTCGTATTATGCTTTGAAACTTCGGACAGTTGTGTTCTTCACCACGTCTCACTTAATGTATTCCAATTGTCTACCACTGTTTGCAAAACTGAACTTTTTAATGTTCTTTCAGCAACTTTGTTTAGTCGGCTTAAATCTGTGATCTCTTGTTCTTGAGGGTCCAGGTTTCAAGAATTCTTCTTTACTATTTTGTACATAGTGATCATATTGCCTCTTTTTCTTCTATTTTCTAACTGGCTTATTAAACACCTCTAATCTCTCCTTGTAGCTCTTGTCTCTAGGTTCTGGAAGCCATTTTGTTGCATGTCTTTGCTCCTTTTCCCATTCATTGATGTGCTTTTTGAGATAGGGGTACCATACAACAGCTGCATATTCCACCTTTGGTCTCACCAAGGTCATGAATAATTTCTTTAATATTTCAGCATCCATGTACAGTATTTCAAAGCAATTATGAAATTTGAAAGTGTAGCATAGGCTTCTTGCAAAATGTTCTTTATATAGTCCTCAGGGGACAGTTTTCTATCTAGAACGACCCCTAGATCTTTCCTTTTATCAGAATTCTTTAAAGCTCTTTCACATCATTTGTAGGGTGTATGTGACCTATTTTCTATTCCACAGCAATGCATTTATTCACATTAAATTCTATTTGCCAGGTAAATCTCCATTTATCCATCTATCTCCATTCATTTATTTTGTCCTGGTCATTTTGAAGGGTATGACAGTCATCTAGGTTTCTGATCTTTCCTAGTTGCTTAGCATCATTAGCAAACATGTTCATTTAATTTTGTATTCCTTCTGGTAGGTCGTTTATATAGACGATGAACATCACTGGTGCAAAAACTGAACTCTGTGATATATACTCTGTTAGTAACACTCCTCCAGTCAGATACATTACCTCTGATGACCAAACCACACACCAAAAGATGAGATGACAACATTTCGGTTCACCCTGGGCCATTATCAAGTTGATTGTGGACCACCACTACAATCGATTTGATAATGGTCCAGGACAGACCGAAATGTTGTCGTCTCCTCATTTTCTGGTGTGTGGTTTGGTCATCATATCTCCGGCCATGTTATTGTGACTCATCGTCTGCACATGACCTCTGATTACTGCCCTCATCTTTCTGGCAGTTAGAAAAGTTTCCAGTCATGTCATATAGTCTCCCTGTCACACCTCCAGCATGTTCCAGTTTCCAAAACAGCCTCTTGTGTGGGACTCTGTTAAAGACCTTTTTTTTTTTTAGGTGTAGATAAACACAGTTAACCCAGCTATCTCTTACCTCTGACTATCTCTATCTCATACTGTAGAATCTCTGTGGCTCTATTATAAAATCTAAGAAGATTTGTTACACAAGATCTTACTGCTCGAAAACCATACTGTCCGTCTGTCTGTTGCTATATCATTTCGCTCCAGGTAATCTATCCATTTGGCTTTAACTATTATTTCTAGTGTTTTCACTACCACACTTGTCAATGACATATGTCTTCTCTGCTGCTATTTTTATAGATTGGAAGTATGTTTGCCTTTTTCCATATACAGTATCTGCTAAGATTCCCATACACAAAGATGGAATAAATTGAAGTGGAATGCCCAGTTCAGGTCCACATTCTATCAGAACCCAAGGTGAAACTCCATTTGGTCCAACGCTTTATTTCTTTGTAGCTCATTGCGTAATTTGTCCACATTGTCTTGAGGCACCTCTGTGTACAGTACTCTTTGACATTGTGTCTGGTTTACCGAAAGCTTCATTTTGTACAAATATACTTTGGAACTGTTCATATAGTGATTCACATATTTCCTTTTTGTTTGTGAATCTGTTCCCCATTTTCAGTCTCAGAAATCCTTTACCTGCAATTTGCATTTGTTGAATTTATAGAGTAGGCCTAGTTCTGTTTTACATTTATCCACAATCCCTTTATCAAAATGTCTTCCTGCCTCTCCTCTCACTGCAGTGTAGTCATTTCTTGCTTCATTGTACTGTATTGCTGTTATGTTTGAGGGTCTGGCCTCTTCTCATATTGATTCCATTTTTTCATATTTTGTTCTCTGGGCCCCCCTCACAGTTTCTGTTGAACCTGTCCTGTTTTCTAGTTCTGCATCTCTGTTTTAGTATAAATGTTTTTGTCCTCTCTCATATTCACAAAACTTGGCATACATCTTATTTACTTCCTTGCCTAACAACAATTATTTCTGTAATTCTTAATAACTCTTCTTCATTATTATTTAAAGAATCAAACTAATTAAAGAACTTCCCAAGTTCTCCATAGTATCCTCTTCTGAAATAGTTTTTCAACTGCTTCATTTTCCTAATTCTCATCTAGATTATAACGCATTACATAATTTATTTCCAAAAGGACAGGGTCACTCCTCAACGGAGGGAAGAGAGAATCAATGAGTGTGTTGGTAATCATTGTGCATGATTATGGCTTCAGAGAAATGTAATGTCAAGTGGAATAAAATTTTGCCACAAGATATTAAATTTGACAAAAACAATATTATTGTGGGCTTTATCAATTTTAGAATCCTGAATAATATCCTCCAGAAGATGAACCAGTCTTCTGTACCAGTAAGGGAAGTCAGACCAAGACAGTAAGGACATAGTAACATGGCATGAAGCAGTGGTATGCTGCACTCATTCTCTGATTTACCAGATGGAACAAATTTGGTACTATTAAATCTGATTCTGATGTAAATATATCATTGTGATCTTCTAGCCTGTAGTGTATTTAGATTTGTGCATAATTATTATTTATAAGCATATAAAATCATTTATATATTAATGTAATGTCTAAATATGCTAAAACATGTTATTATATTTTATTTGCTATAAGGAAAATCCAGAAGATTTGGTGATAAATAGCACAAAAAAAGGGCAGTTTTCAGAAATAAAGATTTCACACAAATCGGGATCGTGTTTGGAACGACATAACTGAGTTTCAAGGGAGCACTGTACCATCTTACTTTAGGAAAAACATTCACAACAATATTATTTCATAGATGAGGTGTAAAGTGCTAGGGTTATATATATTTAAACAATTCAAAAGCTGAATAATATAAAATCATAGCAAATCAAGATAGTTTTCTTTATTGAAAAAGCTCATAAGACTAATGTGTGTTTATGTGGTGGTTACATTTAGTGCATTCAAAATTAGGCATTGTATTTATTTATGATTAATTTTTCAGATGTTCCTACTAATGTTGGTGGAAGTCAAAAGCCTGGATCAGGAACCATGCCTCCAAAGCCTAGCTCCACTGAATATCTTCAAGGTAGCAACCAAGATGAGCTCTTCTTTATTCTCTAGGTTCCCATTTAGTTACATTACAGTTAGTTTGAACATGACAATAATTAAGTCACACGATACAATCTGGTATAGCCTGAAAGTTTGAATTTTGTGAATTTTGTTTGATCATGTGTAAGGTTTGGGAAATATTTACAGGCATACTTTCACTAATATTCATTTGATTTTATATAAATGACTTCAATATTTGTATTGATAGACTTGAATTCAAATTCTTTTCATCATATCCATCTGCATTTGCTATTTTCAGACTACAGTATAATAATTGTATTATTGTATGTTCTCCAGATTTTCATTTAATGCATGCTGGACGAGAGTTGAGTGTGAGAGAAGATGGGAAGAACAAGTTGCATATCTTCTGTTACAAAGGAGAGCCAAAAACTCTCACGACACTCTTCAAAACCATAGAGGTTAGTTACTAATGAAATACTTTAGCTTTTAAATCATCCCCCTCCCCCCCCCCCCTCCCCCCAGTGCATCTTAAAATTACTTTGATCTGTTGACGTTTTGTTTGTTATTGTTAAGATGGTAATTTGTGTATTGTAATTAATATAATAATTCATTGTCAGGGGACAGTGAATATATATATACATGTTAGGTTAGGCTTATATTGAGCTCCCTTCACATTCAGGTAGAATTACTGACCCACTCTAGGATGCAACTCCTCAACAAGCTGACTAATTTCTGGGTACCTGTTTACTGCTAGGTGACTGGGGGAAATGCACTTAACTATTTCTGTCTCTCTTGTGATTTGAACCCAGAATTCCCGATTGTGAGTCGAGAACGAACCCGACTGTACTACCAGGATCCTGCTAAACACTACATAATTTTAAACTTATTTTTTTGTAGTTTCAAAGCAGAAATAAAAGCAATCTACCAAATATACTGTGCATCTTCAATTCGGTTAAGATTGAACCAGGGCTGAATGATTGCAGCCAGAGATTTGTTGTAACTGGCGATGCCTTCAGAAGGGTGAAAAATACATTGTCATAGAATACTATGCTATTGTACAGTAATGAATCATATTTTTGCTTACATTAAAAAATGAATACTATATAGCTTGCTGGACTCCTCTTGAGTCACTATTTGTATTTATTAATGCTGCCTCTTATGTCATTGGGCTACCAAGGATGGGAGGCAGTGTAGTTAGAGATGGGAGAGAGGCAGTGAGTGAGGGATGGGAGGGAGGCAGTGAGTGAGGGATGGGAGGGAGGCAGTGAGTGAGTGGATGGAGGCAGGCATGAAGTAAGGAGGGGAAAGGAGAGAGGCAGTTAGTGGAGGTGGACACTAGTACTAGAGTGAAGCAGGGAGGGAGGGAGGGAGGTAAGCGGGCATGCTGGGTGGAATGGGGTCTTGTTTCTCTATTTGTGGCATGCTGTGGATTCATTTCCTGCTCTTCAGTGCATATGGCTTCGGTGGCAATTTACACCTCCCTTCATTTGGGATTGGCTTAAATTCACAGTCTATTCACCAGCACTCAGCCTCCCAGCTGGTTTTCACAGGGTGTTACCCTGCACATCTTGTTCTGGGGGCATTATGGAGTGTTTCTCTGAGCCTGCTCCCACTGTTTGCAGTTTTCCAGCATTCTGCAGATGTTCTTAGTATGATGGGTTATTAGTAAATTTTCCTTTTATGGCATTACATCTATTCCTGCTGATTGCTTCCCTGTGTGTTTCCCCAGCTGTAAAAGGTAAAAATTGCAAATGGTAGTGATTATGCTATAACATTGTACTGACAATAAAATTGAAATGCATGTAAATTAAAATATTTGTTTCTTTAAAGCTTCACCTGGATATTGTCGGGGATAATTTTCATCACTTTGAAGGACCAAACTCCTCAGTTGTTAGACAAGAGCACCAGGAAGCATCATGGCTGTCATTTTATCCATGGCGGCTACGAACATTCAAACTGGATATATATAAGGAGTCTTGTGTTGGCATTGAGGCAAAAACTGGCTTTAATATTCGTCTCAGAGTACGATGTAAGTATTAAACTTTCCTAGTTTATGGGTCCGGTATGAGTACAGTAGTTTAGTCTTTATTAAGTAGGTTTGCATGATTTGCTTTGCAGCTTAACCACTGGACTGCGCCGGCTGACAGTACTCGTGGCAGAAAAAGCGCAGGCCGAGAAAACATGATTTTAAGATTTCAAACCATTCAAAACTCGGGTGCGGTAGGTTGGGTATAAAATGGACTCCTGGGACCTCCATTGAGAGGCAGCCATCTTGAAAAGAATTTCCAGGTATCTGTAGGGCTGCTGGCTGGATCGGTTTTGAATGAGCAACCATGGGTGGCGCAATTCAAAATTGCTCCCAATTCCCTATCGGACGTGGTATTGAAAGATCGCTCTCAGTCAGTGAAATTCAAACCTTATTGTTTGAAGAACATAAGGGTTATGATATTGATGAAGCTAGACACAATAAGGACCCAACACAAGAGGTCAGAGACAAGTGATACAGCATCGATGAGGACGATACAGCGAGCGTATCCAGTAGTAACCAAGCGCCACCCATGTCATGTCATACTACCCCTTGGTCTGTTAAGATAGAGCAACCTACCATTTACCCTAGTTTCCACTTTGCTGAAAGAGAAAAGTAGTTTAGTTTTACTGTGCCTGTATTTTCAGAGCAAATTTTCCTTTATTGTGAGATTGATCTCAGATGCCCATGTTTTCCTCACCTCTACGAGTACAGTACACTAGGTTCTGGTTCTAGTGCTCAGTGTGCATGTGGATTTCTACATGGTGGTATGAGAATGGGTTTGAGGCCACCCAGATAAGGGGCATTTCATTACATTTTGCTTGATAAATACTGTATTTGACAATGAAAGATACAAAAAGTTTCCTTGAATATTCTTGAAATAAATGTGCTTTACCTGTATTTGGTTTATAAAGAAACTTGATAACTTTATATTTATTAATAATTATAATCACAGGAAATATACCACATTAAAGTACAACTTACTTGGTCCCATCACATCGACTGAATGTATCACCTGTAAAGTTTTACTGTACAGTATTTTGTTTACTTAATTATTACACTTTGCAATTAAACTGTAAATATTTAAAGAAATGCAAAATTAATACCATTTTGAATCGTAACACATGATAATGCAACAAAGGCAAAATTGCTGCAATGCCTTAACACAGTGAATACAAAATTAATAAAGTAATGACTTTTCTATCTTGTATAACAAATCTTAGGAACAATTAGCCCTTCATATTTGAGAGGTATGAATGGTATCATAGTACATTAGAGTATATTGTAATAGCTTTTACTAGACTATTTTAGGTATCTGTGAATACGACGAGAGTGGTGTGTATGGGCTTCACGGAGGGCCTCTTCAAGGATATTTGTCATGTGTACTAAGTTGTTGGGATCTGCCTGCAGTAGTAGTTTGTCACACACTTGCTTTGATTGTTGATCTCCATCACCATCTTCATCTTGGGAACCTAAGAAAAATAATATTCTTAATCCTATAAATCAATCGATAATAAGTACTGGTTAAAGAAATAGTAAATTAATTTTAAGGAGATTACATAAATATATATTTCTGTATATAGTGCAACCTAGATTCTGCAAAATATGTGGGACCAACCTTGTTGCAACTAGAGAAATTGAAATAAGTTTATTGAAGTAAAATACACACAAAGGGATGAGGTAGCTCAAGCTATTCTCACCCCGTTCAGTACATCGTGTTAATACATACATCACAAACAATAAACATATTACCAAACATTCTGAGAGATAAACATCTACATTTCCTGCAACTAGAGATGCTTTCAGGAGACATTTGTGTATTTTTTTTTTGTTATGAAACAAGAAATGGCACATTACATGGAGTAATATTAATTATTATACTAAAGAACGGTAGCTTAAGAAGTGAGCATGTCTTGCCTGATGTTGTGAATACAGTACTGCACTGTGGATACTGTGTAGTATTAATTGTGCAGTAATACAGCATCAGTTATTATACAGTAATATTATTGCAAATTAAACATGTCTCTTTGAACCTTAAAATTTAACACTTTACCTCACTGTACATTCCATGCACAATCAATTTTATTAGTTGTTTACGACAGCTTTACTGGGTTCTGCTGTAATGCTGTCTGCTGTGCTGGTTGGTTCTTCTCTAATACTATTTACAAAATATTTGCTAATTTTGATTTCTAAGTCTCCAGTGTTTTCTAGCATTGCCATTTGTCTGCCCCTTTTTCACATATTGCCATATGAAGTAAAAAAAAAAAAAAAAAATGTTTATTTTACTTCATATTTATATGAAGTAAAAAAAAAATACAAAATAAAAGAAAACAGGTACCCCCATGCTGCCATGTCTCATTTGAGATCTTCATGCCCACCAATTGCCAAGAATGAAATTTCTAACTCATTTCCACCATTCTTGGAAATGTCACCAAAAATTTAGATACCTGGCACCTTCACCCTTGAATACGAGTCTCTGGACACGCAATAAACTGAACATTAGGGCACCAGCTTAGTTCCTCCCTTTCCATACTCTTAAGAGTTAGTTATAATATATATATTGTTATATACTGCCAAAAAGTTCCTTACAAATGGGTCTGGAGACCAGAATTAAAGCAACTGAAGACTTGGTTTAGCAAAGAATCTCTGGACACCACTTATATCTTCATGGATATTACATGGAAAGTGTCCATTTCAGAGTCTATTCATCAATATAACTTTTGCAATAAGCCTAATATAAATTTTTATTTTTTGTTATGCCACAAAGAATATCAGTAACTCCCTTTCAAGTGTCCAGAAATCTGGAACTTAACCATACTGTTGAAACTATACCTTTGATGATTTCTTGAGAATATGATAAAAGCTTGCTGTATCAATGAAAGTTATTTTGAAAGCTATCGACTTACCTGAAAGAGTATTTGTGTCCAAGGAGAGCTCTAGTGTGATGAGAGGTTCAGCTATGTGACTAAGCGTTCGAGAGCCAACTAGGATGTCAAACCTCCACTCTAAATTGTGGTACTGTAGTATCTGAAGACGAAATAGTTCAAATTATATACAGTAATTATATTATACTATATATATTTTATTTATTTATAGGTTATTCCTACATGTGAAAAATGCTTTTGCTTATTGGCTTGAAACATTAAAGACTTCTGTTTAATGGTGTAAGGACAGTCATTATTGTTATTGAGAAATATAAATGCCCTGGTCATTGATTTAAGAACTTGTATTATTTATGTTTTTAATCACATGAAAGAATAAAGATAATGTATTTGATTCAAATTTGGAGCCATATCTTGTATATACTCTACTTTAGTGTTGCTTAAATAACCATAATTATATTAAGTCTTTTGGCAAGATTAGGGCGTATAAAGAGTAATATGTTTAGAGCTGATAGAGTATGATATAGTATATGTTGTTGTTTTTTGTTTTGCAGGGATATTCCTGCATGGGCCCTAAGCCTCTGGCTGGCCCACTAAGTGTTGCTTGTTTCTGTTTACTTGGGCGGAGTATGAGTATTTATGACTCGTATGGTCGCTTCAATAAGATTTTGTCCCACATGTTTAGCAACAACTTCTGCTCAGTTGAATCTAAGTTGAAATCTTAATGGGTTTGTAACTCTACACTGTGTTAGATAATGTTCCAGTGGTCTGCTGAGTATGATAGAGTGTAGACATGTTGAAGCATGGCAATCTTATCCCCCCACCAGTACACCTATGTTAACTGGTCTATCTCATGCACTCTCATCTACCTCCTTGTCCAGCCTGTGTTCCTTACGCCAGAGCTTAAACTGCACTTATTACACTCCTTCCAGCCTGGGGATACTATTCTCAATTGTCATCATGCACTCAAAACTTGCCAAAGTGTATTAAGTTACTCATACATTTAGAGTGGTGGTGATCAATGTAGGTATTCCAGGTTTCTATGCTTTGCATATTTTGGATTACAATAATATAAATATTCTTAGGAGGCAGGTAAGAAGGTGGACGTGTATTCCATAGCATTTCACCTGTTGACCACCAGAGCAGGGTACAAGTATTTCCTCATGTTTATTGACTCATTTATGTTTCTCAGCTTCCACCTTCTTGACCTCTTTTTCCTTCTTTTTATTTGATACTGAAATAATCTACAACTGTCACCAAATTCATAAAATTTACTATACTGGTTTCATGCATTAATTTGCATTTTGGAGAATTGGAGCTTAATCTCGAGCTGGGTGCGATTGGTAACAGATTAGTCCATTAGTAATTAGTTAAAACGAGTAACATGTTTCATTATAATTTAGATGCTGGTGAGCAGTGATTATAGGGAATTGAGAGCCAGCTCTGTATGTTTTGCTGCCTAGCCTGATGGCAAATATCTGGCATTAATGATCATTTTCGACATTTAACCCCCTGAACTGCACAAGCATTACAGGAGGCATTTTGTGTGTGTGTGTATGGGGGGGGGGGGTATCATAACTTATTTTGTCTTCCTATACAGTACAGTATTGTTAAAAGGTCTGCTCTGATCAAGCAGTGAAATCTTGTTGGCGTCATCAAATTTTGATCGTTAGTGAAGAAGGTTCCTAGTCGGGTCGCTCTCATGTAGTGCATTGGAGGGGTAGGATTAATGTGCATGTTCACTGTACTGTGTTGGTTTGTTATCACATTTATTGTCTATTTAATATTTTAATGCACTGATCCATTGGGCTCTCAATGACAGTACAGTGTTTAAATCACAGACATGTGGAACACACACACACACACACACACACTCAGGCTGTGTGCATTATACGGACTAGAATGCCTCTTTGTCTAGAGGCGGCTTAATTTCTAATGCTTACTGGCAGAGTATTGTACAGCTGTGGACCTTTGTAGAGTGATTTCACGTGTTCCCCCTGACTGGGTCACGCCGCCACCTGGTGGCAGTGGGACCCAGTTATCATTGACTAGTTTTTACAGTTCAGTAATTGCCAAACATTTCTCATAGAAAGGTTGTGGTTTGTGACATTGTTTTGATACTTGGGTACTAGGTTGCTAACTGATCCCGTGTGCTTCTTGCTCCACATAGTAGGCAACAGATTTGGAAAGGCCCTTGTCTTCAGTGGGTCAAAATTCTCTCCGAGGCAAGCATGTAAGCAGAGGGGAGCTACTAAAGGGACCTACCCAGACACTTGAATTTGTAAGGCATACAGTACCTAATTGTATGAATATGTAAACAGAATGCAAATCTTTTGAGCAAAGTAATCATAATGGCTGTTAAGAGTCTTCAGTTAGATTTGGACAAATAACTAAATGGATGATTTAAATATAATACTGTACTGGCAAATGTCATATAGGGGAGTAGAATAGGCTCATAAGAACAATGGATTATTTGAGAAAATTAAATGGGCATTGTATAAAGAAAAGTACTCATGGTTAATCATAAGTAATACTTTATTATCAGTGAACCACAATGGTGAGAGTGTGCACTTTGTGCAAATTTGGTAAAATTTAGAATAGCACAAGTACTGTATGTGGATTGAAAAAGATTAAAATAAATTATATATAATGTATGTCAGACCAAAACTTAAGAATATACTTATTAACAAAAAGTTCAAAGAAAAGGCACAAAATGAGCTCCATGATTAAAGAGATATTACAGTATATATATGTAATAACTATAGCTCTAAACATGCCCAAATTAGAAGAACCCCATACACAAGTTTGTAAATGTATATGAGGATAAAGAAGAGTTCCAGAAGTAATTGGAAATAGGTCATACCTGTAAGGAGGATAGGCTGATTATAAGGAAGATGGGACACCAAAAACACAGCACTCTACAAGTACAGTAACTAAAAATACAGTACCTGGGTAAGTAAGAACACAAAAAGTCAAGTCCATCAAAATATTAATTTACCTTGACTCCCATTGTTTTTAAATAATCCTTTAATTCCACTTCATGTTGAGTGTAAACATCAGTCAAGACACTGACTGCAGCTTCATTGAAGCCCAGTGAAATGGTAAGTTCTTGGAATTCCGACTGTGAAGTGGCCGCCTGAGTACAGTGAGAGAGTAGGAAAACAAGTGCTTTGATGGCATCCTCCACCTGTTAATTATAAAATTGTTTGTAGGCATTATATTCTTTGAGAGTTTAGCAAACCTAGATCAACTATTTTAGGTTCTGTAATAAAAAAATTTTTTTTTCCAGCTCGTATGTGTCAACTACTAGAATGAAACCATGTAGAATCATAAGCACTTGTTTTAAACCTCATTTGGTAATGTTTAATCAAAATAATTTTAACACAGAAGTACTGCACTGTGACCTTTACAAAACTGGTTAAACATTCAACTTTTAGTGCTTTCTAATCCACACTTTTGTTATAGATCTAGAATATACTGTACAGTTGTCACTGCTACTTTGCAACCATTCTTTTTGTAGTTTCTGCTTACATATAAAAGACCACTATTGCAATAGATTCCGAAAATTTATGTTTTTACCATTAACTTCACTGGTTAGTATAATTTGACTATGCATTGGCTTCCTGCAGTACAGTACAGTACTTCAATTGTTCTCATCACACTTGAGGTAGGGGTTCTTATAAGTGAGAGTGAACTAAGTGACTAGTTTGTTGCTCTAGAAGCTTTGGTGTACCATAGCTGATTGAAATGTTCGTTTGACCTTTATTATCTGTTCATGAATATATGCAAGCAAATTTATGTTTTGTACTCAGAGCTGTACATTATCAAATTGAAAACTGAAAATATTCTCAATGCTTTAAATTGCTATACAATTAGAAATGTTCTATATCGGAGATTTCTTGCAAATTGGCTTAAGACTAATAGTACTGGGTTCCGTTCTTTGAAAAGTGTGTTGTTAATTTGAATAAATTCTAAAGGTTAACAGTTAAAGCTCAATTATAAAAGCCATACACACTTTTTCTTAGTAAAAATGCGAGTGTTATTGTACAATGCTGTTTGTCAGAATACAGTATTAGGAAGCTCAATCATGGCATTACTTCTTTGTGACCATTTACTTTTCTATGCCTAATTGAGTACAGTACTACTAGTCTTCTTCCTTTCTTAAGTGAGGGGGAGGGGGTGGAAGGGGATTGTCAATATTACTCAAATTTGAATACTGTACATGTCTGTTTATAATTTATTGACTAAAGGAATAATCACTAACCAATCTTTAGTAATTCACATAAAACATACTATGGCACTTAATTTATTCCAGTTAATTTTATTAAAATATACCGTACTTAAGATACCATATTCGAATATGGTTAAGGTACCTGTATAGTACAACAACGTGAAAAATGTTAATGATAAAAATCACAATGCAGGTACTGGTACTTAAACAAGTAAACAATATTATACACAACTACAATTTGTCATAATGTAAGTCTCTCCCCCAATTTATATTATCAATATGGGGGGTGGGGGGATTCTACCCATGTGGGGAGAGGGTTAGGGGGGATCTACACATGGGAAATGTGTTGGGGGGAAGCTTACCCTTATGGGGAGAGGGTTGGGGGAGCCTACTCATGTGAGAAGTGGGTTGGGGAAGCTGATCTATGTGGGGGAGAGGATTGAGGAAGCCGACCTGGGTTGGGGAAGTCGACCTGTGTGGGGAAAGAGGGTTGGGGAAGCTGACCCGTGTGGGGGAGATGGTTGGGGAAGCCGACCCGTGTGGGGGAAGAGGCTTGGGGAAGCCGACCCGTGTGGGGGAAGAGGCTTGGGGAAGCCGACCCGTGTGGGGGAAGAGGCTTGGGGAAGCCGACCCGTGTGGGGGAAGAGGCTTGGGGAAGCCGACCCGTGTGGGGGAAGAGGCTTGGGGAAGCCGACCCGTGTGGGGGAAGAGGCTTGGGGAAGCCGACCCGTGTGGGGGAAGAGGCTTGGGGAAGCCGACCCGTGTGGGGGAAGCCGACCCGTGTGGGGGAAGAGGCTTGGGGAAGCCGACCCGTGTGGGGGAAGAGGCTTGAGTGTGGGGGAAGAGGCTTGGGGAAGCCGACCCGTGTGGGGGAAGAGGCTTGGGGAAGCCGACCCGTGTGGGGGAAGAGGCTTGGGGCCGACCCGTGTGGGGGAAGAGGCTTGGGGAAGCCGACCCGTGTGGGGGAAGAGGCTTGGGGAAGCCGACCCGTGTGGGGGAAGAGGCTTGGGGAAGCCGACCCGTGTGGGGGAAGAGGCTTGGGGAAGCCGACCCGTGTGGGGGAAGAGGCTTGGGGAAGCCGACCCGTGTGGGGGAAGAGGCTTGGGGAAGCCGACCCGTGTGGGGGAAGAGGCTTGGGGAAGCCGACCCGTGTGGGGGAAGAGGCTTGGGGAAGCCGACCCGTGTGGGGGAAGAGGCTTGGGGAAGCCGACCCGTGTGGGGGAAGAGGCTTGGGGAAGCCGACCCGTGTGGGGGAAGAGGCTTGGGGAAGCCGACCCGTGTGGGGGAAGAGGCTTGGGGAAGCCGACCCGTGTGGGGGAAGAGGCTTGGGGAAGCCGACCCGTGTGGGGGAAGAGGCTTGGGGAAGCCGACCCGTGTGGGGGAAGAGGCTTGGGGAAGCCGACCCGTGTGGGGGAAGAGGCTTGGGGAAGCCGACCCGTGTGGGGGAAGAGGCTTGGGGAAGCCGACCCGTGTGGGGGAAGAGGCTTGGGGAAGCCGACCCGTGTGGGGGAAGAGGGTTGGGGAAGCCGACCCGTGTGGGGGAGAGGATTGGGGAAGCCCACCTGTGTGTGTGGGGGGGGGAGAGGGCTGGAAGTCCACCCGTGTTGGGGGGGGGGCTAACCAGGGAGAGGGATGAGGGGGGAGAGGATTGTGGGGGTGCCTGCCCGAGGTGGGGGAAGAGGGTTGTAGACAGTTTACCTGTGTGGGGAGAACTCCCAGCTTGGTGGCAGCAGAGGTAAACACTCTGTGGTTGACGCCATGCTTAACAAACTGGGTGGCGAGGCGACAGAACTCCTTAACTACCGTCGTGTCGTGGTGCACCAGTAACGACAAGTGTCTCTTGTGCTCCTCGCTCAGGGATAACGACATGGTTGATGGCTGAGAGAGCTAGAGAGGGCCTGGCAGTCCCCGCCCGGCGTCTCCACACTGTTTGTTTACCTTCCCGATACTCCGCCCCCTCCTGGACCCTCACCCCAACTTTCACACCTACCCGGCTCCCCCAACTCCCACATCGAGCACCCCAACTCCCACATCCATCCCCTAACTCCCATATCCATCCCCAGCTCCCACATCCATCCCCCCTAACTCCCACATCCATCCCCCCTAACTCCCACATCCATCCCCCCTAACTCCCACATCCATCCCCCCTAACTCCCACATCCATCCCCCCTAACTCCCACATCCATCCCCCCTAACTCCCACATCCATCCCCCCTAACTCCCACATCCATCCCCCCTAACTCCCACATCCATCCCCCCAACTCCCACATCCATCCCCCCAACTCCCACATTCACCCCCAAACTCCCACATCCACCCCACGAACTCCCACATCCACCCCCCTAACTCCCACATCCACCCCCCCCCTAACTCACATCCACCCCCCTAACTCCCACATCCACCCCCCCCCTAACTCCCACATCCACCCCCCCTAACTCCCACATCCACCCCCCTAACTCCCACATCCACCCCCCCCTAACTCCCACATCCACCCCCCCCCTAACTCCCACATCCATCCCCCCCTAACTCCCACATCCATCCCCCCCTAACTCCCACATCCACCCCCCCCCCTAACTCCCACATCCACCCCCCTAACTCCCACATCCACCCCCCCCCTAACTCCGACATCCACCCCCCCCTAACTCCCACATCCACCCCCCCCCTAACTCCCACATCCATCCCCCCCTAACTCCCACATCCACCCCCCCCCCTAACTCCCACATCCACCCCCCCCCTAACTCCCACATCCATCCCCCCCTAACTCCCACATCCATCCCCCCCCTAACTCCCACATCCACCCCCCACAACTCCCACATCCACCCCCCCAACTCCCACATCCACCCCACCCCCCCAACTCCCACATCCACCCCCCCACCCCCAACTCCCTCATCCACCCCCCCCCAACTCCCCCATCCATCCCCCCCCAACTCCCTCATCCATCCTCTCCCCCAACTCCCTCCTCCACCCCCACCCCCCAACTCCCTCATCCACCCCATTTTCCCCTCACCAATCCTCCACTACTCTCACCACTTTCCAGTTCTCGAATAAAAAAATATTTAATACTGTACATTCAAATAATAATAACAGTATCAATAACAACACTTATTTCAATAATAACACTAACATATTAGAAATTAAGTTTTGTTTACCCTGGGTAGTGTTATTTTTGAATTGGTTATGCCACCCAAGTATAGAACATGGATGTTATTCCTCTCAAACTTTGCTTTGGCCTTTAACAAGGATACAATAGACCAGTTGGGTCTAAGACCTGAGCTTATTGGCACCACCCCAAAGTCATCACGACTCTCTAAGTAAACCCAACTTTATCGAACGTAACCAAACTCAACCCAATCTAATCAAAACTAAGTGTTGTAGCACAATTGGCTTCTTTCTTGACTCACAATCGGGAATTCTGGTTTCGATTTTTGGACGGGAATGAGTGAGTGAGTGAGTGTCCTCACCTAATTGTGCGCGAGTGAGAGAGTGAGCATATGAATGAGTGTGTATTCATGTGTATATGGTCATACACAGGCTTGCTGTCTCAAACAAAACGAATTATATGATGTGTGTGCGTGCACGGGATGTGTGGCATCACTGTAACATCATTTTATCCCGTAGATAAGCACACACACGTTGAATTAACTTTGAATTACCGCAGATATGGTTGATTCAGTGTCAGACCAACTTCACTCATGGATATTATTACCCCACTGCGACCACCACCACCACCACCACCCATGCACTTCCCACTTTTATGGGGTGGGAGAAAGCCATTATTATTATTTTCTTATTAACGAACTTTGGCACATATCTTGAGGTTATCTTGAGATGATTTCGGGGGCTTAGCGTCCCCGCGGCCCGGTCTTCGACTAGGCCTCCTTTTTTGTTACATATCCTCCAGGAAGCAGCCCGTAGCAGCTGTCTAACTCCCAGGTACCTATTTACTGCTAGGTTTACTTCGTAGGTTTACGAAATGGGTGGGTGGGTTTACTTCACCTACCATTATCCAAATCTCATAAGATGGTTTGATCATACGTGGGATGTGTATCTAGTATTCGCTTGCAAGTGTACATATGGGGGATAAACTATAGCTCATTGGTCCTGCCTCTCAACTCTTATTAGTTTATCAAATCGAGAGCAGATTGGGTTGTGCTTACCTTGCCTATCAGTGATAGCAGAGGAGTGAGATATAGCTCTTTATACCCCGCCTCCTACCGTTTATACTTGGCGCGCTAATTATCTCAATTAACAATAAAGTTTTTTTAAGTTGTGAATGGAATTGGCTTCAACAACCTCTTCCTTCAGTGCATTCCATTGCCCAATTACTCTTACAGGAAACGAGAACTTCCTTACACCTACAACTAAAACCAAATTAGCAACATTACTTTGCATGAGAATGCTGAAGGAAATGACATTGAAGTCAGAATCAATCTTTCAATGAAAGGTTCACAATAATAAGCACGTGGGAGCTGCAGTAAAAAAAAGCTAACCAAATTCTAGGAATAACCAAGTGAACCTTTGACTTTAAAGAAAAGAAGATATAATTAAGCAACTATAAATCTCAGGTGCCCCCCCCCCCTCTCACTTGGATTATTGTATCTAAGTATGGAGACAATCGTCAGAAAGACTTAGCTGATTTGGGTAAAGTTCATTCCAGAACTAAGTCAACTACCAGGAACAGTTGAGGGCCTCAGGGCTAACAACACTGCAAACCAGACATGATTAGAGCTGATCTCATCAACACTTTAAAAATACTTAACAATTTGGAGGATGTTGATACTTAAATAATGGTCTCACATAGGCAGTGTTTATGGACTTAATCCCTCCTTATTAAGATTTTTAAATGATATTCTTAAGTTTGCTAACTTCCCATATGCTACTGATGTTATACTGTTCACATGAGTTTCTGGTATTAGTGTTAAGATTTACTCCCAGGTCTTTTTCTCTTATTGTTTCTTGCAATTGGTTCCCCCTGATGGTGTAGTTAAATACAGGCATCCTGTCTTCCTTATATATTTTCATTGCTTCACACTTGGATTGAGCTTCTGCAACCATTATCTGTCCATTCCTGAACTTTGTCAAGATTTTCTTGCATCACCCTACAGTCCTATACTTACTACAGTTTAAGCTGTGAATGAAGTTTGCCTACTCCGTTTCACTTATTAACACATTCCTTTTATTCACTCTTGACAATGAAAACACTATTTCTCCTTCCTCTATTTTGAAGACCTTCTGGCATCTCCTGTTTAGTTTCTCACACACTTCTCTGTTGTTCTTGGTGAATGAGAACAACCCGGTTCTTGGTTGTTCCATTCCTGTCCTCAGTTTCTTCTCATGTTCCTTAACTGTTGTGTTTCCTCCTGATGTGATAAGTAACTTGGGTTGGGTTTTATATTAGTTACAGTGTAAAAGTCCACAAGGGCCTTGATGAAGGTTCAAACCTATGCGCTGAGTGTTCCCAGGTGCTCTCTAGTCATCTTATTTGACTTATTATTTCACCATCTTATCACCATCTTCTTATTTCACTTATTTCACCATCTTATCTTATTTCACTTTGGTTCGAACCCTCATCAAGGCCCTTATGGATTTGTTCATTTGATATATCACGCTATTGTGATTTCTGTGTGCAGTTAGTGTTGTTCATTCTTCAGTTTCCTTATACATTTCCCTTCAATATACCAATTTCTATCTACTGGTCTTTTATCGAAACAGTACATCTCTACTTCCAAAAAATAATCAAGTGCCCTTTGAATATCATATCAAGTTTGGCTGGTTCATTATTATCCCTTGTTCTTGTGGGTTCATTGACATGTTGGCTGAGAAAGTTTTTTTTTTTTTTGGGGGGGGGGGGGGGGAAAATCTCATTAATTTAGCTCTCCATGTACTCACCTAGTAAGTACCCCCTGTGTGGATTCGCTAATATCCCAATCTGTCTTACCATGGCTGAAGTCCCCCATGATTAAGAGTCGAGATCCATTCCTGTTAGCAACTGGGGCAGTTCTTTCCAGGAAAGTAATAACAGCACTATTATTCCTGGCATGTTTTTGCCTGAGTGTTATGTCATTTTGTGAAGAACTGTACAGTATATCACTGCTGCTATTATTTTAGGTACTCCCTGTTATATAGTCACTTAATACTCCACAGCCTGGGATTAACAACTGTTTTTCATGTCCAGCCCTTCCTGTCCAACACGGCTAATCCCCCCCTTCCCTCTTTCTTCCCTCCCATTTCTTACAATATGGTAGTCTTGGGAAATACTCCATTAGTTATGACTTAACCCGACAGTAGTATTTCAATGAGTACAATTACATCCAAGTTTTCCACATATTGTATCTACTTAGATTGAATCCAGGTTACAAATGTTGCTGAAGTAGTTACTTATTTCGGTGCGCTCTACCTTTCTACAGTATTTTTTTCTTCGGTAATGTGGTTGATCTTGCATCCCCACTACCCTATGCCTCCATTGAGGGAGCCAGATTTTGGTTCTTGTTTCCAGTAGGCGCTCATGATTCATTAGCACCCAGTATAGCACCTTGGTTTAGATGATTCTGAGTATATGCTCGGGAAGATTCAGAGAGGCTCACAAGGATTCATTTCATTACGTTCAGTGCTTGATTGTTCTTAAAGTAATGTATCCATCGGGAGCCTTTTGGATTGACCAAACCACACACTAGAATTTGAAGAGATGACGACGTTTTGGTCCATCCTGAACCATTATCAAGTCGATTGTGACTTAATAATCGACTTGATAATGGTCCAGAATGGATCAAAACGTCGTCGTCTCTTTAAATTCTAGGTATGGTCAACATTTTTCAGCCAAGTTATTGTGACTCTTCATCTTTTTGGGTTGCAATCCCAGACTGAAAAGTAGAATCATATTATTAATATATAATTTGCAGCTGGCAGTGTATTGATGGTATTGTTGTGTTGCAGGGGTGGACTTATGGCGTGTGGTGACTCTCATCACAGCCGTGCTGCTCTTCTTCACTGCTCACCACCTGGCAAAGAATACCTTCTTCCACTACACCACAGGAATTACTATTGGAATTTTAGGCTCTCTCCTAATTATTGTTTATATTATGGCAAGACTTGTGCCAAAGGTTAGTAGGTTAGTTGGTATCAGTTACTAAAATAGTTGTCAAATTACTTTACAGAGTTTATCATTGCAAAATTTGTAGTTTCATGTCAGATGTGCTAACTAGAGAAAATCAGTTGATACTCTCATTTCTCCATAGTAAAATAATGTCAAGACCATTACAGTACTTTATAGCATGTAATAACTAGTACAGTTGGCCCTCAATTAATGCAAGGGGATACATTGCTGAAAAAAAGGAAGTAAATCAAATTTAAAAATATGGAAAAAAACAGTGTTGAATGTAATGATATGCCTATTTCTGGTGGGACATCGGTGGCTCCTTGAACTAACTCGCTGAGGTAGCTAAAGCTAACCCCCTACTGAGTTCCATTAGCCATAGGAACCCTGTATGATCTACCAAGGACCAGAAAACTTGCATCAATACTTGCTCCCCCCCCCCCCTTCCTTCCTCACAGCGGCACAGGGAGCAGGGGGTCGTTACAATCACCCCTCACTGAGAAAATGCTCAGAAAGTAGGAGAAGCAATACAAACAACTGCAAGGTTCAAAGAAATCAAAGCCCTGAAACTGCCAAATGGCTCCACAAATGATTCACTCAGAAGTTAGGTTGGACCCCCTCAAGTTATGGCTGGCCACCAATAGTTGGCAGCACCACTGGGAGCTCACAGCTTTCATGTTATCACATTCTCAATCCAGAGTTGAAAGACCATGAACCAGTGTACCTGGTAGGGGGAAGGAGAGGGATCAGAAAGCACTCAAGGCCCTACTAGAAAGATGCGTTTCATTACGTTAAATTCTGTTTTTTGGAGGGGGCCAAACAGTGGCTTCCTGACGCTAACTAATAACAGAGTAGAAGTGAAACACAGGACTTTCCAGGGAGGAGGAGAGCAAAAACAACATGCATTCTTTGATAGGAAACCCAACCCAGTGCAACAAAAGCCCGATGGAAATAGGAGCATTGACTAGGTAATGAACTGCCAGGACCCTGTTAGTTGTCTGAAACCCCCTGAGCTTGTATATCAGCCCAGGACATGCTAGAAAACACCACAGGTAAAGTCACAAACTTGTGAACATCATGGGCTCGCAGGCTGGATAGACTTAATGACACTGCAGACAACCTGGGATAAACAAGTCTTGAAACATGAAACCAAGAAAACCGGGTCAACAAACTACACATCCACTGAAGCAGAGCAGGTAGCAACAAACCAATGCAGCAGAATAGCAAATGATGCACCCCTGGCTAGACATACTAAACATCAACAACCAAACGACCCCTCTAGAAATTAACCATATCATTCTTTGCCAGAAAAGGAGAAGGCTGCAAATGAAAAAACCTGTATTTCCTCACTTTCTGGCTGTATTCTTGGTGAGGGTGATTGTAAAAATCCCTTGCACCCTGTACCTCTGTGAAGAAGCCATTTTTGGGAGAGTTCATTTGGCAGATTGTGAGGTTTCAATCTCTCTTGAACCCAGGATTGGTCTGTATTGGTTTGCTGACACTCTTTGGGTGTCACCTGTTCCCTGCACCTCTTGTGAGGAAGCCAGGTTCTGGCTCTCGTCCCCGGCAGGCTGAACTGAACTCCACAGCTGATGCGATCTAGTAGTTGGGAGCCATTTCAGCAAGATAGCTTCAGGGAGGCACCAGGGGCTCCCCCCAGAAGATGGGAATGGATTGTTCTGCCCATAATAAAATAGGAGTGGAGTATAGTCTGCAATAAAACAGGAGTGTTTTGCTTTTACACTAATTTAATACAATAGGCATTGTATAACTTTAATAAATATACTGTACTGTAAAATAGGAATTTAATAATTTAAATAGTTGGGACAGACAATATATGGGTACCCTATACTAGCCGACTACAATACAAGTGGTATTATACAGTATTTAACAACATGGATTTGGGGTGATGTGGTAAAAATTTGTATGCCTAGTTTTAAATTAAACAGACTAATTTTGGAATAATGTGGGTTGAGAATTGATTAATATGGATGGTATGCATTAATTATTGGGTCTTTTATGCTCTTAGCAGTGAATCAAGCATCCACACACCCTTTACATTATGTTTTACAAACTTGTTGAGCTGTATTTGTGCATCTTTGCACATTCCAGGTATTCTGAACTTTTAATATGTGCTAAATTTATGGCTAGACAGTAGAGGGAGCATTAAATATATAATTTAAAATAAGAAATTTAACGAGTAAAAAGTGGGAAAAGATTGGACTTTGAGAGGTCTTTGGAATGTATCCCTATTTCTAGAGGGGCTAAACAGTGGCTTCCTGAAGCTAGTGCATGGAGGTAGCTCCTCTTCCCTCCTGACTGAGTCACATCAATGTTAAGACTCAGTTCCTCAGTATGTCCTACTGAGGAACAGAGCCAGAACCTGGGCCCCTCCTGAGAGAAGCGGAAGCAGGTGACACTCCGCCATTTCATTGGGAAAGACACCCAGAAAGTCAGCAAACCCAGTACTGCTGGGTTCAAAAGACACCAAAGCCTCACAACCCACTGAATGAACTCCCCCCTTTCCCAATAATGTAAACAAATGGTAAAAAATCTCTCAAAATTATCATGCACTCATTTGCCCCACTGAGCCACTGAGGGACCCATCAGAAAGAGGCATTTCATGAAATTCATTGTTGGATTTTCACCACATTGGAAACTGATTCATTAAACAGTTTCTGTCCATTTTGAAAGTTAAAGGATAATTTTTTCATTATTATATCATAGAAATCTGGTGCAGTGACACTGATGGTTGGAGGCTGGGGCCTGACGATATACCTCATCCAGTACCTGTGGCAGAACTTCCTCTCCATTGTGAAAGAAAATCATTCCATTGCTGTTGGTAAGTGGGACTGTGGGTGATGATGAGCAATGCAGTGTGTATGATGATGAGGAATTAGCAGTGTGTGATGATGAGGAATGTGGTTGTGTGTGTGATGATGAGGAATGTGGTGTTTGTGTGTGTGATGATGAGGAATGTGGGGGTTGTGTGTGTGTGATGATGATGAGATGTTTCATTACATTTAGTGCTCGATTTCTGTTGATCATAATGATTGAAATATAACATTTATGACTGTAAGTTATCCAAATGTAAACTATGACTAAAGCACAGAGGAAAGGTTTAGGGCTCAGTACTCTAAGTGGATATATACATTGAAACATAAAATGCTAAAGTTATATAATTTTATGTGATTTTTTTGCGCAGAGAAAAGTAATTAATAATACATATATCTAAGCTTATTATTTGTTATTAAAATATGATCTATGTATACTTAACATTACGTTTTAATACAGGTTATATAGTGGTGGCCGGACTGATCAGTTTTGCTATGGTGTATCGCTATGGCCCTCTAACAGATAAGCGTTCAATCAACCTAGTTCAATGGGCTATGCAGCTGGCAGCAGTAGTCGCAGTATTTTTAAGTAGCCAGTATCGTGAAGCTACATTAGGAATCATCATTGTAATGGTATCTTATCACACTGTTCCTGATAAGTGGAAATCCAAGTTTCAGACCTTCTGGTGAGTACATCGTGCTTCTCATGTTTCTCCATCTTTGGTGTTGTGTAACCAGGCAGGATCACTATTAGTACAATGTTACCTCGATCTAGTGAATCCCTGGTTGGAAAACACGCTTTAAGTACCCCACTTCACTGAACAAGTGTTTGGTGAAGTGCAGAATTACTTAGAATGCAGAGCCGGAGTTCAGTGACCTGTGGACAGCTTGATGGTCCTGGTTCATTTACACCATTTTGGGGATCATGGCCTTACTTTTAAAAATTAAACTTTAAAAGGCTAGATCATGAGAAATACTGGTGATTATGGTGAAATTTCTTTAGTCAGGATATACTAGTACAGTACAATAGTTGTAAATTATTATGGTCAGTTGAAATTGAAGTTTTGTGCCATGAAATAAGCTCATAGAGCATGAGAAATATTAGGGTATGATGGTAACACTTAATATGGTTCCAATCATGGTTTTAAAAAAATTTCATAGCTGAATGAAACATTAGAAGAAACAAGCATAGCAATGTATTTTCGTCATAAGAAACTTGCATTCTATGTAGTGAAACGCCTCTTTCTGGATGGGTCCTTGGTGGCTCCCTGAAGCTATCTCGCTGAGATAACTCCCAATTATTAGGTTCTGGATTGTACCTAGATGGGGTTCTGAGAGTTCTTCTACTCCCCAAGCCCTGCCCGTGGCCACACACTTGACTTGTGAGATCACATCAGCTGTGGAGTTCTGTTTGGCCTACTGGGAAGTACGAACCATAATTATGATTGGCTTCCATCACAGAGGCACAGAAAGTGGATGACACTGCTTCCCGACTGGGAAAGCACCCAGAAAGGCAACAAACTGATACAGGCAATTCTCCAAGTGTTCAGGTGAATAAAATGTTATCCACAATATGGTGGTTAGCCATTTTTATTTATATATGTATAGTATACATAAAATTAATTAATTACTGTTGGGTTCAAAAGAAGTTACTTTTTTTGTCTGTTGGATCATTTTATTTCTGACGGTTTTTCTGGAAGGACCTCCTCAGTAGCATGGGAAGCCATTGAGGAATTCACCAGAAAGAGGTATTTTATTACATTTGCTGAGTTTTGTGTAACATTGGAGATGTCCGAGGTGATCACATAATCCGAGTTTCTTGAGAAATGTATGAATTAATTCAGTGTCACGTAATGATGTATGCTTACTCTCTTTTTATTTATTCATTGATTATCTATATTTATTTTCAGGCGTCGGCAATTTCCCCCCAAAGTGAAATGGTTAACAGAAGAAGAATATATCCAAGAGGCTGATGTAGAAACTCGCAAAGCTTTACAGGATTTAAGATCGTTCTGCCGATCACCAAACTGTGATGCCTGGAAAACAGTCTCAAGACTAAAATCACCACAAAGGTACTTTCCGATTGTCTTCAATCCTTTGGCAGAGGCCAAATGTAGTACAGCACAGAAAAGGTATTTATATGGGAAACATAAATATATTTCCAATTTATATGGGAAAACATGGGAACTGGAAAGAGGGATAGGACAGTGGTAAGAATAAAGGTGGGCCAGTGGTAGGAATAATGGAGGTGGGCCAGTGGTAAGAATAAAGGAGGCGGGCTAGTGGTATGAATAAAGGTGGGCCAGTGGTAAGAATAAAGGAGGCGGGCTAGTGGTATGAATAAAGGTGGGCCAGTGGTAAGAATAAAGGTGGTGGGCCATAATGTAATGTATAACGTAAACATTCCATTAATATAAACATTATTCCATTCCATAATGTAAAGGCAACTTTACAGTCTAGTCCACCAGTAACTTACATAGTAGGTGGAAGTTGAGGGAAACACACACACACACACAAGTACAAAGGAGTGTGTGCCTAAATCAAGACATGTTGAAGGAAGGAAAAGGAGAGGCCTAGAAATGTAAGGAGGCCAAAAACCAGCATTGAATGTAATGAAATGCCGGTTTCTGGATGACCCCCGTAGGCTCCTATCATCACTGATTGTCATCAGTTGCAGAGTTCTTTTTTGCCTACCGGGGACCATGAGCCAAAACCTGGCCCCCTCACAGAGGCACAAGGAGCAATGGCCTATGATCACTTTACATTTAAAGATATCATATTTGCCATCACTAGGGAAAGCACCCAGAAGGTTAGGCAAAGCAAAAAAAAAAAAAAAAAAACTGCCTGGTTTAACTGGAATTCTGTTAAACTACTGAATCCCCTGGATCCCCCTGAACACTGGAATGCTTAACACTGGAACTCTCCCAAGAAGAAAAGAAACAATCAAAACTTAGCGAAACTAGCACCCTTACTAGTTAGCTCCACCTCCTCCCTCATTGGGGAAAGCTGGCTTCCATTTTTTACTGATGTGCTTACCTGGTGGCAAGCATACCAGTAACTGTGCCTGCACATCAACCTGCAGCAGCTTCGCCAGTGCTGCCTAATATGAGGTGACTGTATTAAGCATGAGATGGCGATCAAGAAAAATCCAAGAAAAAAAGGAGAGCTCTACATGCTCAGAAACCAAAGAACAGTGATGGAGGGAAAGTAAGTGGCAAAAGGAGTGGCACAAAACCTCATGCTGTTGCTAAGAAGAGGAATGCAAGTGGGACACCATCAAAGAAGTCACCTACTTGCTGTAAAGATGGTGATAAATATGCATCAAACACACCAGATTCAAAGAGCTGAGGAGAAGGTCTATCCAGCGAAATACATCACCGTGCCAACCTTCTGATAGAGATGACACGTGGAAAAACACCTAGGTTCGGACACCAAGCAAGAAGTGCGGCACTGCTTGCTTCCAAGCAGTTATTTGTTTTGAAGTGCTGGTTTCCTCTGTGGTGGATTTTTATTATGTGGTGATCTCTGATCCCTAGGCTTCCCTAAGCCTCTTTCAGGTGTCCAGATTCTGGTCCTGGCTCCCAGTTGGTGCTGGAGCACTGGTGTGTTTCCCCTGTGACTTGGATGTGTCCAGGGTGTAGCATCAGGGAACTACTGAGGAAGCCCTTTTATAGCACTTGAAATTGATTGACCTCGATTCCTTTTTAATGTAATGTATTGAATACTGGTCTCATTGTGCTTGGAATCGACTGATAACTTATATTGTAAATGAAAAGCTGGCGATGTATTGTTATAAACAGTAATGTTTGGCCAGAAAGAAACAATATTCAGGAGGTAATACAGTACCTCCTGACTACTAAAATACAGTACCTCCTGGCCACTGTTTGGCCAGTAAGGAAACAATATTCAGGAAGTACTATATTTATTACCTCTTTGTAACTTGATTTCAACCATCTTATTTTGTTAAAACTAATACTTTATAATTATACATAAATTTGTGGGGACTTATGTTGAGCAAATCACATTAAGAAATGTTTCTAATGTAGCCAAATGGTAATAGTAGTTTGTATCCACAGATTTGTAGAGTTTGTTGGGATTCCTCAAAAGAGGCTGAGTGGCACACCAAACAGAGCCCACAGAGAGAGGTAAGCCATGTATGGTTTCCCTTTCTCTGGTAATGGGCTTGCTTCTAGTTGTGCATACAACATATGTTTGTAGATTATAAATCAAGTTAGAGTTTTTACATTTAAATAAGAGATAGCATAGCTAAATACAGTAATTTGAACATCTAGGTAACTGTATTAACATTTGTCAGTTAAGAAGACAGGAAGGTTTGTCAAGCAGGTTGGCAACAGTGAGTTTCCTAGACCAAATCTTCAACCTGTCCTCTTAAAAATAACGTTGCTTTTGGCCGTTTACCCGTATGGCCGAAAGTGGACGTAATTTGAAAATAAAAATGAAAATAAATTTATATTTTTTTTTCAACAACAGTAAGTTAAGGGTCCTCTGATAGGTTAGGTGGGCAGGAAATTCTCATAAAGTTTCCTCTCCTAACCTTTCCGAGTAAGCCAGGTGACTCAAACAGAAAACGGGACAGTGCGTCACTTTCGTGAGCCGATTTCATTTCAAATTATGTCCACGTTTGACCATAGCACGCATACGAGCCAAAAGCGGCGTTATTTTTAAGAGGACGGGTTGGAATGTTAACGAAACCAAATGTATACTGCTCACTGTTATTTACCCATGCTCACAATCTTATGTGTATTGTTATTGGCAGCATGTCTTACATTTAGTCTTATAATTCCAGTAAGCCTTTTTAGCTGAACTTTAAAACCTGTATTTTTCACTGTATTTGTATGTATCACTGTATTTGTTTCTGTATAAACACAAAATTTCTTATTTTACTCTAGCCTTAGCCTTAGTATTAGTTATGCACATAGTGTTAATGAAAACAATAAATACTGTGTACTTTATAAGCACAAAATCCAAACATTAGAAATGTCATCACTTATTCATGTTTCTAAATTGATTGTTGAGTAGTTAATTGTTGCAGCCACAATACTGTTGCCTGTATTAATGATCTTCATTGACTGGCAAACAACACAAGGGCAGCTTGTGCTCCACTCACAATTTATTCGGCAATAATTGCCATCTTATTATTCAAATTTGCTGGTGCTTAGGATAGTAAACTACTGTAATTAATCCTGGGCACTCTTAAGAGAACATTTGTGAAATATATAAAGGTGGTGTGATGGCCTTTCTTTTGACACAGTAAGGCTTTAACAGCACTTGCTGATTGTCTATTATTTCTGCTTTAACAAACACGATCTGACTTAAGCTTTGCCCCTTTCTCTTATCCTCATCTTACTTTTACCTTTCATTTTATTCTTAATTTTTTCTCTTACCTGCTCCTCACTTCTCATCTCACTCCCTTACCTTATTTATTTGTCTGTCCTTTCCTGTCTTTCATCACACGACTTGATGGAAAGACAGGATCGAGCTGTTTTGATCCAGGATGGCCCGAAACGTCGTCATTTCTTCATTTTCAGATGTGGGATTTAGTTATCACATCTTCAGCCACATTATTGTGACTCATCATCTACATAAGACAATGGTAATCATGCCTCTGTTCCAACAACATGCAGAGTAGACAGCTGTGCAGAACCCAAGGACATCCAATGAGGTGTGGGGGATCAAATCCATGTGAAATCTTTGGTAATAGTTGAAAATGTCCAAGCATCCCTGTTCCAGGCCCACCACATCTCCACTGGAGCTTAAAGTAAAAGGGTAGACTGGGTGCCTCAATCAGCGAGATTTCCGTGCACTGATGGAAGCTGCTCTTTCCCCAAAATGTTAACTGTTGTGGTTAAAACACCACAAGGCTGGAAGGAAGCAAGGAGGGCCTGCTTTCATCTTTATTTGGGTTAGGTTGTCAACTTGAGGTCTGCTCGTTAATCCTGTCATGAGTCTGTTAAGTGGTGCTAGGGTTTTGAATGGGGTCACCACATGGTACTTTAATGATATCACAGGCCTAGGGGCCCTGTCATTGGTGGACACCAAGAACTCACCCACAGTTACGATTTAACACCACTCGTACACACTATTCTGTTGACATCTAAGTAGCTAGCGTATGCATTTCATTAATTGAGGGACTTGATAGACAATGATGCAGATGTTGAAGGCCGTGGTAGCTGGCATCATGGCATGGTTGTGTTGGTATTCACCTTTGTTCCAAGACCACAGCAAATATTGGTCATTATTCAGTGAAAAATCCATGATACTAATACTGCTATCCCAATATTAACTGTTGTGGTGTACTAAGATGTGGTTTATATAATCACAGGGTTAGAAGGAAACAATCACTGCATTCTTTATTTGGGTTAAGTTGACAACCTGAAGTATCATCTGCTTCAACTCCACCGAGAGGTGTCAGGATTTTGAATTGGGCCCTGGCTTTGCTTTCTTGATGCCAAAGGCCTAGGAGAGTTGATATTGGGAGACGCACCTAGAACTCAACTGCAATTAGGATTCAATGGCTGCAAAAAACTGCAACAGATAGGAGGGAAGCCATAACCACATACCAGAATCACCACCTCTTCCAGGTGATCAAAGGCCTAATGAACATGCCACTTATGGAAAGTAGGTGAAGTGGGCTTCAATCAAAACACCTGGTAAAGTAGCTAGAAACTGCACATGTGGAATCTAAACCTGATTCACATACTCTTCATGATAAGGGAGAGCAGAAAACGGAGTGGATATCAAGAAGTGCCGGACCAACCGGGCTGTGGTGGATATGTGGGCCCGCCGGCCGCTCCAAGCAACAGCTTGTTGAACCAAGCTCTCAAGTCATGCCTGGCCTCAGGCCGGACTTGAGGAGTAGAAGAACTTTCAGAACCCCATCAAGCTGGTAACAAGGTATCAACAGCGATAGCAGACAAGTGAACTCCAGGAAAAAAACTTATCTGACAAGATGTGAAAATGTCAGACACTAAAATGTGAAGATTTAGCACAAACAATTTGAGCAAAACCTCAGTGGCTGAGGAAGCAAACAACAAGTCTGCGCCATTCCCTAGAGAAGCATCCCAACTTGAAATGGGAAGGAACTCCAGAACGACAACCAATAAGACCTGTGACTCGCCACAGTTTTATACGCAGTGAAATGAACCATAACACACGGAAATCATGTATGTTGAAACAAAAGTTGCAAGGAAAAACTAACCAAAAAGATATCCTATTAGACACCATAGGGCCAAGGTTAAGGAAGAGTGGACACGATGCACAAATGGAGGTTTCCGACTCTGCCAAAACTGTTATGATGATGGGTGTTCCCACTTAGTGGCAGCTAGAGTTGCTGGGTTTGTTAACCAATAGTTAGGAGAGTGCTAATTGACATTTCTTGTATTTTCTAATTATCACTTTTTGTCTGGCAATGTTAAACTGTCTGGCTTGAGTTAAACTTGCCACTGTCTCCTTTCCGTAACTTCATTGACAAAACAAATTGCAAACTTACTGGTAGTTGTCATAGTGGAGACAAGGTTGACAAGAGTGTAATCCCAGTAAAGGATTAAATCCTAAGTGGACCATAATGACTCAGGAAGCATCTCAAGCACCTCAGCTCAGAAAAAAATGTATTGTTATTCATAACTGTAATGTAAAACTTTATAGAGGATGTTGATTTTTTTATTTTAAATTTGTGTGTGTGTGTAATTAATTATCAAAAGAATGCAACATATGAGGAAGACTATTTAGCACCTTTGTGTTTGTATGTTTGCATGTGTGTATGGGATCATATTTAATAGAAGAGGTGTGTGGTAATTACATTTAATTCTGTGTTCTCTCCTCATAGATTTGCAGAGTTCGTCGAGGGCGGGTCTCACTTGGACGATGAAGCGATCCTGGCATATGAATGTAATCACCTGACGCCATCTCGAGATGATGACAACAGTGAAGACAGCGACCCTTTTGCCACCTCAGATGAAGAAGAATTGTAAGGTCCTAATCTAATTAAGGCACATTGTAAAACAACAAAATTTTGCCCAACTCTCTCCCACCATGGAAGAACTAGTGGTACACTGTATTTAGAATGGTGCCAATTTTATTATTCTGAAGAGAACTGCAATTGACATTTTAAATTATAATTATATTTAGCTTTGTCTTATTAAATATAATGGAGAGGCACTAAATGATTGAGGAAGCTTGGAAACTTTTCTGCCTCAAAAAAAAGTTAGCCTCAGTGTTATATGGTGCAGTATACCCCTCTATTGTGCATTGGCTGTGAACTTTGATATCTCTGATATCTTGCAACATGGTGTGTTAGGATCATTTGATTAAAATATGTAAATATTTGTATATTTGTAAGGCAATAGGAGTGTTTTAGGGATTATGTAATCTCTATACTTTACATTTGATACTGAGTTTTCTTTAGCTACTCATAAAGCTAAATAGTATAGGTAAGGCTTTTGTACATTTATAGTACTGTATTTTCATTGTGAAATTCAGTATCTTGCTTGTTTGTATCTTTGACAATTCATTTCTCCTTAGAGCTTTCCTCTGAGGTGGTGGCAACAACAGAATACTTCAAAGTAGCTGTAATTAATTGTCTGTCTAATTGCTCTATTTCCTTAAGTTTACTTAAAATCTTTACTGTTTATTATCTTCTGTCCCATCACAGGATATTGCATGTCTTTCCCTAACTTTAACACTGTATATAATTCATGTATGTATTGCATCACTGTCTCCACATATCCCGATCATGAGAAAGTATTCTTCGTAAACCAGTTTGTTATACAATATACTTTATATCCAGGGTGTTATTTCACCATCACATGTCACTATTTCTTAGTCATTGATTTGGTCTGCCAGCTAGGCCAACAGGCAAAACTATTTAGGAAATATTTTACATACTCCTTTAACTCATTAACACTTGACGGTTGTTTAAATATTTGAGGAAGAGTTAAGACAAGGTTGGCCTCTCTAAATAGGGAAGACTCATTGTGAAATGGGTATCAAAGATACCTGTGAGATATGTTTCCTACAATGGGGGATAAATCTAAGATTTTAGTCAGTGCTCAAAGTTACTTTGATGAAGAAAATTGAATAGAATATTTTTCTTAAAATGCGGCAGATGTCGAGCTTTTGCTTTTGTTTCCTGTGATAATTTAATATATTTATTCATGATGTAATATTTTCTTTTTTGCTGTGGGTATACAAGAGCAAATTAAACATATTGTATATTAATATATGTTATTACTTATTTTGTCAGTAATTCATTTACCATATAAATTAGCATACTATTTAATATCTATGACATAGATTTTACTTCATTGTTCAGATAAAGATATGACAGTCATTTTTGCATGAGTGCAGCAGTATGTACTCTGCTTTTAAATGCAGCAGTATGTACTATCTTCCTTTGAGTGAAGCAGTATGTACTCTGCCCCCGAGTGCAACAGTAATACTCTGTCCCTAAGTGAAGTGATGTGTACTGTGTCCCTGAGTGCAGTAGTATGTACACTGCCAGAGTGAAGCAATATGTACTCTGCCCCTAAGTACATCAGTATGTATCAGCCCAAGTGCACCAGTACATACTCTGCCCAAGTGCAGCTGTATGCATATAGTCCGAGTGCAGCAGTATATACCCTCTGCCCCTACATGCAGTAGTAGTCTTTTGCTTCTGAGTGCAGTAGTGCTCTCTGTCCCTACATGCATCAGTATGTACACTCTGCCCTGAGTGCAACAGTATATTCTCTGTTCTTGCATGTAGTAGTACTCTTAATCTCCGAGTGCACCATCACTACTCTTTGACCCCAAGTGTGTCTGCTCTTGAATGCAGTAGTACAATACTTTCTGCCCCCAAGTGCAGGCGTACTCTCTGACCCCCCCCGAGTGCAGGCGTACTCTGTCCCTGCTCACTGCCCTCGAGTGCAGCCGTACTCTGCCCCCTAGTGCAGGCGTACTCTGTCCATGCCCTCGAGTGCAGTCGTACTCTGCCCTCGAGTGCAGCCGTACTCTGCCCCCTAGTGCAGGCGTACTCTCTGCCTGAGTTCAATAGTAGCAATTTTTTTTTTTTTTTTTTTTTTCAAAATAAGTTTAATACATAATTTTTGCTAATGAAGCAAGATTAAAAAACATTTTCTAAATGGTAAGTATGTATGTAGCAAAGAACAATCCCAACAGTTAGCCAAGGGGCTTAAATTACATCTTTCTTCTTAAGAAGTAAAGATATGAAAGTTTTCCAACAAGTATTTTGTATATATGGTTCAGAGTGAGAATACATGAGATTTGTTTGTTGGTATCCTGTACTTAGTATTTGTGATTTTAATATAAGATTTTTTTTTTTATAGTTTAAGCTGAAGGTAAACCTGTACCTTCAGTCATAAAAGTGTAAATCGGTATAATTTTGTTAATCACTCATTTGCAACACGGCAGCAATTATGTTCTTGTGTTTATGAAATAAAATGAATTTAGAAAAATGTTTTTACTGGCAGTTATAAATTGTACAAATACCAAATCGCTATCAACCGAGTAAAATGTTCAAAATTATTATTTTGTGCCCTTTGCTCTGGGTAAATGTTTTCTACATGTTTGATGGCAGGCAAAGGTATTTAGTTAAGGTTCTTAGGATAATGCTAACAACACATTAAACGTTTATCTTTATTTATATACACATGCATTCTGTATACATTTGCATCCTATTTAGGACAGAATTGTACCACATATGTAATATTATTTATCTTTGTCTTCCACATATTTCTTACTCATCAGCAGGATGGTTCATATTGAACTTTATCATTATTCTGTAGAACACTACCTTTAAAATACTTTCTTTTGATACCATTTAAATAATTTTTTGATGAAAGAGGGGAAGTCAACAAACTAGAGCAAGAAATGGGATCCAAAACCCAACAAGGACCCACACCTCAGAAGGGGAGAAAAACAAAAATGGAAAGGGGATGAATCTCAAACCTGATGGCACCCAGAAAAAATGGCAAGCTGAAGTCAAGAGACAAGCTGAAATAGCAGTGTAGGACGACAAAAGCACCCCTGTGCAGTAACTTGTTTAAAAATGTGGCCACAGATTTTTTTGTACATCTTTCTCATTTGAAAAAATATATTGAAACACAGGTTAAAAATTTTACAGCAATGGTAATGAAAAACAATAGACACTAAAGGAGAAAACAAGAAGTTAACAAACTCCTGCAGAAAGTATGAAAAACCAAGCAAGGGAAAGTAGCACCCATAAACCCTTTCCCTGTCTTAATGTTGGTAGTGATGCAAAGTCACAACCTAAGGAAAAACAGTGAAAGAAGGCATAAGCTGCAGCCAGAGCTGAAGCGCACTCATGCAGTGGATTGAATGTAATAGCATTGGCTATTTCAAGCCAACTACTACCCACCCCAACCATTGGGCTTTGTAGAGGAGCCAAAACACATGCACTACCCCAGATGGGGACCCTTGAGAGGAACCAAAATCTAAGGGGTGAGCTTCCGAGCCTTCTCAGGAAGGATGACCCTGACAAAGCAGGATTAATGCCAGTGACAACTAGAGAAGAGAACTCTAGCCACCCACAGCTGCTGCAAAATGACAATTGGGCATAAACAAGGTTAAAATACACACATTACGCCTATAAAAAGAAACAGGCCCCTGCATTGGACAAGATTCCAAAGGCCAACACTTAGCTGAGCAATGAGCAGTAGATAACCAAGGGTACCAGCTGTGTGTTGTCTAGTACCCCCAGACTTTCCTTGAGGAAGGGGGGCTGAATTATGATACTAGCTTACGGCAGGCACTTGTGAATCTCGAGAGCCTGGTGTGGTATCCTCAAGTTGGAGCCTATCAGATAGGTAACTTGGGGAGCCACCAAGGGGACCCTCCCAGAAAATCAGAGTGCTGTATAAATCTTCAATGTAATATGTACACCAGAATATTGCACATGAATCTATTCTTGGCACAGTTCAAAGGAAGTGCCTTGCAACCCACTCCTCTGGTGCCATTCCGTCTGGTACTATCATCCGGAAATAAATTTGAATATCAGCAGGGAATGCTAAATTGTGATTTTAAAAAAAGTAAGTCACTATTACACATTATCAGATAGCTAGCAATTCAAAACCCATCATTGAATATAATAAAATATCTTTCTGGTAGAGCCCCAGTGGTTCCCTGAAGCTATCTTGCCAAGAGTGCTCTGTACTATAAGTCATATCGGTTGCAAGTGTTTTGTTTGGCCTTCTGTCGACCAGAGCCAGAACCTGGCCACTCTGATAAGAGGTACAGACAGCAAATGACATTCTACCATTTCACTAGGAAAGCATCAAGAAGCAGCTGTCATCTGGTAGTCAACATTTAACTAGCAGTTTGGACTGGACATGAGTGTACATTTACTTCTTTATACAAGTTACAATTGGTTGTGAAAGTACTTGCATTGGTGATTGAGCGGTACAATTCTGCAAAGCCACTAACACGCATAGCGTGTGTGAGGGCTACCAATATTTTCCATGCATTTGCTTTATTTGGGGCATTTTACCTTTCTAGTATTTTTTTGCCTCTTTACCTGGGTTAATCTAGTATTCTCAAACTCCCCTTCCCTCTATTGAGGGGACCAGATTCTGGCCCCATTAGGCATTCATGACTCAAGGGCCAAGCTGGGTGCTTTAGGTTTGGAGTTAACCAAGCAGGTATCTCGGGAAGCCTTCCCAGAGAACAGAATCTGGGTCCCAGAAGAAGCCAACCAATCCATACAGAACCATGCCTCTGAGGTAGGTGGCAAGCCAAGATCCTGGGCCAAGCAAGTTGGGACCAGGGCTAACTACTTGCAACAGGCTATCACTTCCCTTGCTTTCATATTTTTTTATTTTTATTTTTTTACAAACGGTAGTTTTTGTTTAATCTGACTTGGTCAGTTTTCCTCAGTTTAGTTAAATCTGATCCCCAAGTTTCCCATCACCCCATACAAACAGATTCTGGTCTTGGCTCCTAGTACATTAGCGAGTCTTGAGGGCATGGCACAATCCTTAGGCTCAAGTGGTACTGGCATGTAAGCACCACGAAGCTAACGAGTTAAAGTTCTCTTGAAAATATCCTTATTTTTCCCATAAACATTTATGTCTGATTTGCAAACATATTCCTTTGCACAAATTTTGGATCATCTGCATAATGTTATGATACTTGAGATACCATGACTTATGAAAGTTAGGAATATACAGCATACAGAAAATTGAATAAATGGATAAATTGTACTGAAATTGCTAATAAGATATGAGTAGTGATAAGAGAACCAGTGTTATGGGTTGTTGACACCAGATGCTCACCTATATCACGACATTTATTTCAGATTTCTGATGCAATAATATGATTGTCTACCTTCACAGTATAGAAAGATAATTTTTATAAGAACTGTTCGCCATTTTCCAGCTTATAAATAAAGCCCGCAAAACCTCGCGTCAACCACATATTGACTTTAAACTTAATACTGTATTGCTAAACCTACCTATATCAATTTGAATCTCTCTTTACAAAGTCCAATCAACTGCCCCAATAATGTATGCATTTACAACTTTAAAATTTCTCCATACACTAAAACTATGTCTATCACCATACTCGTGTATCGCAGGTAATACTAGCACCTCTCTTCAGCTTCACACTGGGTTATTTTCACACTTGTCTAATGTATATCATGTGTAACCATTTATCATTCCTATTTTTGGTTGCAGTAATATCTAACATTTCACTACACAATTAAAATATTTAATTTTAATAAATTGCAATGTTCTAAGGAAGTGAAAATTAATTCATGCGAGAAGCATCAACTTTTGTACCGAGTATCTTAAAAATACTGATAAATGGACAAATTTATATTAGTTGAACATTATGAATCGATTCAAAATGACAGCAAGAAAGTTATATAAAATTGGTGTGTTCTTAAAAATTATGAAATTTACTTACATGATGATTTAATGTACATTAAGAGATTATAACCTAACTGAGCTCACTCTTATAAAGCTGATGAGAATGATGGGGCAAGATGGAGGTAAAGACAAGCCAATGACCCCTCAGTTATAATATGAAGGAATCAATGCTTTCCATTATTTGAATCTTTTTAACTTATTCTTAGTAAATTAAATCCATTATTTAATTTTAACACATTATTAAAAGTATAGCTCCTAAATGAGTTTGGGGGTAGTTGAGATTTGTGGAGTAAATTCACACAGGAGGAACAAAGCACTGCTACGTCATTGAAAAATGTTCATTACTGTAAATCCGAGTCATCTCCTTAACACACTAAGGTTTGTACAAAAATCATTATAAAACCAAAATAGCTTAAGTTTTGCATGCCAAAAATAAACAGCAACATCATCTTTATAAAGCTAAAATATTGCGCATTCACAACCTATAAAGATAATTATAGTGTTTTATGTCAAGTAGTTCACAAAAACAATTACAGTATATACAAACATACACACATATATATATACATATCTATTTTTCAGAATAAAGTTGACAAGGCAACTACAGCACCACAGATTACAAGCATTATTTCCTTAACATAGATTAAAAAACTATCCATATTGGGAAACTGCATTTCCAATCTCGGGAAGCATTAAAGAGTGTCTAAAAACTTGTTTAACAACGATTAGTATGTCTAGCACCAAAGGAAGCAGCTCGAGATGAAATTTTCTTTATGTTACACCGAGTCCAAATCAATGCGAGTGAAGAAATGGCCTTAGGACTCGGGCATTTACTCTGAGAAACTGAGTACATTTGTCATTAGCTCACACTCAATTTTGATTGAGTAACATTAATACTATGACAATATGTCCAAGACATAAATATTGAAGACTCGTATGTCTTAAGGCATCACAAGGATGATCACATGGGGAAAACTTTTTTTTACAAATTATACAGAAAATTTGGGTAAAATACAGATACTGTACTGAGCATATTCTATAATTTAGTAGAACGTGATTGTGGATCTTGGGAAGCACTTCTTGATGTGGATGCTGTAGCATTAGGATCCTCATGGTGAGTGGGTAGACCCAGGGCCTGGCGATGCTGTACCACGCTACGCCAAATACGAAGTTCGACTCCTCCTCTGTCAAGCACTTTTAGATTACAAAGTGTGATGCACATGAAACAATTGTAAAATTCATTTTTTTCAGGGTATAGTACTGAGAGAGTGAATAACTTATGACAGTAGCATCACATGAAAGTCATTGCATTGATCAAGTGATTTGCAAGGGTGAAGCACCCCTCAAATGGGAAATGAAGGCTGTGGAATGAGGAGAAAGACTGATGAAGAAACAGGAAAAAGCTACATGGGGAATAATGTACATAAATATAGATTGGATACATTAAAAATTATGAAATTTATAAATAAAACTGTAGAAAATAGTGATCATTGAAAGGAAATATGCAAAATGGGGCCAAATTCAACATTGAATGTAAAGAAATGCCTGCTAATGGGTCTCTCTATGGATCCTAGAGGTACACACCTAGTAGCCTGTAAACCTTGGGCATCCTACCTTGAGGTTACCTTGAGGGGCATCCTACCAGGCTGTAATGAATCACAAGTGTCTTACAGAGACCAGGATCAGAATCTGGCCCCCTCTAGAGATAAGGGGAGTCTGGAGATACAAAAATCACCTTAGAACTACTTTCTGGTGGATTTTTCAATAAACAGCTAAAACAAGCATCTTCATAGACAACATTTATAACCCTGATCTGAACTATGTACACACACATTGTTCAAGGGTGCGTGAAAAAAATATCCATTGACTGATTGACAGTTGAGAGGACCCAAGGAGACAAAGCTCAATGCTTGCGGGGGTGGGGGGGGGGGGAAGCAAGTCCAACCACTAATTAGCAACACCATATGGCAGCTCCCCTTGTCCCAGCAGCAACAATTGAACAGAATAGTTAAGAAGAGTAAGGCATGAACAGGGACTCTTCACAAAGGTGTTTCATTACATTCAATGTTACATTTCTAGGAAGACACCACTTGGTGGCTCCCCAAGCTAACAACACTATGGAAAACTGAGGGAATATTGGAGAAGAACTGTAGCCCTTGAGGGATCAGTGCCAAGTCTACCAACCCAGTGCCATGAATACCAGGCAGTACCTAGAAAGATACCTGGTGCTGGTTAGGGTAGTGTGCATGGTGCTACCACCTGGTAGAAGTCAGAATGGTGCAGCAACCTCGAGCCAGATTCACCAAGCAGTTACGCAAGTGTACTTACAAACGTGAACATGTTTCCTCAATGGTTGACGGCTTTGGTTACATTTATTAAACAGTTTACAAGCACGAAAACTTATTGTTATAAGCAGCCTCCTGGTGCTTCAGAGCTCATTAACTGATTAATAATTGTAAACAAAACTGTCAAAGATTGAGAAAAGATCTACAGGTTCGTAAGTGCTTGCGTAATTGCTTCGTGAATCTGGCCTCTGGTGCTGGTCAGGGTGGAGTGTATGGTACAGCAACCTGGTGCTGGTCGAGGAGGTGGGGTAGAATGCTGCAACCTGGTACTGGTGACTGCAAGCTCATTTTAAAATACCCAAGGCTATACACGGTAGATATTTACCTCTAGGACCAACCGAGTCATTGCTCAGGAATATTAAATAAGTGCAAGGTATAGTTTACATGTTAGTGTTTAGATTATCCTTATGCAAGCAGTAAGTCACTGAATTTTCAATAAATTACAGAAAAGACCACCAAACATACCTCATTCTCATCCGTCTGAGGTCATCACGTGTCATCCAAGTCAGGACATCATCTTTGGTGTAGTCTTCAGCAAGGAACTAAATACAAGTTAGCAATTAGTATATTCTGCATAACCACAGCCTAAGAGTTAAAACTATCATCTATTGACGATCCCTAGCGTACTGCAATTATCATATGAAGATTTAAGCAATTATTATCTGGGTTTTACATGCATGATACAAATATAGATATAATAGCTCTGAATATAAAAAAGAAAGTGATAACACAATCGGTGAATCAACTGAGAATAAAACAAGAAGCATCAACAAAGTCGAGCATCACGTGTTAAGTCCCAGATGCAGCCTTGCAGAGTGCATCCACCCAGTGAAACGATAAATATTAATGCATTTTTGTGTTTTTCTTGCATTTTGCATACAAATTAATAATTCTATAATGATTTTTTTGTTGTTGTGCATAGGTGAGTATTTGACTATAGCTGGTGTCTAAGGGGTTAACCCCTGAAGTGTGAGTATGGCTATACTGTACAGGTATGTCTGCCTATTTGCAAAATATAAAAAGTTCCACAAAAATATTTTTTCTAATAGATTAATTTTTTATGCAAAATGTAACAAAAATTGAAAATACATTAAACATCTACATCTCTATTGGTTTGGCGAGCTGTAGAAGTTTGCCTGTGGCAAGCCCAGCCGGCAAGTGTCAGTGATTTGCCGACACATCGGCATGTGGCAGATGACTTTCTATGATAATGTCTCCACTCTTTAGTGACTTCACTATTGTAGTTGTAATGACTAGCAAGATTTTTTTGTTGAATATGACCACAATGCTGGCATTGTTGATCTCATAGTGTAAACTTTCTATGCTTCTATTTTCTCAGTATCAATATTAAGAGCAAACACGTTATTAAAATTCATCGTAAAGACACTAGTAATTATCGAATGATATATTTTCTACAATGTTTCGTTCCACACTACTTCAGGTAAAGAATGAATACATAAAGTGCAATTTTAGATTAAATACACATGTAAAAGGGGTTACGTTGAGTGGAGGTAAGGTGACGGGTCGAAGAAATACAATGGGAGATTCAAACATAGGGTAACAGGTAGAGGAATAAGGTAAGAAAAAGGGGAAAGGGCCAATCAAACAATGAGTACGGCATTGCATAAAACTGGTACTCTCAGTGGGCGGGGAGATCTCGGTAGAGATGTAGTTATCTGGTGATGTTTGGCCAGATCTGGATCCAAGTGCCAGCAGTGTAGTAGAGTTGTGCAGCAGAGTTGTTATTCTGTATATTTAAAGTGGGTCTCTCTTTCACTTATAAGTATAGCTTCCAGGATTTGCAATCTTTGGCCAGTGGTAAATTCCAGAATTTCTGTATCATCTAGCATGTGCCTAGCGAGTGTTGTGTTATCTTCAATTTGTCATTGTTCACATTTATATACATGTAGTTTACGAAAACATGGATTGTGTGGCCTACATTGCAGGCCTACAATGAATCGATATATAATTGAATGAATGTATGTAGGTATCAATACAATGCATGCATGCATGAATCAATCAATCAATCAATCAAAAAGGACACAAAAACTAAGGAAACTGCCTTGTATGAGCCAATAGGCATTTTACAGTTCCATTATTCTAATCTTTAACTGATGGCCTAATATACTTCATTACAACCATATGAACATAACTGGTATACGTGGCATGTAATTACAGTACTGTACTGTATAATGAAATTTTATACCATGACATAACATTTGCAACAACTGCATTTGCATAGTAACTAATCAGAAATGACAGCAGGATTTTTTTCATGGGTAAAAATACATTCCACTAGTAGCTGCTAGATCATGATATAATAGATCATTAGTATAACATCATTGGTATAAAAACCAGACAATAATAGTTAAAAGTCAAGGTATAATAATACCTGCATTACACAGTGAATCAACATACAAGGATAAATGCACTTTAAGTGTTAAAAGTTTCAACACCCATATACTGTATATCATTAGTATTATGTCCCTGGTTAAGATGTTGATCCCTGCATGCATGTCATGTATATCAATAGCTAAGGATTATTCCCACACAACTACCTACCTTGTCAATAACATCACGATCAATTGACAGAGACTGGAGCCACCTAACTAACTCCATGTCTATGTTGCGTGACGACACATGAATCATCGGGAGTTCTTGTGGCAGAGAAGGTGATGAGGATGCAGCACCAGAAACATTACTCTGGAGAAAGCAGGAAGGTTTACTGATACAAATACAAATAGAACAGGATCTAGGATAATGTATTCTTAATAGCATATCTAGTGACATGAGAGGGAAGCTTGGAGCCTGGAGAGACTACTCCAGACCGACAACCAGAGCGCAACTCCATAGTCTCCCGAGACTGAGAGGTTTTTTTATTTCGATTTTACATATGTGAAGTATTTTGGATTTTTTTTTATCTCTTGTATGGGTTTCTGTTCTAACTGCATTTCTTCAATATTTGATTGAAGAAATAGAATAGAAACAGAAACAATCTCCCTGTTTAAATTAAATTCAATCCTGGAGTTCTTTACCACATCAGTGCACTGTCTAATTAAAATCTCATCCCATATTTATTTTAACACAACATGCAGCTTTCATAGAGATGAGCTAATTTTACACCTCTTTAAAATAAATACTATATTGTAGTATACTCACATCTGCTGTTAGCGTGTCAGCACTAGACACAGACTCCATGGTACCAAGGGGCGAGTCCAGCTTATCTGTTGCTGTCTCTTCTGATGATCCTGCACTGGAACTCTTGTTGCCTGAACTACTAGTGTTCTTTACCATCATATTCTTGCTATTACTAACTGGAAGCAGTGGTGGCAAAAGAACTCCCAGCTGGTCTGCTAGAAATTGACTTTGATCATGACGCTCCAAGATGTACATTTTCAGCAGGTCTCCGTATCTTTTCTCGGAAAGGTACAGTTCCTCCAATAACCTACAGTATTTGTAAAATTGTTAATGAAGTCAGAATCATTACAAAATGTCTTAAAATTACATTTTATTTATGTGTGTTTACTTACCATTCAAGTAAGAGCAATAAATAAATAAAACTCCTGAAGAAGTAATGGTTCATACTGCACGAGACACTAAGAGATATCTAACAAGCTTTCACAACATTATACTGTACCTATGACAAATACAGACAATTATATATATTTACAAAGGATGAAAGAAGACATGTAACATGACTGAAGCTGGTAACTGGTGAGGAATGTGAGGGGTAAAATTGACTAATTTGGTAGATTAGTAGAGACAGCAACTGGTGATGAAAGAGGAGGGGGAAAATGTAGGCTCAAACATAGGTAGAGAAGCAGACGAGGAGTCACAACAACGTGGCTGAAGTATGTTGACCAGACCACACACTAGAAAGTGAAGGAACGACGACGTTTCGGTCCGTCCTGGACCATTCTTAAGTTGATTGTGGTCCGTCCGGTCCACAATATGAATGGTCCAGGACGGACCATCCTCACAATCGACTTGAGAATGGTCCAGGACGGACCGAAACGTCGTTATTCCTTCACTTTCTAGTGTGTGGTCTGGTCAACATAGGTAGAGAAGGTAACTGGTGATGGGGCATGTGATGGAACAATGTGTACCGTGCCTCTTTGTATCACCTCATTGTATCCACACCTTTTTACATCACACTAATTTACTGTGTTGCAAATAACTTATTTTATAGTACACTAGGGAGGGGGGGAGGGTGTACCCAGTTGCTCCCAGGCCTCTCAACCCCCTTCCCCGATATCCCCCCTCTCTCTCCCCATCTTGCCCTCCCTTCCAACTTTCTCCATCCCCTCCCAAGATACTCCCCTTTCCTCTTCCAATCTTCCCCTCTCACATCCTTCTCCTACCGTCTTCACCTGTCCACCCCCCCTCTTCCCCTCTCCTTCCTTCTCCAAATATCCTTTCCTCCTTGCCTCCACTCCCTCCCTCCCTCTCTCTATCTCTATCTCAGAAACTTTTAAAGAAACTGAGGGAGTCGACTAGCAATCTTTCATTATTACAGTGGATTGAATTTATGTTGATGTACCTAATTATCCTATTAAATTTCTTATACAATGTATTTTTATACTTTCTTACAATGTACCTGTAAACATTTCTTTAATTTTTGCTAGAAATTACCTTCTTAAAATTATCTGTTAGATTAAGGATCTGCCCAAAACACTATGAGTACTAGTGGCTTTACAAGTAAGTAAAACTTCAATGCTCTGTACTCTCAAACCCAGTGTACCTTCTTGTATACATATAAACAAATAAATGCGAACAAGCTTGAATGGTTCCCAAGCCAATATGCAACTGAATATTGTATATTCAGTTGCATATATTATTTAATATTGTATATTAAATAAATAAATAAATAAATAAATAAATAAATAAAGTTGGGTGTTGCTATTTTGTCAGAGCCCCTCTTAATAGGTCCAATAGAACCAACCCTGTCCAGCTTGTGTCTGTCCCGTGCCCCAGACCACTCACTCTTGAGGGTAGCCTCAAGCATCTGGCTTCCACCTTGGACAGACAAACATTCTTTCTTAAAGAAATAGATATAATACAATTATTTTATGTAACAAATTTCTTGGTCTTTGAAAACATCCTATTTTCTATACATGATTTTAACTATAGCCTCCAGTTGAGAACTACTTTAATTCAACTACGTGTACTATGCGAGGCCAAGTACACACATATATACAGGGCATCATGCAAAGTCAAGAATAAGCACACACAACAAAGATGTTTACAGAATTATCACACTAACCGAAGATTCTCAGTTCTTGTGACCTGCAAGCTTTCTTGAAGGTGGTGACAGTGTTTAGAGTGATGAAAGTCATGAAGTAACTTTGCAGACTTTGTAGAATTTATGGTGGAAACTCCTGAAGTGCTGCCTTCCTCGGCCAGATCTCTTGGTCGGTCAGGGCCCCCAACAAGTACGCCTGCAGCTCCCTCACCAGGTCCAACCAATATGTCTTGTTCTACAACCATCATAACGAATATAAATTATTTTGAAATCACTTATCAAGAGATGGATATGAAAGTACATCTAAATTAAATAAACCTTTCAGCTTTCTGAAAAAAAAAGTTAAATAACTATTTTCTCCATATCTTGTTTTGAATCGAGATCTACTCGGCAGTATCACACAGGTATTCCCACAAGGCAGCATCACACACTCCTGGGATGCAATGGACTCATCAACTACAGTCATATTTATAAAGATAATAAAAATTTGCCCCGTTTTGTATTTTGACACTAATCTACTTGTCACCATCTTGAACACAAGTCATACAGTACTGAGTTAAACTGCAAGGAACCCATGTGATATTATGTAATGTGATAAATACAGTAATGTGGTAAAATGAAGTGATATATACAGGAGACAGTGCAACCCTCCAAAATCAGGATCAATATACAGTATACAAAAATTAAAAAAATCCTCAACAATGGACTAAATCCACCCACCAACTCTTTTGTATAAAATTTGGATGAAAATCTTCAAAACATATTTAAATCTAAATTCTATTGTTTATTTGTTGACCAGACCACACACTAGAAAGTGAAGGGACGACGACGTTTTGGTCCGTCCTGGACCATTCTCAAGTCGATTGCGACTTGTCGTTCCTTCATTTTCTGATCTGTGGCTAGGACATCATATCTTCAGCCACGTTATTTTGACTCGTCTTCCACATAACGGATCATCTTACCTGGGGACAAGACTGTTATGGCACAGTGGACAGCACTGCGTATCAGATCATCCAGGGCAAACATCCAATGTGGCTTGATGCTGTGACTCTTCAACACCTCATTTACCTGTTGGTGTTATTGGAGTATATTTTAAAATTCTTTGATGATTTTTAACCTATACAGTAATAGATAAAGAATGCATTAAAGATTTGTCGGAATACATTAAAAATAAAAAATAATTGTCAAAAATATAAATAAATGTTAATGCTCCAATCAGCTCTGGGTATATAAGCAATTACAATCAAACTCTCCTAATGAAAGGATTTTGGATGTACAGCTTTCCGTTTCATTTGCATTTCTTTAATCTCGCAGGAATACGCACTTATTTACTTCTTCAGTCTTCCTGTTTAAATTGCTTTTATCTTAAAGATATTCATGCCTCCCTTAACATTTCTTATAGCAACAATAACAACATATTCATTAACTTCATCTGTAGTGTATCCTGCTTCCTCTAAGTTAGTCTTCCAAGCAGATTTTACATGCATCGACAACTGATTGTTCTACGTCTTGTGTGGTAGTTTTGGCATTTAGGACAATTTTCCATCGGATAACTGCAAATTGTTATCTTAAATTTCCCCCAGTCAATCCTTTTAGTATTATAACTAATATTGTGCATAGACACATACCTTAACTGTGTGCTGACAAAGATCCTAACATTATGCTCAAAATCACAACATACTTTTATGACAAAGACCCCCAAAATAATACCTTAACAAAGACCCCAATGTTGTGCTTTAACAAAAAATCCCAAACTGAATGCTGACAAAGATCCTACCTTATATTCTGCTAAAGATTTCAATGTTCCACTAAAAAAAAAACCCTGATGAGATTAACAATAGTAAAAAGATACGAGTCATACTTACAGCATCTTGAAAGATGTAGAGAGCAAGATTAATTTGGTTGAGTGCTTCTTCAAAATTACTTTCTTCTCTGAGCACTGCAAAGGCTTGCTCAATTGGTAGTTTCTTGTGTTCTGGAATAAAATCACGAAGACCAACCATGATGTGAAGAAGGTGATCCTGAAACATAAATAATACTGAATAAATACTAATAGACATCAAATAGCATTTGTTTTCAACAATCTGTGCCAGATAAAAGAAAGAAAATATGACTACAAATTATTATAATTTATGAACCAGCATTGCAATTTCTTAAAAGCTATTTTACTGCATTTCTTTTAGAAGGTGTAACGTGAATGAAATAAGGACCTGAGTAAGTAGGAGCTTATCAGTGCCCAACTCATGCTGAAGCCTGTGGTACCAGATCTGTGTAATCTTGTTCTGGTCATTTACAAGCACTCTAGTCAGAGTCATTCGACGCTGAGAGTCCTTTTTCAGAAGGTAGAAGCCATCTTGTTCCTGCAGGTGACAGCCCCCTTACTGCATTAGAATCATTAAAATGTAAAAGGTAACACATGAAAAATTAACAATACAATGATGTATGTAATGAAATGTTTAGAAGTCATGAGTGCCTATCGTGGCCCAGGAGTAAAATATGAACCAGTGCATGGAAAACATCGATGACCCTTTTGCAAACAGTGTACACACTAATTGTCCAGAACCAATGTTAGTTAGCAACACTTGGCTGCCACCCCATGGCACACCGGAACACTCAAAAGAGCCCAGCCAGCTGCCCTCATCAAGCATGTGACACAAAAAGTGAACCCTTCAGGAATCATGGAAAGGAGAATAGGGTGGGAATGGGGAGCCACAGAGGATTCATCAGAAAAAGGCATTATTACATTCAGTGCTGGATTTTTGGGCAGGCTTCCTTTGCTGGCTTCACAAGCTAACCCACCTTGCTGAAAAAAAAGAAGCCTTACCATTGGAAGAGGAGAGCAACAGCAAATAACCTAGATGGTGATCACCACCAGGTTACATGACAATGTCACACAAGCCTGGCACTGCTGTGAAATATTCACCAAGAACCATCATGCCATCAGCATGCTATGTGACCACTGAAAATCCCGTCCATAAATATCCACCCAAGACATACTTTAGGAGCTTGGTAATTTGGATTCCGGTAACCCAATCTCCAAGTAATCCAAATGAATTCACATTCATGTTTTTTACCCAGTTTGATCTTTTAACTCAAATAGGAATTTGGTTTAAAGGTCCAGGGACACCATCTGAGCAACAGCCTGAAGAAGGTCGTCATGGGTTAAACAGGGAATGAAGCAATTCAAACACAAGAAGTCGAGAATATACCCATGATCTAGCGAGTTCTACTTTATAAGCTTAAGCATCATAAATTCAGGCCTAGGTGAAAACACTCAACCTTTTCTCCACAATACTGTCAAAGAGGTGAACAAAAGGCTTGATGTGAAAAACTCCAACAAACCCCGCCCCTCATCTGGGATGCATGAGAATGCTACCAATGGGAGTAGAAAGCTGAAGTCAAACAGCGCACAAAATCCCCAGAAACTAATGCCACAGGACTCCAACCCAACCAGAAAAAATGAGGCCCACTCCAAAAAGAACACTGGGCTGAAACATGGACATCGAGCCCCTGCCACAAAAAAAAAAAAAAAAAAAAAAAAAAAAAAAAAAAAAAAAAAAAAAAAAAAAAAAAAAAAAAAAAAAAAAAAAAAACTGACTCAAAGGGTGAAAAGCGGAGGCCACAGTTGAAAGAACTGAAGACAACTGCATTCAACAGGGTAAGAAACAAAGACAAGGTGGACATGAGGGAAAGGGACCAAGGTGACTCCAGAATATGGAAAAGCACAACCTGCTAACATGTAAAGCAAGCAGTAAAAGCATTCCTTACTGATCCCATAGAAGGAGGAAACTTAGGCACTACCTCTGCAGAAACAGCTGCAGGCAAAAGAACCTCCACCCAGGGAACGGAAGCAAAACCATCCAGACCATTGCAAAACTGAACAGAAAAAGCTTCTATAGCAGGCCAGATGTGGAAGACAGAAGGCAGCTGGAGATGTGCCTTATGATGATCCTTGATCTGAGCCACAAGAATATTGCCACCGAGAAACACTGGAATGCTGACCTCACCTCATGCCACTTGAGCACTAGCAATAGAAAAAACTGTGCCAAACCTTTACAGGAAAAAGGGGATTGTCCATAAACCAGAAAAAGGACAGAACCTCATACCTCAACCAAATGAAAAATGGACCCAAACTCAATTAATGTAGGGTTCATTAAGGGTGCAACTAATTGGGACCCCCAAATCTCCAAGGCTGCCATCTGATAGTGAGCAGCAAGTCTTGCTCACTGGTGGTTAGCTCGGGACAATAAGCGAGTACATCAGTTGAAAAAGGGTCATGAATGTTTTTTACACAGTTAATCGAGTTGGTGCATTCTATCTTTCTGGAAGTTTTTTCCCTTTTGACCTAGATTGATCTTTTATCTCCCGATTCCCCCCTTTGCCTTTATTGAGGCGGCCATATCGCGGTGCTGGTCCACGATAGGCACTCGTGACTCAAAGGCCTGGAGCTATCCAAGAAGGTAGTTTGGAGAGCCACTGATGGGAGCCCTCCCAGAAATATTACATGCTTATGATAACTAAATTAGTTTCAAATATTGCTACTTCCTAGTTTTTTTTTTTTTTTAAATCTTTCCTTGTGCAAGACATTACAGGATCATTTCTCCTCCCTGCATCCATCCTTATTAATCTCATTTCCCTCCTGTCATTCCTTCTGCCTTCTCTATATTCCTAATTCACTGACGATTGACATTAAGTTCTTATTAACATAGTCAGGTACTGTGATTCCAGTTCAATTACTATCTTAAATTTCTTTATTCCTCACTTTCCTAATGTCATATGTCCACTCCCTGCTTCCTTCAGTGGTAACATTAGGGACCCATTACCCCGTCTGTGCGAGGAGACTCCACCTCCGGAGACAGCAGACCACCACTTGACGACCTTCTTGTCATGAGGGCATCATCGAGGTCTGAACCAGTCATGACAGAGCTGTGAAAATATAAAATAAAATAAAAATAGTGTCGAGTGTAATGAAATGCCCCCCTTTCTGGGCTCTGTAGCTTAACCCTCTAAGGCTTTACCAAAGGTATAAAATATTTTCTACTCAATTTCTTGATATATACTGGAAAACAATGATGGTAAATTTGTTAAATATGAATGGCCCTTAGTAAAACCATGTTATGAATCCTTTATTATTCAATGTGTGCCAAGGCGTAGACAAATATATTTTACGAGATTAGCGATGCAATTAACAGCATAGTGTATGTGACAAGAGAAAGAGGAATTAACAATTCCTGGTTTGACTTGAGGCTGGTGTTTAATATTGGGAGTAAACAGGGGTCAGCTTATAACAAATACATTGCAATACTAGATTCCTCCCTAAACAGCAACCATATGAACATCACAACAGAGAGGACTAATTCTCAATTACTGGCCTGTGAATTTCCAGTTGAAACATGATAGAAGAACTGGGATTATTCCATGTTCCTATAGTTAAACAAAAAACTAGCATTGAATGTAATGAAATGCCTCTTTCTGGGGGGCCTCTTGGTGGCTCCCTGTAGCTAGCCATGCTGAAATAGTTCCACACCTACAAATCACAGGGGATTCATGGTCATCCTAACCAAAGAAGCAAATCAATAGAAAGGAAACAAAGCAAAATTAACAACTGCAAAGTTCACAGAAAGAAAATGTGACAAATGATCCACCCAGCAGTTAGGTCATATACCCTGGGTAATGGTTAACTGCCAGCGCCCCATGTCAACAATCATCAGACCAGAACCTAATAAAAACCAGTCGACACACCTGGTAAGGAAGATGAAGAATGGCAGGAAACTTCATACTGCCAATGCCATGAAAGACTTGAGGGAGACCAAGAACTCAGTCACTTGCTCACCATACAGATGGTGATAGACTAGAGGAAGAAACTCTACATGCAAAGAGTAGAGGAGAACTTCAAACCAGCAAAGAAGGTCTCTAGATCAAAGCAGGGAGAAACTCTGAAACCAACTGGCACAAGGAGAAGCTCCTGTACCTACTGGCACATAGAGAAACTCCTGTACCAATTGGTGCAGGGAGAAACTCCAGTACCTAGCAGCATGGAGAAAATGATAAACACTGAGGCACCTGCCAATGCAAGAGGAAACTCGGGCACAAGCTGATGCAGGGGCGAGCCGAGGCACCTGCCGATGCAAGAGGAAACTCTGGCACCAGCTGATGCAGGGGCAAGTCGAGGCACCTGCCGCTGCAAGAGTAAACTAGGGCACCAGCTAATGCAGGGGTGAGCTGAGGCACCTGCCAATACATGGGAAAACTCAGGCACCTGCTGGCATGGGGATGAAACACTTTGGCTTTGACCAAAGAGCCAGAGCTCAACCCCCGCAAACACAACTAGGCGAGTACACTGGCACCTGCTTGTGCAGGGAGATAATTAGGCACCTGCTGATGCACAGAAAAACTTCAGTACCTGCAGGCACAGTAAAGAAACTCAAGTTACTTATCAATGCAGGGATTACTCCGACACCTTTCAGCACAGAGTACTGTAATACAGTACTTCTGTACATACCAGTGCATGGTAGAACTATCTACTGGTGCAGAGGAAAACTATTAGTACCTACCCATGCCAACTGGGCAGGGAGGATGATCATTGTGTGTGTCTCATGAAACACACCTTGACCCCAACCTGGGAACATGTGGCAAAGGGGTATGCCATAGACAAAATGCTAAACACACATATCATGCTTATCAATTCACATCCTCTAACATGATAGGCTCAGTGAGACTGCAAGCCAGAGCACATGAGAATGGCCATCTCTACCTGCTATTTTGCTTTTTGCTCATGCCCTATATGGGGTGAGGGGGGCCCCCCCATCGAGAAGAGGAGTCAAGAAAGAGGTTACCTGAACCTCCTCAGGTTAGATAACCCTGGAGCCATGTAGTTTAGTTGTCTGTGTTGGTGTGCCCTTCATTTCTGCGTTTGTCTTGATTACTGTGGTGTCCCTAGACTTCCAGATTCGCCTTCCTTCAACTGAGGGGCCAGATTCTCTGGTAGGCACTTGTGAACTGAAAGAGCTTGGTGTGGTACTGAAATAAACCAGCACTTCCTATCAACAGGGGGCAAAGGCCCATTCAATATCTGGAAACAAGAAACCTCTCAAGGAGGCAACCTAAATCCCTCAAAGAATAACCCCGGAAGGGCTTGGGCTATGCAATCAGGCTACTGGGAATAACACCTGGCTACAACAGCCAGAGCAAACTGTCAACACAAGGTACATGCAAGGCAGGTGGCACAGAAACACAAACTTGTACAGTAGCATGATATGGAACAAAACGAAGCCATTACCCTGCACGAAACTATTATTTTTGGGATAACAAACACCACTTAAAGTTGAAAGGAGACAGAGGGCCCAATAGAGACGAGTGTCCCCCCGGTCGCACAACAGACTCGTGAATATGTTGGGTGATTGACAAAGTCCCAGAGTTGGCAGGTTGACAATCTCCAGGTTGCTTGGGTTGCCATCTGGTAGGCAAGTGAATCTAGGCAGTGATTTTGCCACAGTAACAATTGTTTCCATTGTTTTCATTGATTACAAATTTACCCAAGCTGTTGCTTGTTTTGGAGCATTTTGGCTTGGTTTTGAAGCTCTGATCCTCCAGGCTCCATTTCATCTCTCTGAGTGGACTAAATTCTCATCCTGCCTACAGTAGGCATTCATCAGTCTTAAAACTAGTGTATTCCCAAGGCTTGGATGCCTCCAGGTTGTAGAAGTAAAAAGGTACTGAGAGGGCCCTCCCAAAAATTTCCTCTTGGGTTAGTGCAGTATGTCAATTCACCCTGACTGTTGCGGATCCTAGCTAGAGGCAGGACCTTATCTTAAGAGATTACCCAAGAGGGATGGCTTTTAAATTTATAAAACAAGGGTGGTAATACCTTTAGTGCATGCCTTAATTTACGCGACTCATAACTATGCAACAACACTCCTTTTAGATATGAATACAGTACTATAATGACATTCGTCTGTTTGCATGCTCACAAACTGTTTATGGCAAGTCATTTTTCAAACAAATAATATTTAATGTATTACTGGTAATACTTTAAAATGAGCAAAACTGTCCATAAAAATTGTTTTCAACTTAAAACGATTCAATGCATAGCATTAAAAACCACAAAAATGTCATCAGAATTTACAAGTAAGCAAGCATTATTAATAAAAAATAATTATCTGATTGCAAGCAAAAACCACCTTAATAGCTTTAGGATTTTTAACACTGAGGTAATGCAAGGTTATTTACCTGGAATATGAGAGAGATGAGAGGTATGAGGAGGGGGAAGCTGGGGACACGGAGGGGCTCCCAGCTGTGTTGCAGCGCGACCCATAACCATAGCCCAGCTCTAGGCTACAACACAGAGAGCCACCCATCACAACATGCTCCCACTCAACCAACAGTCAAGGCATAAACAAATGACGACATCACAGGGTAGGAATTTAGATTTTACTGGGGATATATATATATATATATAGAAAGAGAAAGTGCTTGAGGAAATACACAAGATAAGGAGTGTATAAAATACTGTCTAGCTTTAATGTTTTAAATAAGGACTGGATATAATATGGTCCAGCTTAAATATATATTAAATAAGAATTAGATACAATACAGTTCGCCTTTAATATATGAAATAAGGACCAGACACAATATGACCCAACTTTAATAGTTATTGCAGAGATTAAAAGTGAGCAGGGAAGTTGCCAAGTCAAATCACTGATGAAAAACACAAGGCAAATTTATAATATTGTTTAATCAGTAGCATATGCAAAGGGCAAGGTAGTCATTACTAGTTACAAAGCTTCAGCAAACTGAAATAAAGATGAAATAAATGGAAGAACTGATATAAAATAGAGGCATGTTAAAATGAAGGCTTATAGTTTACATACCATAAATAATAATATACTTAAAATACCCCTTGTCCTTTCATTATGTCATTCATAATACAATATATTGCATTAGGGACAAACAAATACACCACATTTCAACATCCCATTACAGTACTTTGTTTGGCCAGGCAAACATAAGCTGGACACTGGAAGGCTGGACACCAAATGTCCAGCCTTCCAGCATCCCACACTCACAAGCCGTCCCTACGGCACACATCATTCCCTCGGGTTAGAGTGAAAAGGATGGGGACTAAGCTATTGAGGCTGCCCAGAAAAAGGAAGTTTCAATACATTCAACACTTGATTTCTGGGATGACCCTCAACAATTCCTCAGTGCATATTAACAACAGTGCCTCGGAGAGGAAGCTGGCTATGCTGAAAGAAACAGATTAATAAAATAACATAGATAGAAAGGATTTACCTGTGTGAGGAGGCATCAGATTATTGCTCAGGGAAGCAGTTGGTGACCAGAAAGATGTGCAAACACAACACAAGCATAGTGAGGATATGGGGCACCCAAACCCCATGTAGACCTCCAGAAACCCTGATCCCTGATATTAGGCATGGACACACTGTACAGTATTAAAAAAAGACTGCAATAATGACAGCATACTTGTATGAATATTATGAGTATGGGGATACACACAAGGCAAGTTGAACTGCACCTCCTAATTCAAAGGCCTGGGATTTGGAATAAGTCACTATGGCACGAGGATTGACAAAGCCACAGCTCAAAAAGTGTTAGCACACAAACTGCACAGGAAAATCAATACTTTGCAGAGAAACAAAGCCTGAAGAGCAACCAGGCACCAGGAGATGAATACGCCAGGTAAGACCCTTGGGGCACTGGTCTTCATGTTGTGGTGAGCAAGTGTTGCTAACTAGCAGTTAGGCCTCCACAAAAAGTGTGTCTTGGTGCACTCTACCTTCCAGCAGGTTTTCCCATCAGCCCTGGATTTATCTTGTATCCCCTAGACATTCCTTTCCTCTATCATGGGGGCCAGATTCTGGTCCTGGTCTCCATTAAACATTAGTGATTTGTAAAAACATGGTAGAGTACATTAAGCTTAGTGGTAGCCAGATGGGTAGCTCAGGAAGCCCATCCAGAAAAGTCAAGAATAAGGACACCAAACCCAGAAATGACATGATAATAGACATCAGAGAGACAGGAAAAGGTGAAAGCACTCAAAAAGCATCATACTGCCACTGTGAAGAGGGCCACAAATGTGACTGGAAAAGACAACCCACCTGTTCACAATAAAGATGGCATTACACCCAACTAAGAAAGGTCACTCGTGAAGATCAGCAAAGTCTCCTGAATCTTCAAGGAATATTTCCCCAACTAATCCTCTGAAAGACACACAGGGTAGGACACTGAACCTAAAGGCCCAGAAACCAAGACTGAGCCATTCATCAAGGAGCCAGAAGGATCACCATGCTGACAGAAGTCTCCATCCTGGAAGGACTGTTGAGAAGCCACACTGAAGGGAAGAAAGACAAAATCCCACCGACTCTCATCCAGGCACAAAGCGTCCATTGAGCACCTTGCAAGCACAAATAGAGGGGTGACAAAATAGTAGTTTGACTCAACACCAAGGCAAAAGGTTCACCTATGGATGACTGTCTCAAAATCTATAGGAGGTTGCACTGTTGACCATCCACTCTGTTGAAACCAGACATAAATGAGAATGAGCACAGTTGACACCCCATGTACGGGAAATGCACAGAGAATGAACCCCAAAAAACCAGGCAACTCGGAGTCCAGCCATACAAGGAAGAGACTGACCAAAACAACCCCAAGACAACTAGGAAACAAGACATACACTTGCATTCCCCCCCTTCCAAGGTCCCTGTCGAACCATTTCCTTGGCTGTGGGTAGAATTCTGATTCCCAGGCATCCCTTGCCTCGTCAAGAGTAATTTTGGTCCTGGTTTCTGGGAAGCAGTGTGGGTATCATATCTGGTGTGATATACTAAGACTTAGCAATACTAGTGCCTAAGCTCAAGAAAGTACTAAGGGGGGTCTTTCCTAGAAATATGAATTTTGGAGGGGTGATACAATTTCTATAATTTGGTTCATTACAAAGTATTTAAAGAGGTCACGTGTATGCAGGCTGGGATTATGGCGAGTCTATTGTACTAATAAAATAATGATACTATAGCAATTTTGTTTGGATATATTTAGCTTGTATTCTGAGTCAGTGAAGTAAATTTAGGCAGCCTTAGTGCATGTGGACACCATGTTCCATACGTTCTAGATTTACCTTGAGGTTATCTTGAGATGATTTCGGGGCTTAGCATCCCTGCGGCCCTGTCCACGACCAGGCCTCCTTTTTGTTACACACCCCTAGGAAGCAGCCCATAGCAACTGTCTAACTCGAAGGTACCTATTTACTGCCATGTGAACAAGTGCATCAGGGTGAAAAACTCTGCCCATTTATTTCCGCCTACACCGGGGATCGAACCCGGAACCTCAGGACTACGAATCCCGAGCTCTGTCCACTCAGCCGTCAGGTCTGTTCCAGTTAAAAATTAATTTCAGTTCTATCATGATCTTTGATGAACTGATATACAGTTCTATCTATTAAAAAGGTCTCATCGTACTGTACTGTATAATCATTCTGCCCATGGGCATGAATATGTATCTATAATTATCCCATGTCACCTTCACAACCTTACAGGAAAGAGGAAACAGAAGATATGATCTTTTCATGCAAGATCCTATGGGAGGATAGACAAAGTAGATAAAAGGAGGGCTATTTAAATTAAAAAAGGGGTAGGACAAGGGGACATTTGTGAAAGCTGGAGATGCAATTCAGTTAAAGATATGCAAGGAAGTTTTTATTCCACGTACAGGTGGTGAGCAAGTGGATGCATTGAAGGAAGAGGTTGTTGGAGCCAATTCCTGCCACAACTTTAAGAAAAAATACGACGAGAACATTAAAGATGTCAGAAGAAATTAGCACATCAGGTATAAACACCTACGAGGGAGGCAGGGCATTATGAGCTAGAATTCACTTACCTATAGTCACAAATAAGCAGTAATTTAAAAAATATATATATATAAAAATATGATATAGGAAAATCATAGACTGAAAATAGATAAGAGACTGAACATTAAAAAATATGAATATCTAGCAGTTTTCTAGACTGACCCATCATCTGGAGAGCTTGCAAGTCGACACTTTTCTCCATGCTGTCTTATATTGCGGTCGGCAGGAACAGATATACTCCTGGAGAATTCCTGTTGGTTAGTTAGCCTCACCCCCTTTTTCTTTCTGCCTAACCTGAAGTGAAATAAGAAGTTAATGAATGAATGAACAGAATGAAAGATACCAACTTAATTTTACAACTAAAGTTACTATACATGTGGCATCATTAACCCCATCTTATTGGCAAAAGAGAAACCCTGGCCCAGTATGATGGCAACTTTTAAAATGGCCAAAGAACATACAATTGAGTGAAATGAAATGCCCCTTTCTGGGCAGAACCTCAGTAGCTTTCCTGAACTTGTGTTACTGACACACTGGAGATATACAGACTATGTCAAACTCTTATGACTTCTCTTTCCTCTGAGTAAATAGTTTAGGGAGCCATTTAGTTGCTTCAGTGCTTTGCTTTGAACCTTGTCGTTGTCTGTATTGCTTCGCTGACTTTTGCGATGTTTTATTGGTGAAGGTGATTGTAATGATCACTTGCTCTGAGCCTCTGTGAGGGGGGGTCAGACTCTAGCTCTGATCTCCAGTAAGGCATACAGGACTCCAAAGGCTGAAGTAGCTCTGCAAGGGGGAGATATCTCAAAAAGCTAGCTTCAGGGAGCCACATTTGACCCTTCCAGAAAGGAACAATGCTAGCAATGGCTCTGCACAGAACTATCATTTTAGTGATGGCCAACACAACTTACCTGAAGTTATAACACAGAAGGCCCTGCAGAGCAGGGTTCTCGACTCTGGTTCATAAATGAGTTGGCTGCCTAACCAAGGTTCAGGTCATCTGATTTGCCATCTAGTGGCAAATAAGAGTTATTATCTTGAGGGTATCTTGAGATGATTTCGGGGCTTAGTGTCCCTGCGGCCTGGTCCTTGACCAGGTCTCCTTTTTGTTACACACCCCCAGGAAGCAGCCCGTAGCAGCTGTCTAACTCCCAGGTACCTATTTACTGTTAGGTTAACAGGAGTATCAGGGTGAAAGAAATTTTGCCCATTTGTTTCCGCCTCCACCGGAGATCAAACCCAAACCTCAGGCCTACAAATCCGAAGTGCTGTCCACTCAGCTGTCAGGCCCCTAGCTTGAGTTAGCGTGTGGTTTTTCCATGGTATCAAGTGTTTACTTGCTATAGTCAGGATTGTAATGTTTTGAAGCAGTTGTTGCTCGTTTTGAAGCACTATACCTTTCTGGCAATTTTTCTCTCCAATTTGTAGTGATCTCCAATTGCCAAGCTTCTCTTAGCCCCTTTGAGGGGCAACCAGATTCTGGTATTTGTCTCTCTCCCAAGGTTTTAATGGCTTAAGGTTGAAGCACTGAGAAGCTACCGAGAGGGGCCCTATCAAAAATATGTATCAACATTAAATGGTAGAGGGCAATTGCAATTTTTAAGAACTGCCCTTAATACCTACTCTGTCAAAAAGGGATCCTCCAAAAGTTGAGATGATGTGGCTCTCCTGGTTGGATCTGGCTCAAAACACCTGAGGATGAAACTTCTTGCCTTTTCACTTAGCTCTTCGGGGATATCTGGATGCATCTTATAAAGACCAACCTGTGAGGAAGATATCTTAACATATCATGTGAACATTTTCCCACACAGAGGGAACGACTGTACATGCACTACTCTAAATCATATATCACAGTATAATAAGCCATACAAAGGAAATGTGCCCATGGGCACAACAAGCCATGGTTTACACTAAACCATGAAGTAGTTGTGACTAAATATGCAAAAAAGAAACATCCAGGAACTTGGCAGCAGTGACTTACTAACCTAAGTAAGTGTGTCACGCAGGTAACAAATAATTTTGAATCACACATGAAAACTATCAACACAACCTCAAACTTCTGGAAATCTAAATCTACCATGAAAAAAAAAAAACAATATTAGATGGCAATTTACAGAACCTGCATCCACCAAACACGATAACACCATCGAACAAAATAAATAAAGTTTCAGCCTTGCTACCAATCACCACCTTGACATCAAGGTGGTGATTGGTAGCAAGACATCCTATACTGCTAGATTTGAGAAAGCCCTCAAAGGCAAAATACTATCAACAAATATAACTACTCTGAATGTTTCCTAATGTACTAATATTCTGCCAACCTTAGAACCTTACCTATTATTGATTCTGAGGATCAACATCCCCACGACCCTGTCTTTAACCAGGCCGTGGATGGTGATCTGGTCAACCAGGATGTTCGATGCGCGGCTGCTTACAGCCTGACGTACGAGTCACAGTCCTCATCCACGTAAATCACTGTTCACAATGCCATGCATACTATCATACCTTCTCATATGGAATCCACAACAATAACCTGCAATTTCAGTCTCACCTTAAACATAGCAGCCTCAGGAGAGCCCAGCTCAATGAATGGTGGGTTGCCTGTCGCCATTTCCACTATCGTACATCCCAAGGACCATATATCAGCCTGAAAAGAATAAAAATTTGAAGAAAATACTAAATATGGTTCGATCGCACAAGGGTGATCGAAAAAGGCATACCCAGGCCAGCATATATCACGATACAAACAGGAAGGTTTAATTAGTACACGGGGTAATACCTACAGGGAGTGAAGTGAATAATATACAGGAAGTGCAATGACTACAAAATATTTCAATGAGTAAAACTGGCATAATGGGGTACAGGCTGGTGAAGTGAGCATATACTGGTGTAGACATTACTGTAAGAGCTCAGTACTTCAGATTCTGGTAACCTGAATCTCCAAGCAATCCAAATAAATTCAAATTTCAGTTTTGACCAAGTTGACCTTTTAACCCCAACAGCAATTTGAGTTGTAAGATTATACCAAACAAGAAACTCAAATATATTCGAGTTCGAGTGTCTGACTTCTCGACTAATAAAAATTCAGGTTATCGAGATTTCTGCCAAAGATACCAACATAAATTGGAATTTGCTCATTTTTAGGCATTCCTGGTAACAAAATTGGCTAGTTTGAATGGAAGTGAGCCCCATTTGATTGAAATTACTATGCATAGACAGACCAGTGTCACCACTTTTAATTATTGACAACATTCCAGAGACAATCTTACATCAAACGAGAGCATTCTTTTACCAGCAGCAATTACTATGTGGTCAACATTATAGTTTCAGGGAAAGTCTTAATACTCCTGATATTTTGTTAAACTTTTCCATTAAGTGCCATCAGTCATTGGATGATTCCAGGATCAGATATGGTGATGCACTAGATATTGTAGATGCCTTTGACTAGGTGTGGCACCTTGGGCTAGAGGGGGTCGCCGATGTGAACTGGGCGAATGCTAGACTAGCCCCCTTCACTAGAAATCTAGATAAAGTAATAGTGTAGGCAAATTGTGTAGAACATCTAGACTGGAAGACAGGCCCAGGATGTGGGATATTTAGGGGAAAAGCCCAATGTTCAAAAGATCAACTATATAATGAAGAAAGGCATGGGTTAATTACAGTATTAACACTTTAGGATCAAGAGTTCTCAGAGATCTTTCACCTGACCTAGGATTAGAAACTTACATGAGGCTTAAATTACATAACTAAAATAATTCTAAAAATCAATGAATAATTAATTTTGTGTAGTTTATTAATAAATGATATTATAGACACCACAAGCCTTCTTCAAAACCTATTTCATTGCATAGCTACTGTATCTTGAACACCACTCCATCTGTAACACCGTAAAGGTATTTTGTATTTAATATATATACATAGTACAGGTGTCACAGACAAGATTTTGAGAGGCGCCAGGTTGGCGGCCCCTAGTAATTAAGGAACTCTCACCTCCAAGTGTTAATAATCTCAGGTTGACCTCAAGTCGACCGGAGGTCATTAACACAGAGGTGCGAGTTTCTTAATTACTAGGAGCCGCCAACCTGGTGCCTCTCAAAATCTTGTCCGACTAACTGTCCGAATGTAACGGTGTTACACATCAGCAATCTTCCCAAGCTGATTCAAATCTGGAACATGTTCATTTAACAAGTACAGTATATATGCATAAAATAAAGTAACCGATAGTCCATAATAATACTCCATAGCCATATAATGGCTATGGAACAGTTGGTTCATCCAGTAACAAACATGATTACAAGTTAGCAATAAATACATGAAACTAATAATAAGCTGATCAAACTAATGAATTTCTAGTGTCAGGCTTCAGATTAGCTGAGGTAAGACGACATCTCTTGGCTTGTAGTTAAATTAACACCGCCAGCACCAATCCAAATAAACCTAAGTGTTCAATGAAAAAATATTTTTGTGAGGGGGGGGGGGCAGAAAGGGAAAGAAAGAGAGGGGAGGGGGGTGAAGAGAGTGAGAGCGAGCGAGAGAAAGCGCGAGAGAGAGTGCGAGATAGAGAGCGAGAGAGAATGAATCTAACTGACCGACTTTGTTCAGTCTAAAACAACTGACCGGAGCTCCATATCCTCTGGCTCCTTTATCAATGACTTCAGGTGCCATGTACTGTAGCGTTCCAGTAAAGGTCTCGGTGCTCAAGCAGACTCCAGCTAGTCGCTTGGATGTACCAAAATCTGAGATCTTCACCACTCCTGTATACGTATTGACTAGAACATTATCACCTGTGGAGAAAAAGACATAAACTAATTTATCCAGAGATTTTGAAACATGGGGAAAGGAATAAAGTTCACTTAAGAGACTGAATATACTGTATACAAATGCTTTAGCTATGGAGAACTTGCACTTCACTATATTTGTGAATTAAACATTCATAGCATAATACTGTATTAAAGTTATAAACCAAACAAATCTATAGACCCAATATGCTTATTTCTTCCTGACAGTCTTATGTGGACAGTCAAAATTGGTTTTCATACAACAATATCTAAGGATAACACTAAACCTGCCATTTATTAAGTGCAGTGATACAATATAGGCCTTCACCCCCTAAGGGCTAATCCCCCAGTTTATAACACACAACTGAAACAAGAATTTATATCCAGACTGTACCAGAATACCACACAATGAACAATTGAATGGTAACTAAAGACAAAAACTTCACTCGTACACATAACCACAGAAATCTTCAGATAACAAACCTTTAATATCTCTATGCACAATCTTCTGATCATGTAGATACTTTAACCCCTCAAGAATCTGCTTGGTATAATACGCAATGGTTGCTTCATTTTCCTTCAGAGGGCCCCACTTTGATCTGAGGAGGGCAGATAAGGATCCCCCTGGCACCTGCTCCATGAAGATCTTGAAGAAACCATCTTCTGAAGCCGTTCCCAAGTACTGCACAATGTTACGATGACGCAGCTCTGAGTGAAGCTTTATCTCTTCATGCAGGGGTTGAACTTCTCTAAAAATTTATTATAACGTAATCAAGAAAAACAAATAACAGAAACCAGTTATTAGCACAAAATTCATTATTCTTATCCAAGTCAATAGAATATTATCTATAATTGATTGAAAATAAAAGATTCTCACCCAATATTTTTTTCTGGGACTTCTTTAACAGCAATTCTCACTTGAGTGTTGAGGTCTCTGGCAGCATAAACAATACCATATGTACCCTTGCCCAGAACCATACGCTTTCCACTGTCGTCCAATTCATACTCGTACTGAAAGATGAACAATTATGTTTTGTATGAATAAAATCAAAACGAGTTATTGAAATTATAGATCAACAATTACTTTCAACTTGGACAAACTATCCCAAAGTAAGAAAAAGTACAGTATTAGCGTAAGGAATAGAAACTGCAACCTAAAAAAATACTGGTGTAAATTTAAATACTTTTTTAGTCTATTACAGTAATACAGTGCAACTTCGATTCAGCGAACTATATGGGAACAACCCAAATACATTTGAGTGAGATTTATTGTAACCAGAGATGTCTTCAGGAGGCATTTGAATGATGCAATTTTTTTAAGACAAGAAAACTATACTGCTATGCCTGTTTCTTTCTCCTAAGAAGTCACTCGCATATGAAATGTTTGTTTAAACGTGACTGGAGCCATATTTAGAATTACCATTAATACTCCTAATATTTCCCACTCTCTATAGGCTAATTTCATTGAGTGAAATTTAAATTTCAACCTATCACATGATGGGACAACTATGAGGAGATCCTGGCTATAGAGAGATTTCACCCCATTGCCAGGTCTTTATTTCCCCAGATCCAGCCCCTCGAATCTTTAGCAAAAGAGACAGGGCCATAACCCCATAACGATGTAAATGAACAAAGCTCTTCAATTTTCCTAAAGATACGTGAACTTTGGCTCTACATCCAAAGTAAATCCGCACTTTGTAAAGTGTGCGGTGAAACCATAGATTTGCCAAATCAAGGCAGCACTGTACAACTTTTAACCAAATAATTCAACCCAAGACACCAGGGGGTAGAAACTGTTCTCCACCCAACAGGCAGCATGGCAAAGGCAAAAGGAATGACAATTGGCATGAAGCAAAACTGAAGTACAGCCCACAGACTCTCACACAATAAAAGCAGGCTCGGTGGGCAGGTCCAAAGTCAGACCACACCCAACACCAGTCAGAGCTTTCCAATTCAAGCCAGTAAAAACTGAACCAGTAAACTAGGTGCAGGCGACTCACAAGCACACACCAAATACTGCATAGGAATAAAGCAACCGAGGGTGTAATCAGCTTATCACAGATTGATCATGTGAGCCCACCCACACCCTCAAATAAAACTGAACGGCCCCTGCCCCAGAGCCTCACAATGGAGTAAAAAAATCCATGCACTACTCAGGAAAGGAACCCTTCACAGGAGAACAGCCTCTTGAAGAAAGACTCCCAAACCCTCCCAAGAAAGGAAAGTAGCCAGACATGGGCAACACAAGTGAGTGGTCAGAGAAGCAAACTTTAAATTCATGCAGATCCAGGCAAAAAATGACTATAGGGGCCACACAAAAGTATGGCATATAAGCACACAGGTGAAGCTAACACCAAAATAGGAAAAAACACAAGCAAAGAGACCATCGTAGGACAGAGTCCAAAGGATGGCCAACACTTATCTGGAAAAACCTGGACCTGCTGAGTAGGTGCCACGAAGAACACTAGCAAATGGGTTTGCACCAAGTGCATGACTGATGGGTTGACTCCAGTCAGACAGTGAAGTTCTGGGGCTGCCACCTGGTGGTGGAGGTGTGTAACTAGCAGAGAAAAGACCTCACTACTGTGCTCCTGGTCATAAGAGTTGTTTCTATTTTTCTTGCCGTTGTCCATTTTGTTTCATTTTTACCTGTTTGGTAGCTTATTCTCAGTTTCAGATGATCTAGTATATCCCCTGCTGCTTGTGCCTATGAGTGGACCAGGTTTTGGCATCTGGTACCCAGTAGGCATTTTATGACTCACAAAGCCCTGGTATGATATATGTAGAGCAATCCAGGCAGTACTGTAATTACAGGGATCAACCTCCACTACCCAGGGTGGGAACCTTAAAAGAAACCCCATTGGGGCAACCTCCTGAACCTCTAAGGCCCTGATTCCCAACCAGCAGATTGTGACCTTGAGAGTCTTTTGCATATTAGAAAATAGGGCTATTCCCAAAAGAAGGTTGGGAACCACTGCTGTAAGTGATAACCCTAACCAAAGGCAGAGGCAATACCAGCAACAGCTAGAAAAAGTACCTCAAGCCACAAGCAGTCGAAGCAAACAAACGCGAGGCTTAGCAACAGTGGTTGAAAAAAAAAAAACGCACGTAAAGTTGGAAAAGGAGCAGAGGGACACCTGGTGTAGGTGTCACCAGGTACACGACTGGCTGGGGCAGCCGGCTGAGACTCCTTGTTTCCGGCGCTGCCATCTGGTGAAGAGCGAGTGTTGCTAACTAGTAGTTGGATCTGGACAACTGTGCATATTGTTTGTATCAGGGTTACCAATATTCTCCATGCTGTTGCTGGTTCTGGGGCGCTCGACATCACTGGCTAGTTGTTTTTGCAGCCTGGGTGTATATACATATCCTCCCAGACTCCTTTTGCTTTTATTAAAGGGAACCAGGAAGCCAGGGCAGATAACCCGGGCCCAAACAAAAATTTGTAATAACTATGGGCATGCAAAATTACCATAGCAAAAAGACTGGCTCCAAAGCAAGGAGACCAGTAGCAGGCCAAACTATCTGACAAAAGGACAATGTTCGTGCCAAGACACACAGATCGGGCGCTCGGTAAAAGTAATAAGGTGGAGCCAAGAATCACAGTCCAGATTTCCTGGGGCACCCACGAAGGTACTCAAGATGATCAAGTTAGCAGGAAAGTTTTTGTATGTACGAAAAAGCACACTTTACTGTATTTTAAATGTTCAGCTTACTCGGGCTAGTTCTATATTTATAAAATGTTTGCTACACAGTTTTATTGATATGAGGTGTCATTAATTCAAATAAATGGTGTATGGAAAAATTGTAAAATATTTTATGCCAAAAATGACAAGCACAAATAGTAAATGAATAACAGTCTGATATACAGTACCTGAATAGGTCCTGAAGATATTTCAGCCTCCAGGTCCATAACTGTGCCTTTTTGGTTCACAGTGAGCTCCTGAACCAATCGAAAAAATATCAGGCGGCATTGTTCAGAGGGAAAAAACATTTGAAAGTCATCAGAGTTCTCTTGAACGTAGAGGAAAACTGCACGCTCATCTCGTTTATAGAGTCTGAAAATATTTCAATTTTACTGTGTGAAAAGAAATTAAAGTAAAATTAATCTTTTCCAAGTAAGAAATTTTACTGTGTGAAAAGAGAAATTAAAGTAAAATTAATCTTTTCCAAGTAAGAAATTCCTTCATGTACTATAATTTGGTTTTCAACATTTTATATCCTATTGTTGCCTCACTTTCCAATCCAGATATGACAGAGGGACAGGAATACTTTCCAATATAACCCATATAATCCTAAATGGTGGTGGAGGGAAATGAAATCCAGTCCAACGGAAGGACTTGTGGCAAAGTATCCCTGTACCAAATTTATGAGGCGTTACAATATTTGTGAACAATTATTGCATGAGAACAAATTTAAAATGTCATTATTTGTGCACTGTAGGAAGATCTAGATGAACTGCAATTACAGTACTCTTATCAGATTTCAGGAGAGAGAGAATGAGTAACTCACGTAATAGTTTTAATGCTGGAGGCATTGAAAAGCCAGTCATGGACCTGTCGGCAGTTTCCTTTCATTTGGTCAATGCACAAGTTCCCAACTTGAATGCTCTTCTCCTCTGCTCCAAGGTTAACAGTTACATAGCTCGGCAAGTAATAACTTGGCTGGTACATTCTTGTTGGTTCTAATATCAGAATCTGTAAAAGAAAAAAACTTTTTAATTAGACTAGACTAAACAGTTCATCTATTATCAGTAATAATATTGTACTTTATATATTTTCCGTGACCACTAGGTACATTAGCTAATGAATAAGTTTTACTGCACTACCTATATGTAGGGCCAATGGCAGATTATTTTGCCCCCTAGGAAAGGCCAACTATTTGCAAGCAAAAATTGCTCAATTCAATTTTCAAAAGCAGATGAAAAGAATGAAAAGTACAAAACTTGAAGCTGTTAAATTTAGTTTAAATGGTAAGTATAAGTAATACTTCAACCTTTGATTATATTTCTCAAATACAAAAGAAAACAGTTTGGCACATGAATCATTTTAAACTAAAGAGCACTCAAAAGAACATATACCTCCATCAAAGGCAACACAACCCTCACCATCACTGCCTTCTGAACCCTTATTTAAACCCTTTTAGTTAACTCTCTTCAGTTGTATTGTTTTCCGACTTTTGCACTATCATTCCAAAACATTTTAATTCCTTTTGGTACCTTCCTAACACCATACACATGATCCTCAGATTGTTCATGTCTACTGCTCTAACTCGAGACTTTTCCTGCTTATTCAAAACCATTTCACACATGTACTCAGTTTTATCACAAATCATATTAATGATTTCCGTATTATAACAACAGATATAACATTTGTTTTATTTACTAGAACACAGAAATATAAGCCTCACTGGAAATCTGATGACATCCCCAAGTTCAGTTTTAGTAGCTTCTACAAAATAATCAATCCAAAAGTTGAAAATTGTCTCCTCAGGTCCCGGTTCACTATCTTCAGGACGCTTCCGGAATCGGTTGATGAGCATGATGTTGCCAATTGTAGATTTCAGGTACCTAGATTAATAAAATAAAGCAAACTATAGTTAAAATAATCATAAATCGGTGTAAATTATATTTGTGTATTTGTGTATTGATCTATCAACATCCAATCAATATCTCAATATTTAATGCACATAAATGTTCTATGAAACTAATGTCATAAATTAATAGTTGTGCTAAGCAAAATACATGATAGTAATACAAAATAATTTCTGGATGCTTGACAATCTAAATTATATGAGGTTGGACCAGTTTCAGATAGAGATATTCAGGTAAGCCAAAATCTGACTGTTGTTTTTCCAAACAAATGTTTGCTATTACCAAAAGATAGAACTTTAATTTACACACAAATTAATAAAATCATACTGACAGACCATTTTATTTATATAAGTCTGAGTATACAGAATACTAATGCACCACTCTGTACTGGACATTGAACTGCTCCATAAAGCAACATCCCAGTGTCCCTGGACAAGATAATGTAAAGTTAGGAAGTGCAGCCCACTAGCACCAGCCCTAAATGTCATAAAAATGATGAGAGAACTGGAGAACAATTTAATCCAGATATGAATGGCTGAAAGTGGTTATAGCCCTTCTGAATCTATGAAGAATTTAGTAGGTCCCCTCTGATGTCAAGCACGGCCTTGAAAGTTCTGCTTTTTTTTTGGGGGGGGGGGGGGGGAGCGCCCCAGGATATATTAATGTCATCAGCGACTCCCTTCGCATAATACCAACCTGACAGGGACAGTTGAAAATTTGATGCAGCAAATTGCTGTATGTCACCCATAGCTGACTGCATAATCTGATATTCGAGGATCCAGAGAGATCTTACTTAACCCTTGCACTGCATTTACCATCCTGAGATGTTCCACCCATGGTATGATTACCAGCCTGAGGTGTTCTTAGGTACCCCACAACATTTGAAACTCTTGTGGGTGCAAAGGGTTCCAAATCAGTAGCTGAAGCCTCCAATAAACATCTACTATATTACAGGCGATGAGTCAATAACGTGGTTGAAGTATGTTAACTAGACCACACACTACAAAGTGAAAGGACGACGATGTTTCGGTCCATCCTGAATCACTCAATCAACTTGAGAATGGTCCAGGATGGACCAAAACGTCGTCGTCCCTTCACTTCCTAGTGTGTGGTCTGGTCAACATCTACCATATTGACAAAAAATTGAGGATGGCCAGCTGTGTCTACAATTGGGCTAGTTTGACAGACACGGCTGTAGCTCCCAACCCAATAGTGCAGCTTTTCATGATTCTTATAGTGACTCTGCTACATGGCCTACCTCATTTTTGAGCAAGATGTAATGACCTCATTCACTACATCCAAAGTAAGTGACAATTTTTTGGACTATTTTCCTATGCTTAAGGCTTCGTTTTTTTTATATAGGAAGACAAAACTTTCCTTTCTTTGCACACAACCCTTGTGCAGTTCAGGGGTTAAAGATGTAGCACAAAATAAGAGCTCATAAGCAGATAAGTAAGTAAAGGTAACAATCTTTTATAATGAACAATATGGGTTTTGAAGGGGAAAGCCATGCCTGCAAATATGAGAGTTCTACAAAAGGGTCACCAAGACATGACAAGAGAGAATGTGCCAATTAGACCGCATAATATTTTCAATAAATGCTATATAATAACTATAGTTGTGACTGATATAGGTAGAAACAGATATAGTATATACATTCTGTAAAAAAGGAATTGCGTCTTAAAAAAAAAAAAAATTACATTACAGCAAGCCAATATTTTTTTGGAGATGAATGTTTGTTTAAACAAATAATTATCCTTTATACATACCAATTAGGAGGCTTCAGCTTGAACATGCATTCAGCAGCTTGAACAGCTTTCCCATAATCCTCTGCCAAAACACTAATTTCAAAAAAGGTTGCCACATCCCAGTAATCTTGTAGTGATGATAGGGAACCTTTTTTTCCAATCAGGTTGTTAAGAACCATACCTGAAAATATGTAGTCTCTTTGAAAATGGTCAATAGAACTCGGATATGAATAAATCTAAAATATAATCTACAGTATATAGAAATTCACACAAAAATTGGACTCAAATTTTTTTATTCAAAAACTGCAAATTTAATGAACAAATCCACAAGGGATTTGTGGATTGATGTAGTGTAGTGCAAATATAATTCCGACTAACTGTACATCATTATTATGAAAAAAGTCTGAACAGCAGTAATGAATAATTAAAATGAAGTGCAGAACTTTTTATAACTCGGCACAAAACTCATTCCGATTCACTGTTAAAACTACACCATACTAAACATATGTTTCTGTAACTACAAAGCTAAAACCTTATACTATTAAAGCAAGTAGTAGTAAATTTTGAAATTCCGGGAATAAACTAATAGGATAGGTTCTAAGTTTCTGGCAACAAAGGTGAATACATAGGTTACTCATTTTAGATAATTACATTAATGAGACCTAGTACTGTAATGTACTATACTATTCATTGTTTCAGAGTTGAAGTTTAAAGTATGACAGCTGATCAAAAAATTAGATTTTGGACAAAATTTGGGACTAAGTTACATAAAATTCCCTTCCAAAGCACATTCAACAGCAAACATTATTCATCAATGCACAGTGCCAGTGTACAGCACACATGTACGAGAGCCTTTACGATGACCTTTGATCGAGGAATTTGATTAAGGTAGAGTAACGTATCAAGGTACTGTAGATAAAATAAAAACTAAAGTTAGCACTTAATCCCTGCACTGCTCACCTGTTTCCCATTTCAACTTCATAGTACAAGTGTTAATGCATTATTAACATTAACTGAAAAAATTAACTCCAAAAATTGCCAAATTCAATGATTTTTAGTTTAAATCACAAGTGAAAAAATATTGACAATAATAAGTTAAAATATTGCTAAATTCGATCATTTTTTGCACCACCTGTCAAACTAGATATCTCTGCGAGTGCAGTACATGGGTTAACTTGTTAGTGGTGCAATCATTATCAATGAAAACCGGAATAGGCATAAAGGCACTAGAACCTCTAAGCACATGTAAACAGAACAACATCAACAGTAAGGTATATGGTAAACAAAACAAAATAAATGGCATTGAAAATTTAAGTATGGAATGGTCTGTAATGAAAATGCCATTTTCAGTTGGGCCCTAAGTAGCTTCCAGAGTTTATGTGCGGGTACAGAACCTAATGTTGAATTCTAAGGCTTTAAAATTATGCCAGGCTTCCGAGACTCTCACTGACCTACTGAGAGCCAGGACCAGAATTTGGCTCTCTTCACGAGGTGATGAGAGCTCTGGGATCAGAGATCTGCCCAAAACTGAAAAAAACCAGCGTTGAATGTAATCAATCACCACTTTCTGGGTGAGCCCCGGAGGCTCCCTGGCAATGTTCCAGGGAGCCATAGGGTCTCCCCACACTAACCCACCAGAAAACTTTGGTGAAGCAAAATGAGCAACTGCTTCAAACGAAGAAATGAACCCTAAGGTAAGCAAGACCAAACAACTGATGCAGCAAATGGCCAACCCTAAACTTGATGCACCTGAGTGCCACCAGATTGTGTCCCAGGTCAACTCTGGTCCCAGTCAGCAGCCAACTCCCTAATGGTTAGCAAAATGCTCCAAGCCCATAGATTAGCAATGAACATATTGGTAAAGAAAGGTGTCAGAGCAACAGAATTATAATCATGAGGGCAAGGACAGACAGCCAGCTGGATGAATTGAACAACCTCCTGGATGACCCAGCCAGACAACCCCAACCTAGAGAAATAATACCCATGCCTCCAGAATAAAGCATGAAGTTGCCTACATCCTGAAGTTATCACAATATGACTACTTTAACAATTATTGTCTGGGTTTTTCATGCATGATGCAATTATGGATGTAATAGGTCTATGTGGATATACGTAATGAAGTTTACCTTCACCCACAAGAAAATCCTACCACCATTTCAGGGTATTGTCATAAATGTTTCACCCAGTGGAACATTTATGACAATGATGACCAAACCACACACTAGAAAGTGAAGGGACGACGACGTTTCGACTTGAGAATGGTCCCGGACGGACCGAAACATCGGCGTCCCTTCACTTTAGTGTGTGGTTTGGTCAACATATTTCAGCCACGTTATTGTGACTCCTCATCTGCATTTATGACAATAAGTGTTATACAGTAATTTCACTGGGTGAAATTACTGTATAAATATTCACTTATTTTTGTGTTTTTCTTACATTTTTGCATACAAAATAATTCTATTATGAAAAATTATTTTGGGGATTTTTTTTTTATTTTTTGTGTATAGGCGGGTATGACCATTTCTCCATAGCCACGGTCTAAAGGTTAAAGATATCCTCAACTGAGGGGGGAACCCAAAATGAAGGAAAGGACAGACGTATCCAAGCCTAATTAAGAACTAGGATGTTTCAGGAGCATGAATGGGCTGGCAAAACTAGGACCAAGACAGCTAGAGAAAGGGGAAAGAGAAAGCATCCACCACAAGTCAGAAAAGTCAAATGATATGAAGCATGTGAAAGAGTATACAGCCATGAATGTAAACAATCGCTTATTCAACCCAAGTGCACACTCAGTTAAAGTGCAGGGATTAACTGAACAGAGAACAGAGCCAGGCATGACTGCCACATAAGACTACAATTACTTCCCATCAACAGGCCTCTAGAGTGGACAGCAACTTATCTACTGCCCAGAAGTAAGAGAACTCGACTCATATTAGAGGAAACTCTTAGCTGGAGCAAAGTACAAATAGTGAACAGTACAGGGAATAGCAAGGCAGTGACAAAATCGCTCACATGAATCAGGATTTGGAACATTGCAATGGCTCCGAGCAGAATGAAACTTTCCCAAGGAAAGCCAACACCACTTATCTGAGAGCATGAAGCTGAATGTGGACTCAGCAGAGGTATGAATTTAGCTGCACCAGGTGAATAAAGGAGGTGACTGGGTGGCAAAGACCTTGGGTGATCTGCACTGCCATTTGGTGATAGCCAGGCATATTATGGCTATGGTATTTGCCCTGCACCAATGACTGATTGCCTTGTTTTTCCTCAGGATTACTAATTTCCTTTCAAGCAGTTGCTTGGTTTGATGTGCCTACTTCTCTCTCTCTTCAGTTTTGGGTCGATCTCCAAGACCCTTGCTTGGGTGGGTTGATCTCCGAGACTCTCCCTTGGGTGGGTCTCTGGGGTACAGTATATGCAATTTAATTATGCTTGACAGGTCCAGTGCTGTAACTCAAAGTTATTGATGGGACCCCTCCCAAAAATATATCTCACCTATATGCTGCAACTCTGCTGATTTTGAGAAATCATTGCCAGCTATAACAAGAAGAGTAGCCAAGTTGATCCCAGCATATTCATTTGGTTGTACTTCAAATCCTTTTCTGTACCAGTAAATTGCATTATGCAGACTCTCCATGTCTATGTGCTGAGATTCAACAAATTTATCCTGCAAAAAGATCCAATAATTAATATAAACATGGCATTAGAGTATACACTAAATTTAAAGGCATCTACTATAACATACTTTTAGAAAAAATTAAGATTTTACCGAGTATAAAAAATAAATTTATTATAATTATAAATGTATTATTTAACTTGCTAAATACTCTAATATGCACTGGTTGAGGGTACAGTAAGTACAGTACGTCTATACTGTACCTTGTTTGTGGACAATTGTTTGTTGACAAACTGAATTATGTCACTATTGTCTTGGTGTTTACCTTGTGTGCTTGAAATTAGTGTACAGTGGAACCTTGATTCAACGAACCTTATTTCAGCGAATCTCCAGTTGCAACACACACTTTCCAGAGCGGGTTTACTCACCCGATTTGACAAACAAAGTTTGGCAAAGCAGGGAATGGGAAGATTTGCTTAGGATGTTGGGCCAGAGTTCACAGACTAATGAGAAAATTTCCCCCATGATATGACAGTTTGAAATTAAAATTTGGCTCAGCAAAATTAGCCCACAGACCATGGTAACTATTAGGGCATGAATGGTAATGTTCTTAATATGGCTCCAATCACATTTTTAATGATTTCCAAAGATGGACATAATATTAAAATAAATAGAGACTTGGGGAAGCTATCGAGGATATTTAAATAAAATTCTATGGTTCATTTTCATTTCCTGTTGCAGTAGTTTTCATTCACTAAAATATGGCTCTTCTGGTTGGAGGCTGGAGCATGGGAAAGATGCTGGATATGATTAAATCTTTTTACATACAGGATTGCCTGGTACTTCTCCTTCATGTGATAGATTGAGATTAAATTTTTGCTCAGTTAAATTAGCTCATTGAGTACAAGGAAATATTAGGGTACGTGGTAGCTCTCTTAAATATGACTCCAATCACATTTTTAATGATTTTTGTAAATGGACGCAACATTAGAAAAAAGAAATGGCTAAAGCAATGTATTTTTTCTTGTATTTAAAAGAAAATTAATCTCACAACCTTTTCCAGAAATCATTACCGGTTGCAACGAATTCCCCAATCCAACTAATTAGGGTTACCTTGAGGTTACCTTGAGGTGCTTCCGGGGCTTAGCGTCCCCGCGGCCCGGTTGCTGGACTGATCAACCAGGCTGTTAGCCGCGGCTGCTCGCAGCCTAACATATGAGTCACAACCTGGTTGATCAGGTATCCTTTGGAGGTGCTTATCCAATCTTATGAGATTAATCTTATGAGATTAAATTTTTGGCCTTTAATAGGGTTGATTAAATAGGGTTGGCCCTATACAGTTCGCCAAATCAAAGTTGCACTGTCTAAGAATACCAGTAGCCTGGCAAAGGCAGGTACTAAGTGAAGCGTCCTAATGGTTGCACGTGCCACTACTTGTGAAGTTAGTGAGCACTACAGTACTCTTGCCTCAAGTAAAACATGTTCAACAAATTTAATAAAGTGCTAAATATTCACAATAGTATGCAGCTATGTATAGCAATTCCGACACATAAGTGGCGGCCATTCAGCAGTCAGATAATTATAACATTCTGCATTATTATAAAAATGGCCAAAGAACAATTGGTCTTAATCAAGATTTCTCTCACTGTGATTCTTAATGAAAAACTTTGTTAATAAAAACTTTGTTCCTTCAAAGTGCACTATGGTGATAGACTGACCTAAATAGCACAATATATTACCTTATATATTCTACCACAGAGACACACCATGTCAGGAACTTCATTTTCTTTCTTTTCTAAAGCTTTTGTGATCACAGCAAGAGCCTTCTCTCGGTCCCCTTCCATATTCCGTCTGTTGAACAAAGAATAAGTTAGTACTATACTTTAAATCTCAACCAAATTGAACAAATATGTCAAATTCTAGTTACTGGCATTGTTTTTTTGGTGGCAGATGTCTTATTATTTCTGTAGTAGTGTTACATTAATACTGTAGGAGTGTTGTAATACTGGTGTTAAAGTACTACTATATTGTTGTAATACTGTACTGTAGCATTGTAAATTTACTATAGAAGTATTGCTGAAGTACTGTAGCTGTCTTGTATCAATACCATATTAGTCAAAGTTGTAGAATGGTTGTAGTAATGTGCCAATGTTCCAATAATACTGAAACTACAATGAAAACAATACATATAAATATGAGCCATAGCCTCGGGAAGGCACTGCAAGGGAATAGGTATACATATTACCAAAAATACTGAACACGTGCTGGAATGCTACCCTTTACACGACTGTATTCTGTGTCCTGAAGTTCCTACTCCTCCTGCCACTCTCCCTACTGTACAAGATTAATTGCATTGTGAATATAAATTTGATGTGGTATTTAAGTTAATTTATTATGCACCCCATACACATCCTATGAGTGGTAGTAGGTAAGGTTACAGAGGCACTCAATTCATTTATGTAAGCAAGTTATGGTCTTGATAAGTTAGTTACAAAATTTAATGTACATTGTTCAATCAACAATTAATGGGTTCAAGACCAACCTCAAGTACAGTCTCTAAGCTAAGGAACTTATATGTGTGTTGAGCTTTCTACATAACCGATACTTTTATCATGCACATCAACCCCCAACCAGTGGACAGAGGTGCAAAGGTTGCAGTCATTTACCACCTACAGTTAGCAAACTGGGGATATTTGATTAAAATGTCTGGTAGAAGGGAATTTTGAATGAAATATTTACACATTTCTTGAACACTTGTAAAATAGGTCAGGAGTCCGTACATTAGACAACCGACGGTTAGAAATGCGTGGTCCGAGAGCTAATAGCTCAATCCTGTAGGCATAAATGATAAGTACAAAGTGACAGAGGCTGTGCGAATAATTTAACTGACACGGTTTACATTTGGTCAGGTCTATATTAGCAGGCAATGCAAATTCCCAGAGATACTTCTAGCTGTGTCTAAGCCAAGCAGTAATAACATCTAGGAGTCTTGATTTAATGGCTGAACTTCAAGGTGCAGTTCAGAATCGAGGTCTATGATTTATTTCCATGAAACAAGAGATGGCTTGTATTTGATCAAATACAGCATAGCATATCATATCAGTACCATTTAAGAGATTAACAAAGGGTAAAAAGAAAGTAAAAACTAAATTATGTTCCTCCTACAGATAAATGCACTGCCATTACAGTATGCTGTAATGTATATAAAATTAAAAACTCACCTATTTAGTGCAAACCCATACAAGAACCTAATGGCAGGAGTGCTAGTATAGAGTTTGCGGTTTGGTATAGTCTTGAGATCATCGACCAGCTGAACCATCGCGTCATAATCCTGTAACACAAGTACAACTAAGATACAGCAATTTTACTAACTTTTAAATATTTGAGGAGCCGATAGGGCAAAATTACTTATAAGAATGTTTAAATTTAGCAAAACACAGATCCAATACTTGAGAAATTACACTTTAAAAATACACACACACAGTATTATACCATTAAAGTATGCCAAACAAATTTATACTATACCTGGATCTCTCTCAATGATATTAACATATTGAGAACAACGTCAATAGACAAAATATTTGGGTCATCGAGTCGTCTTCGGAGATTGTGCAGCTGCTTTCTGAGCTCATCACCGGACAACACATCCCGAGCTTTACGAAGATCAGCAAGGAACTTCTCCTTCATGTGAGCTCTGAAATTAAAAGAATCCAAATAATAAGTCACACTTTAACCATGTTTAGCATGAAGTTAGTCAGTGTTGGAAACCAACAGAAGCACAATTCCTTTTTTAAATGTTTTATTCTTTCCACTGAATTGGCATTACCAAAAACCTTTTCCAACAATAGAAGCACTGTTTTATTTTACAAACATTTCTCATGGAATTGCTAAGTGAGAATATACAAATAGTGACTATGTATGCAAGTATATATTTTCAGATATGCAGAGCCACTAGACTTGTCATTTACATGTGCATGGTAGACTAGTTACACCAGACACCAGTGTTGAAAGGTGATCACATTATTACCCAAGTGCTGTATTGCAAGCCAGCTAACATTTAATAAGTGCCAATCGAGTCATTATAACTGGTCACATTGCAAACCAAATCTTATTCAACTGCATAATCTTTTATGATCCAGCTATGCCTTGATACATATGTAAAGCAACATCAATTCCATTTTGTTTAATATATGTAGTGTAAATATATTAATGTTAAAGATCTCCATCTCTAACCTTGAATGATCTTTTCAATCCAAGTGTTATGAATCTATTAATTATACTTGCTAGTGATCACTGTTACAAAAACAATGTCAAATATGCCCCCTCCAAGTCCCTTCCTCAAGACTGACTCAGAAGACCAAGATCCATAACAGTCTCGCTTAATGAGTCAAATTAATAGGAGCAAATCTTCATGCTCTGGACAGGACATTATGTATGCCGTTTCCTTGATAGCTCTTGTAGAAGATATACCAACCAAGGAACTGTATTAACCAACTGCAGCCATGGTAGCTCCCTATAGTTGCAGTTGAAGGATGCAACTTTATGTTCATTTACATAATATTGCATTCATTCCACCAGGTTTCACTTCTGACTTCAGTTAGTGTAAGCCTAGTTCAGTGTGAAGAAAAGGACAGATCAATGTCTGACATAACCAACATATGGATGGTGATACAGGGAACCTAAAAATAACAAGTGCAAAAAATTGATGGGGAGATGAAAATCATTCTCAGTGTCTTGCTGATGATAATCTGATGATAGCAGCAATGCAACAGGTGGGCCAAGAACTAGCCACATGAGAGCAGGAAAAATATTGCAGCCCACAAAGTTCTCCAACTTGGATAACTCTGGATCAACAGATAGTGAAGTCCAACTGCTCGAGTCCAGATGAAACATGTCCAATGCAAAGGCTTTCCTATTGTGAAATGAAGGAATCTAAACAAACTTTGTTTTCACCGAGGCTAACAGATCCAGTTGTGAATGGCTGAATACATCACGTTCATAAAAAGGAGGCCCTATCCACATCCATTTTATGAAAATTGGACAGAACTAGGAGAAACCACCATAACATTCCACATGCCCTAAAATGTGAATTTCCTTGAGGACATTAACCAGAGTTCTGAAATAAAGCTATTGTTATAGTCCACCCTGTGACTAAAACTAGAGAATTTATTTCCATTTCATCCTATCATCTTCCCGGAAGTCTAGAAAAACAGAGTCTAGAAATTCTCTACCATTGAGGAAGACCAGCCAGACTTGGAACCCAACTTAAGTCTTTGATCCAAATCAGGGTACATAGAGCTTACCAACAGTCTCTCCAACTTTCCCAAAATCACAAACAGCAGCAAGCAAGCTTGCAGGGATGCTCAATAACACTCTCAAACATGACACCTACAGGTGCAGTACATAAAATCAGCACCAACCCGGGGAAGAATGGTCGGTTGGGAACAAGGAAACGTATTTGAAGCTTAAGTTAAACCCCAACCTGGGAAAACACAGCGTAGGGAGGCATTAACTGAAAATGGAGCACGTACCAACAAAAAATTTCCTGTGTGCTCCCAGATGTAAACAATCACCTCACATGTCCTAACTACCGTCCCCACAGAGAAGCCAAAACCCTTACACTACCCAGGGCAAGGCCTCATTGAAAGGCGGAAACTAAGGGGGAAGAATTCTGAACCTTCTCAATGAAGGGAACTGATTAATGCAGGGACAATACCAGCAAGAACTAGAGAAGGAAACACAAGTCACAAACAGTCAAAGTGGAGAAGACAGAAGACCTGCAAAAACACACAGATGAAGCAGAAACAGAGCAATAACAAGCACAGGCCTCTATACAAGACAAAGTCCCAAAAGGAAAGCCAACTCGGATGAAAAATGAAGCCTGGAAAGGCAGCAGAGCACTTAAGAGCTTGCAAATCAGAACCAGGTGCATGATTGTTAAACAACCAGCTGGGAACCCAATTATCCAGGGCTGCCATCTGAGGGCAAGAGTTGATAAATAGTGGATGGTGCTGGACAATTAGTGTGTACATTGTCTGCATTAAGTTCACCAATTTTTCTCATGTATTTGCTTCTTTTGATGCATTCTACCTTCCTGGAGGTTTTTCTTCTATCAGCCTGGGTTCATGTTGTATCCCCAGAGTCCCCCTTGCTTCTATGTGGAGACAGCCAGATTCTGTTCCTGGTCCTCTTTAGGCCTTCATGGCTCAAAGAATTGGTGGGGTACTTAGGCTTGGAGATAGAGAGAGAAAAGAAAGAAGAGAACAAAAAAGAGAAAAAGAGAAAAGAGGGAGAGATAATGAGTCCAGATATTGAAAGGAAATGTGCAAGAAAAAAAAAAAAAAAAAAAAAAAAAAATGAGAAAGAACAAAAACTAACATGACAACACCACAAGTATCTTAGCCAGAAATACCCAAGAACTACTCACTTTGACTGAATTTCAACATCTTGTAACTGTCTACGAAGTTTTGTTGAAAGAAGTATTCTAGATTCAGGAGGAATATTGTCATCGGATCCAATTCTCATACTGGGATCCGTTAAGACACACTGTCCTGCGTCCAATAGGCGGTAGGAAATGAAAATATAGTTGCTGCAGGAAAACTGAAAAGATAAATAATAATCTTAACCTTGATGTGATTACTAGACGAGTTTACAAGGCAAGTATAACTAAACATCTGAATGTATAATCATATCCCCCTACACATCTAGCCTTCACACATCAGTCTCTTAGGAAGAAAAAAGCAATAATTTGCCTTGTGTGCTGATGATGAAAAATGCTGTTTGACGAGATAATAATTAGCATGTGTGTGTAATTATCCATTAGTAGATTTGATTTGGTATTGGGCTTAAGGCTTATCAGCCTCTTGGAGGCTTACTAAGGCTGACACTGCTTACTGACCTACCAAAATGAACACATTAATCAAGATCACAGTTCAGGACTAAAGCAAGCCTACAGTACTGTATACCGAATGTTTTACATGCACTGAAAAGCAGAATACACTTCTCAAGTGTATTTCCTGTCATGTTTTGTATGTAAAGATAGTTGTATGGTATTTAATAACATAAGGGGAAATACAAAATTTATCCCTGGGCCAAGCAGATCTCACAAAACAAGAAGGGACATTAAATAAGTAATGTGTGCAATGACAAATTCAAGTTTAATGTGTACAAGGAGTGCAATGGGGTAAGGAAATCTAATGGATATATGAGGGGTGCAATATATACATTAAGTACACCGAGAACATGAAGTAATGACAACAAATTGGTGTAATGAGTAAAAGGAAGAATAGATTAGACATGAGGTCATGTGAACCGACCAGATGAGGAACATTTCTCTGAATTGAGTCAAAGTTGATTGAGGGAAAGCAGCCCCTCCAGATGAGAGAAGGAGGTGGAAATTATCAGGGGAAAGCGCCAAGCTATTCGACTATATAGCACTGAGACGGTGTCAGGATAAGGATTTGGGATGGGACGGGGGAAAGGAATGGTGCCCAACCACTTTGACAGCCGAGGATTGAACATCGACTTGCATAAAGCTAGACCATTACTCTACCATCCAGCCCAAGTGGCTGGGCCCCCAAATGAGAGAGCATTATCCTAAACAAAGTTAATTACCCTTTTTATAGAGATGAAGTCATTGAGAAGTTAAATATCTTTTGAACCTGAAGAGAATGTCAGTTTTCAGAAACACACTTTTCAATCACTGAGATGTTATGTATCAAAACTGATGCCTTAGATATTGAGGAAGGAGTGAGGCCCAACACTCAGGTTTTCAAAGGAGAATTAGTAATCAGCTGCATTTTGCTTTAATGCAATTGGCAAAACTTTTGTGTTATTGGAATTCAGTCTGACTAAAATTTAAGTGCCTTAAATGAAGATTGAATTAGGATCATAATTACGAGAAGCAGAAAGCAGACTTTACTGTGGGCTTCAAATAAACAATTATAACTGAAGTGTGAGGAGAGGTGTAGAGTAGAGTCATCAGCATAATAATAAACATACAATGTACTGTAAGATAAAAACAAATACAACATAATGATGCAATGAGAACCAGTATGTGTAGCTAGTCAGAAGCAGAAATTTGTGTAGTCAGTCAGTAAAGAGATCCAGCTTATGCAGCCAGTTCGTTCGTTAGAAAAATTAGTATGTGGGGGCCAGTCAGTTAGATTGTGATATGTTTCGAGTCAGGAAACACCGTGTTGATGGTAAATGTTGCCAACTGGTGGAGGTTGTGTGTAATAGCCTGGCAGGTCAACCAGTAATTTGTGAGAATAATAATTGGTGCTCCTAGGGTTACCAATTGGTTACAAATTAGTGCTCAAGAGTTTACCGAAATGCTTCTTGGCAGTCAATCTGGACTGGACCCATTTGAACACACAGTATACCTGTATCTACTAGCCACAAAAGCCAAATCACTAACATTAAAAAAGGAGTAAAACTTATAAGTAAAGCTAAAGGTTAACCTTCAGATAACCTTTCCAACAACTTTTGGCCTCTGGGTTACATTGGTAGAAATTTTTTTTTTTTTTTTTTTTTACTGAATATAAAGTTAATCTTTATGCCAATTGGAAATCAACAAATTTCAGAAAAATTGGAAAGGGAAAGAGGCTCCATTGCATGTCCCCATTTCTCCCGATATACCATAAAGGAACAGAATGAACAAAGCATTTGCAATAGAAACTTTATCAATACTCAAGATTGACCTGTACCCTAAAGTAAAAGACCATAAATGAATAACACAACACTTAATTATACACTTGCATAACCCTACTAGTACCTTGAGAGGCATGGTGACCTCAGAGTCATTATCGTTGTATAGTAGAATGTTTTCTTTCATATCGAAGCTTTCACGTACACCAAGATGATAGAAGAGAGAATGTTGCTGTAAAACAATCGAGAGATCCACAATGGCAACATCAGCATTGTAGAATTGGTCCAAAACATTTGTTTCTCCAAAGTCTAGCTTTTCAAACTGGGGGGAAAAAAAGGTAAACATTATTATTAATAACCTTAATGTAAAGCATGTATTTATGATGAAGGATAAAATATAGTATAACAGTCATCATACTGATGATAATTTGTAAAGCTGAAAGATTACAGCACAATAATCGTCATACTCATGACAAACTGAAGCTATAAGCAAAGAAAATAATTTCAGCAAAAAGTTAAATGATTAATAATACAGACATGACTCGACAGAAGAGGGTACTTAATTTCTAACTCCTTAATTACATTCTTTTCAGAAAACATGAAATATTATACTAATTCTGCCACATCTAACTTGCATCAAGAGTCAAATGGAGCAATCAAAGGAGAGGGATTATTACCTTACCTGGCAAGGAACAACATTTTCAATTATTATGTTACTGGGTAACATAATAGACGTGGGATCACCTGCAGGCGATAAGTCACAATAACGTGGCTAAAGTATGTTGACCAGACCACACACTAGAAGGTGAAGGGACGACGACGTTTTGTGACGTCGTCGTCAATCGACATTCTCAAGTCGATTGTGACGATCGATTTGAGAATGGTCCAGGACGGACCAAAACGTCATCGTCCCTTCACCTTCTAGTGTGTGGGATCACCTAACTGCTTCAAGCATAAGCTAGACATACTGTACATTCAAAAAGAGTGTCAGTAGATATAAATTGGCCCATATGCCTCATATGGGCCAATTTCCTTATCCACAATTTCCCAACAATGGCTACAAGATATATGAATTTAAATATAGGACGGTTATAGGCAAGTACCAGTTTGCAAGGGTTGTGGGTAAGTAGAATGGCCTGTCAGGTATATTACCGAGACCACAGTTTAAAAGTCTTCATGAATAGAGTGGATGAGTATATCGGTGAAAGGTGGTGGATTTAATCAGAAACCCCCAGCTAGTATGGACTGACAGGCCTGCTGCATTGATCACCAATTCTTATGTACTTATGATCCAACACATCCTGCAAGAACTTGCCCAATTCTCTCAGAAAACTACTTCTGGCAGATGGGAGGAATGTGGGTGGGGGGGGGGGAGGGGTAGGCAGATGGGAGACAATGAGCAATAATAACTAAAATTAAAATATGATGATAACCGTAATATAACCGAGGGTTATTGACTTTTTTTTTTTATTCACACCTTAGTATTTTAAATTTGATAGCAATACTATGTAATGTTTGAGACACTGAATAGAAACGGGTAACAATAAAGAAGAATAAAAATAAACGAACTATAACGTATCCCTACTGGGGTTACCAAGTAGATAATGGTTCATTGGTTAATAACTACGGTGAACTTACAAGGCCTCACTTTCCATTATGGCAGGAAGCAGCACAAAATATATAACAAAAAAATTAACAGATGTATATTTTTGGTTAAAATTATGTATATGATTACAGTACTTACATTTTAACACAAAATGGAACAACTTAAATTTGTAAACACAAACTAAATTTTGTCTAAATGTTATTATAGTACCATAACAAAAAATATTACGAGAATTTGTATCTGGATATTCATCATATTATTAATTTTACTTTCTTGCTATGTGAAACGTGGTGAACCAATCAAAATAGCTCTCAAATCAACACTTGTTTGAAGAATTAATGTCACCCAATTCTTCACACTACCAGAGAATCTCCATCATTCATTGTCCACACACATTGAACGGATTTTTCCACATGAAGCAGATGATCAACCAGGCTGTAACTCGTGCATCTAACTGCAGACACATCAAACAGCCTGGTTAACCAGGTTACCAACCAGGGGACCTGGTCATAGACTGGGACGCCTACAAAGCAAGAAAGGAGCACTTTTGGACCATCCAATTCATAAAGTTCATCCTGGAGACTTTCATGGATCAATGTGTTAAACAGGCTATGAGAATGAGAGAAAGGGAATGCTCCATCAATGCTGGATTTGTTATTTACCAGGAAAGAAGATGAAATATTTGACATTCAGTAACTTCTTCCATTGGCCAAGTGTAACCAATGTGCTTTTGGAAATAATATATGCATTATATCCTAGAAAAGAATGTGGAAAATGAAGCAGTTCTTTAATGTTCTTTAATGAGTTGATTGGAAAGATTTTTTGTTAACCAAGGAAGTAAATGAGAAATATGCCAAATTGTGAGGTACACGAACTCAGAACCTCAGGACTACGAATCTGAAGCGCTGTCCACTCAGCTGTCAGGCCCCTTAAGGTACAATATAGTTTATACCAAAACAGATGAAAAAAAGGACTAGTTCAACAGAAATTATGAGAAGACCAGAGAACAAAAGGCAAAATAATATGCAAGGAGCCTGTGATATGCTTTCCAACTTCAGAATGCTATTAAATGCATGCATGATGAAATACTAAAAGTTCATGACTTTTGTGAAACCAAAATTGGAATGTGTGGCAGTTGTATGGAGTCCATATCTCAAGAAACACAAACTGGAAAAGGTGTAAAAATATATTACTATGGCTCCTGCAACTTCAAGAACAAGAGGTCATAGATTCAAGATAAGGAAACAAAGGTGCCAAAAATACATTGGAAAGTTCTCTTTTACAAAGAAGAGTGGTAGATGGTTGGAACAAGTTTGAGGTGGTGGTGGATGCCAAAACCATCCGTAATTTCAAAGTGTCACAAAAGTACTGGGAAGACAGGACACCACAAGCGTAGCACTTATCTTGTAACTGCACTTTGGTAATTCACTCGCCCACTCATAGTTTCTCTTTCCCTCTCACTCACTCTCATTCTCTCACTAATTCTCTCACTAATTCTCCCACATAATCACCTTCTATTAATTATATAGCCGACGGAGAATCTTACTCGAGTCACTCTCCATGCCTGGAACCATTAGGGAAAGTGTTTCAAAATGTATGATCACATACCTGAATGTGGTAACAGTTGGCATTAACAGAAAGGCAGCTGGCCTTCACCTCATCCCACGCTTTTCTGCGATGATGCTGGCGCTCAGTGTGGCTCAGATCCAGCACGCAAACCACATCCATGCGTGCCCGAATGCCTGCCAGTAGGACCGACTGCCCTGAGTGGTCACTCTTGCTGCCTAGGCTGTCTGTCATCGTGCATACCTAATAACAAGAAAAAGGGTTCTGTAAACCTGAAGGATAATTACCATATTAGCATTGACAATGAGAACAACTACTAATACAGCCAAAACTGATAAGAGAATGAGAAATGAGAGATTAAAAATATAAAATGTGTGCATATTTTTGTCATTTCTGCTTGTTTGCAAACATGATCAAATATTATTTAAACTAGGGACATAACTAGCTGGGCATCTTTAATAAGGAAGAGCAGATATGGTTTGGACATTTTATGGGAAAAATATTATTTTTGTAAATGTAAATAATGCAGATTAATTTAAATTATTCCATAGGATAACTACATGTCTTAGTAGATTCTATGACCCATTTATTGCCTACCAAGAGCCATGACCAGACGGACTTGCTCTATTATGAAAAAGAACACAGGATCCAAGATAAACAATGAAACTAATTAAATTTAAGGAAATGAAGCATCTCTAAGTATACAAGGCAAACAATCGTTTCTGTTAGTTAAATACCCTAACCATTATGCACGTACATGCCACCAGATTGTAGCAGAGGTCACTTAGAGGTCTTGGTCAACCTGCCCCCCCCCTATCCCCCCATGCTAAACTCCTCAAACCTAGTTGTTTAGAAGAAGGGAACAGTAAGAACAAAGAGCTACTTAGAGCCCACTAGAAAAAGGGAGTTTCATTACATTCAACACTATTTCTTTGAAGGACACCTCAGTACCTCCATTAACTTAGATGAACTTGCCTCCTGATAGAGGAGGCCAGTTCATCTGGAAGCAGAAAAACACAATTTGGGTTGACCTGTGGCAGAAGAATAGTAACTGCCTGCCAAATGCCCAAGCTCTCATAAATGCCAATATGAGACGAGAGGCCAACATCAGAAAGACCTCCAGTAAAACCAAGCTCAAACATTAGCCATGGGCAAAACAGAAAACAAAGCCATCAAAACAGCTAACAACTCCACATCCTCAGAGTGGAGACCAACTGCCTGTTAGCTGATCTAACCTCCACATGGAGGACCAGGAAAAGATGGGCCTTCAAACAAAAGATGTGAGAAACAAGGTCACGTTAGAGAGCCCCCCTTCCCCCCCAACCCTAATGGCAAAGGGAGTGGCACAAAAATGACACTTCACATCCCTAGGATAGAACACAATGAACCTCGGTTGGAGACTAAAGAACACCCACGACAGTAAGAGGCAAGAACACATCCCCCCCCCCTCCCAAATAGTAGCGAGGAGGCTCTGGAATGTCCGAACAAGGCAAGATAACAATATAGTATAGATAGTAACATAAAATCAAGAAGAGCAAGGACACAGAACAACAACAGACAAAGGATGAGCACCGAAGAGAGGAAAAGGTGAGGCCTGTCAAAGCACCATATAGTGCCACCAAGAAGATGCCACTGTAGCATCAACAGGTCTGCCACTTGGGACAAGTTGGAGAGTTGCAAACCATCGAGGTTGGGCACACCACCAGAGCTTGGACAGGTGGAGCCCTGGGAAGGGAAAAGGCTCAACAATGGGCGAGAAGAGTCAAGAACCAGGGCTGAATCAGTGACATGAAACTGTAGAAGAATGTATCCTGCAAAGGACCCCCAATACAGACAATAGGGGAAGCCCCAGAACTCCTATTTCTACCATGAGTGAGAAATGTGAGCATCAGACTGAACCAAAACCAGAACCAGAGCTGCCAACTACGGCCAAAAACACCTGGCAAAGCAGTTGACACTCACTGCTGTCAAATCCTATGAAACCTCCACCTCCAAGGAGAGGACAGAATGGGCTAGAGAACACGAGGGAACACAACCAGGAAGAATTTTGGAGTTGAAACCATATTAATCTACTTTAGTAGATGGGGAAGCCATCACCTCTCCCAGTCTCCCCACTTTCTCACCTTTCCCATCCTCTCCACCTATCACCCCTCCTCGATTTCCTTCCCCCAACATCCCTCTAACCACCTGGTTGATACCTGGTTGATGGGGTTCTGGGAGTTCTTCTACTCCCCAAGCCCGGCCCGGGGCTTGGGGAGTAGGGGGGTTACCTCTTTCCCTTTCTCACCCTCCTCAACACAGTCACTCATTCTGTTGCTGCCTGACATGCAACCCATCAAACACTTCACTTACATGACTGACTGACATCCTCAAGTATCTCGCACCTTGCTCCAGCATCTGCTGCTGCTGCCTGACACGCAACTCATCAAACACTTCACTTAGATGACTGACTGACATCCACAAGTATCTTGTACCTTGCTCCAACATCTGCTGCTGCCTGACACACAACTCATCAAACACTTCACTTACATGACTGACTGACATCCACAAGTATCTCGCACCTTGCTCCAGCATCTGCTGCTGCCTGACACACAACTCATCAAACACTTCACTTACATGACTGACTGACATCCACAAGTATCTCGCACCTTGCTCCAGCATCTGCTGCTGACTAACACACAACCCACAAATATGATACTTGTGCAACATTTGCCAGCACTTTGCAGGGATTAACTACAGTAATAAAATTATAACAACGTTATGTGCACTATTATTATTGTCAAAATTCTAATACAACTTAATTCTGATATGCATTTTGCCTTCATGACTATAATAACTGCACTAAAAACATTTGTATATTGTAATACAAAACTAAATTAAAAATGGCATCTGGACTAACACTAATTTCTTAGAAGAATGAGTCAAGATGTGGTTACTGTTAAATTTTTACTTTGAACATCCTGTCCACTTTGCTTGTTGAATAAAAGAATTTATAAATTTGTTTTTTTAAATATTTATAAAATGTTGTATTCCCCAGTAACATTATTACTGTAATTATACACAGTACAATACTGTGTGTCAATAAATGACTTAAGTAATAGCTTTAAAAGCTATTTATGTTTACAGTATACAATACCCCTATACAGTATTGTATAGTATTTATATGTATACAAGGGCTACTTAAAATGATAGATAATTAATGTAGGTTCTACTCAACATATTTCAAAGCTGCATAATTTAATTAGTTTTCCAGCAACATTTAATACTTCAAGACTTTTACATGAATTAACCCAGGGTCACCATCTCTGGTGGTTAGAACAAGGACAGGAAACTGGCAGCTTCTCAAATATTCCCCCCCACCCCCTTATTCCCGAGTATTTTACACAGTTTTATTTTGAAGAAAAGCACTGTCTTGGTATGTACAGCCTTGGCAAGTACACAATTCAACAAATTTATTACTCAATGGTTAAAAAAAATCTTGCTGTCTGTCCAATACTGTAGCTTGTTGAACTCTAATCTGTTGCACCTTGTGAGAGTTTCATTAGCCTTTCAAAAGAAGTGGACTAGATTAACGACTTCTAATTTGTCCAGTATTTTATTCTGAAAGGCTCAACTAGATCAGATCTGTTTTAATAGTCAGGGTTGAAGAGTTGTTAGCCCTAAGGCCCTTAACCTTTCCATGCACAGAAAGTGTTAAGTTTTGAGATCATTTTTGTAGCTCGGCACTGAACCTTTACCAATGCAGCTGTCTTTTTGAAGGTGAGGTAATACATGCTTGTATACAGTAGTACAGATGGGAGTACACAAGGGATTTGTACAGATAATTTTGTTAATTATATACACCATGACATCTAGTGAGCAGCAATGGAAAACGTTTCAGATGTACATGATGGGCTCAGGATCCGAGATACAGCTGGAAAGCCTCTTCTTTGCATTGTAACCAAAGGTTTGTTTATGACATTTTTACAATATCTACTTCCTCAGTAGCTTTCAATGACCAATGGATTATTACAGTACTGTACTTCAAATGTTGATTTCTTTTTAAATTTGCTACAAGGATGTATTGTTAAGATTGCATGTACGTTTACCTGTATTGTTGTGCACTACATTTAAGGTCACAGATTTATAAATATTGATGAGTATTTGCCAGTTATCTGATAATTAGCAGAATTTGTGTAGATTGTTTTGCAAAACCACAATATTTTTTAACTTCCCACTCTCCCACAGACCCTCCTCATTTGCAAATTTGTTGGTATGTTTCAGAGTATAATAAAGTTTACACCGCATTTTTAACTCTGCACACAAATTAATCATTAACCAGATTCTAAAGTACAAATGCAATTTCTTTTTCCAAGAATTTTCCAACATTTTTAAGATTTGTCTATGATTTTATTTTTCAGTTTACAATAAAAAAATACTTTTGAACTGTACGCAGAAATTAATGAGTAACAAGAGGGAATTATCAGGGGAAAGCACCAAGCCATTATGACTATATAGCAATTGGAAGAGGATCAGTATAAGGATTTGGGAAAGGGAATGATGCCCAACCACTTTGACGGTCGGGGATTGAACGCCGACCTGCACGAAGCGAGACCGTCACTCTACCGTCCAGCCCAAGTGATTGGGCAAGAGAATGGTTAAAGTCCTGCACACAGAAAGACATCTGGCCATGCTTCCTTACAACCAATGCCTCTGTTCACCTAGCAGTAAATGGGTACTCCTGAGTTAATTGTTGTGGGTTGCATTCTGGGAAATGTCAGTTTTTGGCAAAGGAAAACTGATACGACTAACTGGCTGCCTGTGGATGCAAGTCACATTGTGCACAAAGTTTACCAAGAAATTTAAGAACCTACCTAATGCAGCCCATTCTTAACGAAGCCTATCCCTAACACAACCCGATCTAACAACCCAAACTAACCAAACCAAATTTAACACAATCTAAACTAATCTAACCAAATTAAACAACCCAAACTAACCCAACCTAAAATAGTGTAACCTAATCCTGAGCATAACATAGCCTAACCTAAGTTAATAGATCCTAACCTAAAAATATACATGGTTTTGACAATTGGAAAATGAACTTTGTCGAACCATCTTGTACACGATTTGACCCAAACAATAGAAAACCAATATATTTGCCTAGGTAGGAGTTATCACAAGAGTACAGAAAAGTTGTGCACGTAACTCATTACACGAATTGTAATAAAATGTAACTAAATTTGTATTGACAATATTATAGTATATTGTCCATTAGGATAATATACTACATATACAACAATATGTTTACACCACTATAATGAAATTAATCAAATATTTTGCTAATATTTTGTACTGTTAAATGTAAAATTAACTGAAGGTCATTCATTAATTTGAATGGAATTATTCATATATTATGGGTAATTTTATTAAAGATTTGGGCGAGGAAATTGTAAAATGCTGGCAAAGTCACTAACAACGGCTCACTCTGCCTTGGACCATTGTAAAGCTGCAAGTTCCTGTAACTTAATAAGACTCTGCCACAGACCAAACATCAAGTTTTTGCCTTAAACTCCAATCAATGATGCCAAATGGTTATCACATCAACTCCAAAGTTAAGCAAATCTAAAAAAAATCCCCTTTTTCCCTTAACCCTAGCTCTAAATATACATTTACAGAAGGCACAGGTACCTTTTATGCCTACTTACGAGTGAAGATTTACGACTGAGGGTTGACAATTTACAGTCAACTGGACCATAAATCAGCACTCAGAGCCCGCACACACACTCTCACCACACACTTGTACCTCCCACCACACCCTCACACCTCATACACACACTCACCTTTCCATTCCGACAGGAAAAAGGTGAAGATCAACTCAGATGGAGGTGGGCAGGCAGGCTGGCCCTCACATACACACACACACATATGACAACATTGGGGAGCGGCCCTTATTCTGCTCTCACTCTTCTAACTACCGTACGCTTCTACTATATTAACTTGCTAACTACCTCGTCAAGACTTTTTTACACTTGTTTTGCTTTAATTTAATGTAATTTTACTTTTAAGTTTTAGTCTAAGTGGTTTTTCCCCACATCTTGCTTGAAGCACTAAGCGTATTAGTGGCTTTAGGCATAGTATGTACTAGTTCTTTCTAGAAATCCAACATTCTGTTTGTAACTCATTTTGAATGTATGTACGTTTACCTGAATAATCTATGTATTTATTTAGCTAAAGGAATTTTTGGGTTCGGTCCCTGAAACCATTATGTGGCTCTGTAACCCTTTTCACTACCGCCCATAAGATGGGTATGGGGATGCAAAATAAATAAACTAAGCAAACTCTACCCTGAACCTATTTTATTACGCTTTATTTCACACTAAACTTACTTTACTATGCACAACTCCACACTAACTAGCCTCTACTCCATGCTAAACATACTTTATTAGCATCTTTTTCAAGCAAAACTTACATCACTAAACACTATTCCGCACTAAACGTATTTTTGTTTTAATTTAATAAAAAAAAAATAAAAAATAAATAAAATGTTTATTCAGGTAAGGTACATACATACAAGAGATTTTACATAAATTGATCGATTTATAGATGGAGCTAGTACATACAATGCCTAAAGCCACTATTACGCAAAGCGTTTCGGGCAGGAAAGACATTAATGACTAAAACCTTAATACTGATTGAGTATAAAGAATAAAATGTGTTGAGAACAAATAAAAATAAAGATAAAAAGGGGGAAACATGGCTGAAAAAGCAGCACAAATACAATTAGGTTGACAAACAGCCTTGTTTAAGAAAACAGACATATGGGTTGATAATAGAGGGGTAAGGTAGGTTACAGGGAATTTATTAGGTAGTGCTTCGTTTTTATCTTGAACTGGTTGAGAGAGGTACAGTCTTTAACATGGTTGGGAAGGTCATTCCACATTCTGGGTCCCTTGATTTGTAGAGTATTTCTAGTTTGATTAAGTCGTACTCTTGGAATATCAAAACTTAATTTATTTCTGGTGTGGTGCTCATGGGTTCTGTTACAACCTTCAATGAAGCTTTTGAGGTCAGGATTGGCATTACAGTTCAGTGTTTTATATATGTATAATACACATGAGAGAATGTGCAGTGACTTAATATCTAACATATTCAGAGATTTGAGTAGGGGTACCGAGTGATGTCTGGGGCCAAAGTTGGATATTGTTCTAATAGCAGCTTTGTGTTGAGTAATTAGAGGACGTAAATGATTTTGGGTAGTAGAACCCCAAGCACAAATACCATAGTTCAGATATGGATAGATGAGGGAGTAATAGAGCGTCACCAGGGCATGGCGGGGTACATAATATCTGATCTTAGAAAGAATGCCAACAGTTTGTGAAACTTTTTTTGATATATTTAGAATGTGTCCCTGGAAATTCAGCTTGTGGTAAATGAGAACGCCAATGTTTATATGCAAGAATATATAATTTATATACAAGAAGGAACATTGGATTGTGAGAGTACATAGGATACATTAGTATTCTTACTTATTAGTATTACATTCTTGCAAAGCCACTAAACGCATAGCGTTTCGGGCAGACTAATTATTCTAAAACTAAGTTATGTTTAAAGTAAGTAAGTTAAGAAAGTTATGCTAAACTTACTTTCCTATAGCCTCTACTAAATGCTAAACTTACTTCCCTATAGTCTCTACTCCATGTTAAACGTACTTTAATAGACTGTACTCGACGCCAAACGTCATACTC